ACATGTGGTTTAACATTATTTACAACACTTATGTTCACCAGTGTGACTAGAACAGAGTTAAACATGGGGTATCTATCGGTGGAATACAGTGTAGTGTTATACATATATCTCATACATACATTAAATTATATACATTATGTACAATAAAAAAAACATATGTACTTCGTGATACCCTGCATACATTGTACCCATTCTTGGGTCCATCCAACCGTATGCAGCTTCGCTACGAATAGAATTCCTGGGTGTGTAGTGAATGAGTGAGTGAGTGAGTTGGGTTTAACGCCGCTTTTAACAGTATTCCAGTTATATCACGGCGTGTCAGCTTAATGTGGGAGGAAAGCCCGAAGTGATGCAGGTATCAGACGTTTACCACTTCGGTGAAACCCACGAGCACGGGTATGGTGCTGACAAACCTAGAAACATAATTGGGGCGAACCGGGATTCGAACCCACAATCATAGGTTTCTGGCGTGCCCAAGCGACGCAACTTTGCACAGCGAATCGCGGCGCCTTAGACGACTGGGCCACCCGTGCCCCCTGTAGTGAATGAGTTCGTGTTCATCGAAACATGAGGTATTGCCATCGTGGGTTAAACAGTCCTCGGACCCAGTGATACCCAAATAGTGTACCGCATACTATGCACCACCTTACATTATGGGGCTGCAGAATAAAGCTGCTGCTCTGACTGTCAATCACTGTTTGCTTATTATAGATCATACATAGTAATGCCTTACATACGGTCCTATGTATATGAAACATGCGATATAAAAAAATGAATAATGAGAGGATGTATGAAAAATATGCGAGGATAATGCGCAATATGATTTTTAATAAAATCTATTGAGCAAGAGCAATGAATGTGCCCGTTGTTTTATTTCAGATTTGTAATGTCAGTAGGTCTTTTTGAGTATTTCAAACACTCACCATAATCCCATTCGTCACCACTCGCCCCTTTCCGTAACCTGCAAGAGTCGCTATTCGGCTTGTCCCGGAATAACACGAATTGGTCACGAATGACCATAACCCCATACAGTTTCTAACAGCTATTTCCAGAACCAAGAGTACTACGCCTCCGGTACAGCGGTGTACTGTTCCATGTGTCATGACAGAAGCAGTGCCTGCCTGTGTGACCGAGGTATAGGTAAGGGCTGTCCCGGGGAGACTTATCGTCTGTTTTGCTTTCTGCAGCTTTGGTCACACCCAGCTGAACAGTCTGTCCCGTCCACATGTCCCATGAAACAAGGTGCACACCGAACATATCTGTTGAGTTCGTGTTTTCATGTTCTGCAGACAAGTGCGTTTCGTTTACAGACGCAGATGTCTCACTGACGTTTTCAAAGCTATCAGCAGACGTCAAACTGACGTTTTGTGAGCTGGCAACAGACGTCTGACTGGCGTTTTCAGAGACAGCAGCAGACGTCAAACTGACGTTTTGAGAGTTGGGAGCAGATGACTGACTGACGTTTCCAAAGCGAACAGCCGACGTCTGACGGACGTTTTCAGTACTTATTACAACAGACGAAAAATAGATTTCTTCGGGTTCAGCGCAAGAAGTAGACGAAGAACTGACGTTTTCAATGTTGCAAGCGAAAAACAGAATGTCGTTTTCAGTGCTCCAAGGCGACTTACAGTTGCTATTCACAGTTTTCCAAGAAGACATAGCACTTTCCGACCTAGAGGCAGACGTTAGAACAACCATCGTCGATGCCTGCTACCTGTATTGTCAAATAAACATCAAATGCACTGTTTTATATAATTGTATAGGCGATGTTATGGCGGTAACTCCAATCCGATTTTATCTAAAATTTGAATTCGATTTCTTTATAGCATCAGTCTAACTCATTGGCCTACCAGTTATGTTAGTTTGGTAATTCCAGGGATTAATCCAACCACGTTTCTACATATCCTACTGAATACCCAGAGCGTGGGTTACATGTAGATTTCCACGAATGTATATATACTCCTGATAGAAAAAAGCAAGCACTTATATCAATCCGCGGAAGCTATCAACACGGACAACCCCAGTTAGTCAAACAAGTCTACATGCATGTAATGCACCTGTGCTGGGTTAGAGTGGAGTGGAGTAGCTCACGGTAGAACAGAAAACGTCGGACTACTGTTTCATTGATCCGCTGGTCTTTATATAGCCTGGTAATCTGTCGTGCTGTGTACGTCAGACAGTCACGTGATGGACATACTTGCCGACGTTATACGAGTCGTAACATGTATACATTAGCCTATATATAGCCACTTAGGTATTGTATATCGGCAAATATACGCCGAGTCAGCTGAATGACATAGAAATCCATGTACGTTTAACCCGACAATCGCAAGGTATACGTTTGTGAATACCGTCTGTCAAACGTGGGGAGTTAACTCGGCAATGTCGCAAGTCGTCGTACTGTTCGAATGTGAACTGTTAGTATGGTGGAACTGAAATCATCAGTGCTTGGTGCAACAGGACAGGTGTTTTTGTTGTAAAGGTTTATTTTTACCTGTGGGGATTCCGGGTTAGGATTGGTCCCTAGCAACCTGTGGTGGTCGTGATAGGCAGACTTCAGGTTTATTTCATTCATTAATCGTCAAATTCTGAATGTATACTCAGAATCCAAAGTAACTGATCATGTTTTGATTTTTCAGAAACACGTACATCAAGATTTCTTTCTTATTGGAACCCTGAATTTGTGTTCTGCATGGTGTACACAGAGCCCTATAGATAAGGTTTGGTTATTTGGGTATTTTACCCAGGGGTTTGATTTTGATTGGGTATCCACAATTTTTAGAAGGTATTCAAAAATAATTATGTATCTAATAACCTTTATCTTGACATTTGTGTATTTTAAAAAGAAAACCTGTTCCGTGACAACCCATGTAAATGATTTAAAACTAAATAAACAGTAGCATGCCCGTCTGCGTCTGCGTGGTCTAGAGGTAGAGCGTCCGCCTGGAGAGCGGAAGGTCCGGGGTTCGATCCCCGGCCGCGTCATACCAAAAGACGTTCAAAGATGGTACTTGTTGTTATCCTGTCTGGCGCTCGGCATTAAGGGGCTAAAACAAGGAATGGTCGGCTCGGAGTCAGTATACTGTGTCTGAGTTGGGTATTCATGTTAAACTGCGGTACGGTATCTCAGTAAGCTAGCACAATAAATCGGCATCTGTCCGAACTAGTACAAGCAGACACACAAACATACATGCACGTCGCTATACAAGTGCAACAATCTTGGACGCGACGATAAACCCCATTTCACCTCACCTCACCTGCTTGCGGCTCCCTCGCAGGGAAGCCCTTTTCGTTTGCAAAACCTAGCGTTGAAAGAAAGGCGCTATTTGTTTTTAATCAACAGACTAATCATCAGAGACTGTTTAAGCTACATTGACGAGGCACGATAAGCATTTAAATTGGAATATATCGGTATTCTAGTTTTTGTGTCGCATTTTCCGACTGTTACCGTCTGTAAGTGAATTTCGCGATCGGCTGATATACAATCATTTTATCCAACACAATATACGCAATCGTTTTAGCTAGTTGTAATATAGATTTTGTTGTTGTTGAGTATTTAATAAGCAAGGATTTGATTGAGTATTTCAGTTTATTTTATGCGTATTTTACGCAAATACGCAGCTTATGTCGAGCACTGGTGTCTTAACTGGGCTGAATTTGTTCCTCATGGGATCTCAAATAAATGTCTGGACAGGTGGTCCGTTGTGTACACATGAAAACACCGAAAAGACTATAACTTATTCTATGCATCTTTACCAAAACCGACAACACGCTTTAATAAAAACGTCAATTTTGTCATATGTCCTGTGTGGAAGCCTTCTGCCCATCTGTTTTCGTTCCCTTGCTTCATGCAATGAGAGCTTCCTGGAGGAGTGTGGACGGTCATACATGCCAGGTCAGCTATTGCTCGACTTATGAATTGACCAGACATACCTGTACCCCTCATCTGAATACTTGCAAAATATGTCCCCCCCGTCCAATGACTAAAAAGGAACATTCATTTTTTATTTAATGTTGCAGTAATATTGCTGGATGATTAACATGATACCCCAAACAGACACAGTATAAGGACTCCAATCCGACCAGCCCTTCTTGTTACCCTGTCTGGTGATATGCATGAAATGGATAAAACAAGTGCCATATTCCATCCTCTTTTGGTATTACCTAGCTAGAAATGAAACCACGTGCAGATGCTCACTCCACTAGACAACCCAGGTGGTGTATTGTGTTATATTTTATATTTATTGTACATTATTGATAAAATTCTCTTTAATTCTGTTTTCTTACTGTGGTTCTTCTGCAAGCAGCCTATACCATGCTGTAGTTCTCACAACTTGAAACAGAATCCTAAATATCACAATTACTAATTAACAAACTTAGCTACACATGTGCCGATACTTAAAAAGTGAAAACAAACCATTCTGGTGATAGGGTATATTACTTACAGTAATGCCCAAAATTGCAAACATCATCTGTTTATCACATGGTGGCAATATTTAGCAGTGCTGCATCTCCAAATCCATGTGCAAGCAAACACTTTAGTCACTGGCAGTGGGGTGGTCTTGTGTTAAAATTTATTATCATACCTCCATGTCAGAATGCTGAGATCTGATTGGTTCACTTGATCTGGATAACATATGATGTATCCCGCCTGGGAGGGAAATAAATGTCTCAGCAGGAGAATAAAGCCCAGCTTATAACCAGCTTCAAAGCAAAAAGCCACATGCTTTTTGCCAGTTATTGACGAGACATAGCACAAGTGAACCTATCAATTTTGAATTTGTTTTAAATCTTTAAAAAAAATGTCGGTAAGATGAATTGGTTGATACTGCTACAAATAATCAATAGTCACCATAACTTTCATCACCTCGGTAGTAAAAGATGTTTACTATTAGTGACTTTATTGTCACATTTGTTCTTAGAGTCAAAATTACAAATTTGGAGATTACAAAATATGCAAACAATCTTAAAATTAATATATTCAGACATAAGCAGCAAGCTAGTTGTCAGACCTGTTTATTTTCATACATTTGCCATGCATCAACGAATGATGGGATGACGGCATAGACAAGGTAACAGCACTTTCAAACAGTCTTCCACATTGGAAACAAATCTGTAAAATAATCAGCAACAAAAACTGAAGAGCTGTCTCTCCACCATACAACAAAAAACCATAAACAGACCGGTACATGTGAACCTACTGATGCATGAACTGAAGTGAACCAAAGTGAACCATTCTGGCTCCAACATGACTCGCGTAATGAGGACATCAAACGAACTAAACAGTTTATGGTGTAAACTTAAATCGAATTCATAGTGAGTGGTGTAAACGGTTAAAATGAGACCATGTTAAGATTGTCTCTGTGACACAGTAAAAGATTACCAATGTTTTCTAGAATACACCTTACTACAAGCAAAGTTGTGGTATGTACAGGATCAAAACACTATGATCTTTATACAAACTGGAAGATTAATGACAAGTGATTAATGACACCATGCATAATGAATCTGATATACATAAATAAATAATACAAAAGATGACATATTTACATTATCAAGCTGGACTGCATCATGAAGTAAAACAAAGACATCTGTTCTGGTTATTTTCACAAAATTCTAACCTGAAGCAATGTGTTAAATAAGTTTTGTAAAAAAATGAAATAGATAAGTAGCATGTTAATCAAATAACTGCTATGATTAAAGCTTTGTATGTAGCGTGGACCATCAGGGTCAATACTTGGAAATCTACTCATTTCTTACCGGTTTTCCTGGATTAGAAATAGCTTTAAGCTAAACAAACCCAATTTCACATTTATGTCATGGACAAACAGCCAAAAAATATTTCAAGTAAGGCTTGATACAGAGGACAATCTTAAGCTGATCTGCACGGCAGAGCAAGTCCAGATGTCAGTGATCACAAAGTGAACTTTTTCTGTATTAGCTTAAATAAAACTAATCTCTGAAAACTTCTGTTGGCACATTATTCCCACAACGGGGCAAACGGAAACTTTTTTTTGTGTGTCGGTCAAACCTTATTTCAGTATAGTAGGAATACTCTACTATTGACACATCTCACCCGTCCATGATAATGTCAAAGTTTAGGACTTAAACGTCTTAATTATCTGGTATACTTATACATTCAGTGATTTTGCTAGAGACAAATGGAATCAAGACATCTGCTATAAGACGTTCTGTATCAGTACAAAATCTGAAATATATCTTACGACACTTTGGACGCCTGGGTCCCGTTCCACAAAGCGATCTTAGCGCTACGATTGTCGTAAGTCAGTGTTAAAGAATGGGAGTTACGATCAACTTAGAGCTAAGATCACTTTGTGGAACGGGGCCCTGGGTCCCGTTCCACAAAGCGATCGTAGCGCTATGATTGTCGTAAGTCTGTGTTAAAGTATGGGAGTAACGATTGTCTTAGTGCTACGATCGCTTTGTGGAACGAGGCCCTGAGCTTTAAACCTGTTGAACAACTCTACCAATCAACATTTGTTGCGGACCACACCTTTGACTAAAGATGACTATTTTAGTCCCCACCAACTGTTGAGTCGTATGCATCATGTGAATGAAATGTTTAGTTATGACCAAAACAAATACCGCATTCGATGTAATACACGCCCAGGGTGCTCTCAAAATTAGAAATAGGGGGCTCATATTACAATATTATTTTGGTGAAAAAAACAGAGGTTAAAGATCGTAAATTTCGTGGTTTATGCTGACAGTATATGTTTATATACGACAAATATATTTTTCCTGAATTTAATTGCCCATAATTAAGGCTGCATAAAAACACGAGTGCGTAGTATACACAAATGAATAAGTCTTATGCACATTGCTCAATCGGAAGGGGTGCTAATTGGAATTGTTCACTAGCTAATATATTAGCAAATATCGCTTATTATGGGCGCTTATTAGAGCAGGGCGCTTATTACGTCGTATGCGGTAGGCTGTTAAAGAGACCCATAAAGCATTGTAAGACAACCACATCATGGGATACATTCAGCGTTAAGTTTATTGATGCAGTCTAACTAGATTAGTATTGCAAACACAGTCACAAACAGCTGGCGTTCCACCAGGAGGAATATTACAGTAAAGTCAAGTCATCCAACCGAGGTAGGTTTCTTAAGCATATATATGGTAGGTGTTAAATTAGTGTAGAAATTCCAACATACATATATCATTATCAAATTATTCATCAGTTAATAAAGTCTATGATTTCACCTTTGTACAATTGTCATTCACACATTTTCATTCATTGACAAGGACAGTAAGGAATCAGGTAAGGGTTATCAGTGTCGACATATACAAACAAATCAGGTACGTCTGGTAGGCTGTTGTCAGTCTGCTTCAGGATTCAAAACTTATCTACCACACAGGATTTGTTGGGAGCTGTCAGTTGACCACGTGATACATTCATTCTGGCTTTCATTAATTGCTACACAATAGCTTTATTTTCTCCATACATTCAAAATAATGAACATACACTTTATGACCACACTTTCGCCAGCAAACCATGAATGAATGTAGCTGTGACTAGTCACGGCATTGGGAGATGGCAAGTAAGGGTTATGACGACAGCATTACACTTGACACGGCCTCTAAGGGCGTTTCCTCAATGTCCATAAGTTCTTCACCGTTTTCCTCCACAGCTGCTGTTGAGTCTTTGGAAGAGTCTGCTAACAACACTGAACTATTTGCAGATTCCACACTTGATTCGTGCACACCACCAATCATTTCGGCTTCCACTGCTTCGGAGTCCACACTTTCCTGCGACAGAGAATAGTCAACTTCAGAAATACTTTCAGCTACAGCTTCAGAAGTTGTCGTCACAGCTGCACTCACTGTTGATTCTTGTGTGGTTAAGTGTTCAATGTCCTCCTCTCCTTCATCATCCTCGTCCTCCAGCTCAACAATCTCACCTCCATCTTCATCATCTTCCTCCCCATCCACTTCAGCATCAACCTCCTCGACCCGGGAATCATCCTCCACAATAGTAACATCCTCAGCTATAGTTTCATCCTGTATTGCAGCTTCGACCTCCTCTGCCTCGACCTCCTCTGCCTCGGCCTCCTCTGCCTCGACCTCCTCCTCTTCTTCCTCCTCCTCCTCTTCGTCTTCCTCCTCCTCCTCCTCCTCATCATCATCATCTTCAACCTCATGTTCTTCACCACCTTGAGTTTCATCTTCTTCAAGGTCTTCTTCAAGGTCCTCTTCCTCTTCGTCGTCCTCCTCTAAAACTTCTCCTGCAAGTTCAGCATTGACCACCTGTGTGACCACCCCTTGTAGGACGTCCGACACTGTAGCAGTTGCTGAGAGTTCCATGTTCTCCACACCATGATCTAACTCTTGACTGGACAGAGGTAGATCAGCGTTACCGTTGACAGCTGTAGAAGAAATGTCTGTGATGTCCGGTGTTGCCAGGAGCTCGTCCGGAGGTTCCTGCTTGATAGCGGGTATCACACCATTCTTAATTTGCACACACTGAAAGCAGACGTATTCCTCGTCCTCTGACACTTCCTCCTTGCCGAGTCCAACACACAGCAAGTGGAACCATTTCTCACAACTGTCACACTGCACCCAATTCACCTCCTCACCTATAAAGAAAACAAAAAATTTACGTAACAAGTAAGGTACAACAGTACATAAATGTCTAACATAAGGAGCCTTGGAAAAATATGTCATAATGTTTCTTAATACCTTTAGAATTCAGCACCACAAAATCTACAAACACATCACTGTATCCTATGACATAATTTGTTAAATTTTGTTGCAAGATTCACCGGCAAAACAATGCCCTGTGATGTCAGCTTAGCGATAGGGTTGCTGGGGTCTTCAAGTGTGCAAGCTGTGCATTGAGTACTGAGTGAGTGAGTGAGTGAGTGAGTGAATATTTATAGTCACGTTGGCAATATTTCAGCCATATCGTGACTAGCATTTAGGTACTGAGTGTGTTCAAAGATAGATTTTGTGTGTGGATAAGTAAGAGTGAGTCAGACAAATTTGAAGTTTTGTATATGCACTTGGTGAACGCAGACATAAATATTAGGTAGCGTTTTTCAACAATAGGTTGCATTGGTGCATATTTCGTCGAGCTAAATCGAGCCCTGAAAATGGAGTTCCCTTCCCCACTTTCAGGACAAACCTATTGGTCAAAATCAGAGAAAAGTCCCTTTCACTCACCAACAGGCTTCAGACACTTCACAGCTGAGCAATCTTCATCATTCTCTTCTTCATCGTCATCTTCATCCACAATCAACACGTCCTTGGACTTGTCCTTCTTGATGCGGATCTTCTTAATGGTGGGCGTCTTCTCCCCGAGCTGTTTCATTCCCTCCAGCTTAATCTTCAGTTTCTTCTTTTTCTTCAGCTTCTCACACTTGTCCTTCTTGGTCTTGTCACCAACCTCCTTCGGTTTAAGTTTACCAGAAACTGTAAGCAGTGAGAAGCTTGTATTACTGAATGCGTGTCTCAGAGAGATCACTGTAAAAAGAACAAAAATCTGAAATCCTGGAAAACTTCTTCATTGTGTATCTTGTTACTCAGTTCAGCTGCAGATTTCCTACCTATTTCTTGGACTGGCAACACCACACATGGAAGATTTACCTGTTAACTTCATCTTAAATTTGGTGACAAAGAGACTAAGGCTTGTTAGCTGTATGTGGGCAGAAAGCCCAAAGTGATGCAGGTCTCGACGTTTACCACTTCAGTGAAATCCATGAACATCGATATGGTGTTCACAAACCTAGAAGTACGGACTCAGATCTAAGATCATAAGATTTGGGCTGACCGAAGAGATGCAAGTCAGCAAACACAATACACTCTTACCCGCGAAGATACGGTTTAGAATACGTCTTCAGCAACCCATGCTTGTCGTAATACGCGATTAACAGGATCGGGTGATCAGGCTCCGTTACATGGTTGATGCCTGTCATCGTATCCCAATAACGTAGATCAATGCTCATGATGTTAATCACTGGATTGTCTGGTCTAGACATGAATATTTACAAACCGCCATCGTATAGCTGGAATACTGCTGATTGTGGCGTTAAACAACAGACAAACACATTAACAACTAGCTGCATATGTTGTACCTACAAACAACTTTCCAGACTAGTCTGATCAAACTAGCCTTACCTTTGTTCTCCTTCTCCTTGCTGTCCACTGGCTCCTTGTTTGGATCTTTGATTTTCATCTTCTTTTTCTTGGGTTTCTCGACTCCTACCTCCTCCTTGATCTTCTTGATAACCACAACCCCTGTGCTGTCTTCAGCCTCCTTCTTCCTCTTAATCTTGATCTTCTTCTCCTTTATCTTGTCCTTCTCCTTCTTTATCCTCTTCACCTTCTCCCCTCGTTCCTTCATGGTTACATTTGCCTTGTCCGGATCCTGAATAATGTCGGGAAATAATGCACCATTAGTCACTTTCCAGACAAAATATTTTGTTCTTCGCCAAAAATAATTACCTGGCTATTTATTCAATTTTAGCTAAAATGTCCTTTTTTTCCAAGATGGATGGTGAGAGAAAGATTGAGTGAGTGAGTGAGTATGGTTTTACGCCGCTTTTAGCAATATATAAAATATGTATCACGTCGGGTTTCTCCCCTCAACATTAAGCAGCCATGCTTTGATATAACGGAAATACTGTTCAAAGCGGCGTTACACCCAACTCACTCACTGATCCTACTAGAAATGGGCTTCACACATTGTACCCATGTCGGGAATCGAACCCGGGTCTTCGGCGTGACGAGCGAACGCTTTAACCACTAGGCTACCCGACCGCCCCGTGAGAGAGAGAGAGTGAGTATGGTTTTACGCCGCTTTTAGCAATATTCCAGCAATATCACAGCGGGGGACACCAGAAATCCAAGATGGATGATAAAGCCTTTGAGTCACCATCTTCCTTATCAAAGATCTTTCATCAATTTGGATATTTTCAACTCCAAGTTTGAATTTGAAAATTTTACAATAAATTGTAATATTTATATACTTATCCTACTGAAGCAACTGTTTATATTTTAATGCAAATAATGCCCTTTCCAACTTCCCAATATATTTTCTCTAATGAAACAAACAGCCTGAAATAGCTCCCAGCTCAGTTTAGTCATGTGGTTTATGTTGCATAACTAGGTTTGAGGAGAAAACAAATAATGCTTGTAGCTTAGCTACCTGATTTAATGTTTGATTACGCCCGTGAAGATCTTGGTTAGAAAAGGTCTTCAGCAGCCTAGCTTGTCGTCTAAGGGGATCGAGTGGTCAGGTTCACTGCCTGGTAGATACATGTCATCGTATCCCAATTACATGGATCGATGCTCACGATATCGATCACTGGATTGTCTGGTCCAGATTCAATTATTTACCGACTGCCGTCATATAACGGGCATATTGAAGAATGCAGAGTTGAACAACACAAAACCAAACAAATGATGTTAACTACCCTACCTCAAAGTCAATGAACTTTTCCTCGTGCCGTGGCTGGCAGGCCTGGAGTATCCGCCAGATGTGCTGCGTCTCGTCCAGGGACACCTCCAGGAGGTCGCCCTCCATCATCAGCTCCTCCAGCTGACACTTGGCGATCTCCGACAGCTCCAGCACCGGGGTCTCCAGCTGCCGTGGCACCAGGGGCGACTTCCGCTGGTGTTTCCGGGGGGTCATTGCTGGACAGAAGGAGAACAATGTGAACGAGTAGGGTCTTAGTCTTAAGCCCCCTTTTCCAATGTTTTAGAATTATCACAGAAGGGTACACAGCGCCAGTTAGCAACTGTCGATGGATATTAGGCGCTTTACAAATCAATTATTATTATTATTATTAAACACTAAGAATGGACTTCCTACATTCAGTGATTTAAATTAAACCTGAAAGTTCAGGACTGTTCTGCAAAGTGATCGCAAGACTACGACTGCAATGTTAAAGTATGGGAGTTACGATCATCTTCGCATTATAATCGCTTTGTGGAAATGGGCCTTAGAGTCGAAGTCCTAATGTTAAAAGTTACAAACTCAGCATAGTCAACGTCACTTCTGATCCTTCTTACAAGGTTACTAAACCACATCAGAAGGGTTCAGTGGCTGCATGCAAGAATCATTTCAACAGGAAAGTAAAAAACGTCAAATTTTCCTTTCTGCTTTCATGAAGCACTACCACTATTGTTCAATGATAGGAATACAAGAAGCCAACCTTGGACACACAACAGAGTGCTGCCAGACATGTTATAAACTGTAACCCCAGGGGTAAGGAGAATTCACAACCTAGGACAGTCCAAAAGTTGCAAATACTTGCTTCCAAGATTAACAGACAGCCAAACAACACTGTGAGTAAAGATGGTGAAATGTAGTCGTCAGCTATTAAAGAGTCATTGCTAGATCAATTATTAATACTACTTTCAGAAATACACAATCCTATTACCGTATTTGATGTAATAAGCGCCCAGGGCACTCTCAAAATTGTAAATAAGGGGCTCTTATAAGAATAATATTTTGGTGAAAAAAGAAAGAAAAAAAAAACAGAGTTGAAAGATAAATTTTGTGGTTTATGCTGACAGCGTGAAATGTTTACATACGAAAGAGATATTTTTCCAGGATTTATTTGCCCACAATTAAGGGTGCATATAACACATGAATGTGTATTATACACGAATAAATAAGTCTTGTGTACGCTTATCAATAGGAAAGGGGTGCTAATTGGGATTGTTCCCTAGCCAATATATGAGCAAATATCAACGTGGGCGCTTATTACGTCGAATATGGTATATCTTTACACAAGGCCAGTAGTATAGCACTGCTCATATTGGATCGCAGTTTCTGGAGTAAAATGGCAATACATGCACCAAAACTTGAAATGCACCTTGTCTAGGGTGATTATTCAATCAATCCCAATACATGATACCTCCCAATTCTTAATTGGCATGAAATAATAACCGATCAATAGTCTGTCCACTTACCACTTTGAAGCGAACAAGACACAAACGGCCGATCTATCGATATTTTTCAACATCCCATGTGACAACCTGATACCCAATTAACTAAACATTGACTTAATTATTGACAAACTGTTAACACACATAACTTTATGTAAACTTACTTGATGCGGCTTTTGACACTGAAGAATAGGCATGTTCCGATGACATGCTGCCATGACTAACAGGGATGGTGTCAATGTCGGTGGAGATATCGTCTGATGTTTGTGATGACTGAGGGGACATGGGAATGGAAGATTGTGAACTGTCTATGTCAACACTGAATAAATTGATCTCTCTCTGTGGTGTCCCATTCTGAACTCCACTGAAAGCACTTTGAGTAACACTAGCCAAATGGCTTTGCAGTTCGGGGTTATTTGCTGCCTTGAGTAACTCAGCGTTAATGATTTTCTCGGTTTTCTCCCGGGCGGCCTGTTCAACCATTCTCTGGCTCAACACACTGAGTTTTGTTAAGGCTGAGGCAAGTTCATTAGTTGTGAGAGCTTGTCGTGCCCGGTCTTGCCACGCCATGGCTCGCTCTGTTAAGCACTGTAGGGCTTCCCCTTCGGGAAGGCGGACAGGGAGTTTTTGTAAAGACACCAGTAAAGAGAGGATAGTTTCCAGACGAGGCCGTCGGGATCTGAGACAGAGGGGACACAAAAATTTCATGTCTTTTGTTGCTTGCATCACAGCTGTTTGGGAAGTCTTGTTTTTCATATTGGCAGATTTAGGTAAGGGGACACATGTACCTGTAATGACAAAAATACTTCATTAATGACAATACATGTGGCAGCAATTCGTCTATTTTAGTACTTGCTCATATCCCCCCGTGAAGATCCGGGTTAGAATAGGTCTTCAGCAACCCATGCTTGCCGTAAAAGGTGACTATGCTTGTCATAAAAGGGTGGTCAGGCTCACTGACTTGATTGATGCATGTCATCGATCCCAATTGGGTGGATCGCTGCTCATGATGTCAATCACTGGATTGTCTGGTCCAGACTTGATTATTTACAGACCGCTGTCATATAGCTGGAATATTGCTGAGTGCTGCGTTAAACACTAACCCAACCAACCGACCAACCTACATGCTCACATCTGTTGAAATAAGCCATAAAATCTATTTCAAAGTTTCAGAGCATTGAGGGCAACTTCAAAACATTTATCCAGAAAATTATTTGGGAGGCAAGTTACTGGTAGTTATATGTCACCATCAGCAGAATTAATATTAAATATTGGAGAGGCATTCCAGTGGTCATTGCACTAGCAAGGTCTTTTCATTCTTTGTTTGTTTGTTGTTTAACGCCGCAGTACATATCTGTTGCTGCAGAGCTTTGGGCACTTATGATAGTACAGATCTGTTCTGGCAGATTTAAGGGCATTTGTGATACTATAGATCTGTTGTAACAAATGTTATATTTGGGATAACACTTTCTTAGTAAAGTACAGATTCTCGTACTTTTTGGGGGGTTGAGTCCCGTACGGGATTCAAACCCACAGTTATCAGACTTTCATTTTTGTGGAAGCCTCGGTGACTTTGTGTGCTGGCGATAAGGTGCCTCACTCTGGCAAGTGTGGGTTCAAATCTCGGACAGGACTCAACCCTCAAAAAGTACAAGAATCTGTACTTTACTAAGAAAGTGTTATCCCAAATGTAACATTTATTACATTTGACCACTTTCTAAATGGCATTGTTTATTTATAGATCTATTGCAAAGGTTCTGGCTTTTTGTGACTGTACAGATCAGTATTTGTTTGTTTATTTGTTTGTTTGTTGTTTAATGCTGATTCAGCAATATTCCAGCTATCTGATGGCGGTCTGTAAATAATCGAGTCAGGACAGACGATCAAGTGATTGACATCATGAGCATCGATCCACGCAATTGGGTTACAATGACATGCATCAACCAAGTCAGCAAGCCTGACCAACCGATCCCGTTAGTCGCCTCTTATGGCAAGCATAGTCACCTTTTAAAGCGAGAATGGGTTGCTGAAGACCTATTCTAACCCAGATCTTCACAGGTGTAAACCTAAGAGATGTAACTCGTTAGTCGTCTCTTATGACAAGCATATGGGTTGCTGAAGACGTATTCTAACCCCGGATCTCCACAGGGCTTTTCAAGCTGCATCTGTAGCCGTTCACATCTGACTTTGCATCACTGCTTCTGATTAATCTTTTTCAACGTTACCGCTTTGGTAACATACACTGGTTCCCTGGCTATATTAATATGACCGTGATATAAGAAAGCACAGTATCTATAGAAATTGACAGATCCAACTCACCATGGAACCAATCCTTGCACAGCTCACACTGCAACATAAAACCTGATGCTCCTTTTCGACATATACAGAACTTGGCCTCCCCTTCAGGACAGTGAAGTTTATCCAGGTTCCGGCCTCGCAGGTCACGCATACACTCCACCTCGCGCTGCTCCGACACCTTGAAGGCTGCCACCTGCAATATACCAGTATTGGTTGGGAAAAACCCAAGACAGGCAAGGGTACATAGATTAACCTGTATCAGTGAGTGAGTATGGTTTTATGCCGCTTTTAGCAATATTCCAGCAATATCACGGCGGGGTACACCAGAAATGGGCTTCACACATTGTACCCATGTCGGGAACCGAACCCTGGTCTACGGCATGACGAGCGAATGCTTTAACCACTAGGCTACCCGACCGCCCCTAATCTGTATCAAAGTACTTCTTGAAAGTATAAAGGCCCATTATGTTTTAGCCATGGAGAAAAAATCATCGGATAAATATTTTGCAGTGCAGCCAACGGGACATAAATATGCACATTACCTATGGGACAAGGATGAGGATTAAAAAACAGTTTTTGTTAGGCCTTGATGAGAAATTATAATTTAACCAACTGAAAATAGATGGTCCGATCTGATGTTTTTTCCCCATAGCTATCAAAGAAACAGAAGACAATAGATAATATATAGAACTAGAATGTGTTTTTACTCATAAAAACAGATGTCTCTCGCTCCTTTTTTTTTATGCATTAGTTCAAGTTGTTACTATAAATGTGTTGCAAATCCTAAAAATAGTAATAGCAAAAAATTACTAGAACAGATTCTGATTAATGCATTAATGAAGTGAGTGAGTGAGTATGGTTTTACGCCGCTTTTAGCAATATTCCAGCAATATCAAGGCGGGGGACACCAGAAATGGGCTTCACACATTGTACCCATGTCAGGATTCGAACCCGGGTCTTCGGTGTGACGAGCGAACGCTTCTAACCACTAGGCTACCCGACCGCCCCGCATTAATGAAGCATCATTACAGTTGATGTCATGTTGACTCTTTAAGGTAGATAAGACTACTTAACTTGTAACAGCAGTCTAGATGATAGATTGTATTGTGCAAGTAGATGTACCCATAATGAACAATCAGTAGCTTTATGCTAAGTAGAAAGACTCTTAAGAATTTCCAAACTGTTTCCATGGAAACAAGAAATTAAAAAACTTAATCTTTAAATTCAAAAATATGAAAAGGCAATAGATGAGCATGTTGTCATTGCACATGTAGAGTTTCATGCAGTAATATTTATTAGTTTGAGAGTTGTTGCTCGGAAATGAAGCGTAGGGTTGTCCAAATTATTTCCATGTAAAAAAAATATAACATCGAAAAAATTCAAAATAGCAAAAAGCACCAGTTAAGCTGATGGGCAAAGCATATGCCAAGTTCCATTGAAATATGTTATGTTATTCCCTAGAAACGAACACTACCCTTGTATGTGATTAGTAGAAATAATTTCCATAGAGACAAACAAAACAAAAATTATTTTTTTTAAATGTTTTTTTAAATAGCAAAAGGTTAAGGTTAAGCTGATGGGTAATGCATACGCCTAGTTTTGTTAAAAAACATAGAACAGTTTTCAAGTTATAGCTCAGAATATGATGGGAACACCAATACATATGCCTTTACAAGCCAACAGTAAACAAACAAAAAACAATATGTATCCCCTACCTTTGTGGGGGAGACATAAGAACCTACTTGCATCTTGATATTATGGATTATCAGTTCCTCAAGAACAAATATTAAAAGACCCTTGTAAAGCTGGGGGTAACAAAAGTAGTACACTCAAGACCGATAATAAAAAAAAAATTTGTACGACAGCTTGATAGATATTTTTGAAAAATCATCCATGTGAATTTAATATTACATCAAACATGAACATTTTCATAAACAATACCATACAGTTTGAGGAATACAAAAGAAAAAGATACAACAAACATACACAACTCTCATCATGTCGATTCACAAACAGTAACACTTCAATCACACAAATGTGCCGACTGTACACACTGGTAAACTAAATTTGGAAAGTGCAGCAACCCCTAGTTTCCCTGGGTGTCGGAGAAAGCAGGTTACACTACACAGCAATGACAACAAGAGCAGTAACAGACGACCAAGTAAGCCACACAATGGACTTACAATGGTTGCTGGGTCTCTGGTTTCTTCTACCTTGATGTCTATGGTGTTGTTGTTTTCACTCTCGCGCCGATCTCGCTCCCCTTCTCGCAGCTTCTTCTTCTTGTTCTTCCCACTCGTGTACATGCCGATGTCCTGCCGCGGGGACAGTACCTACAGTAGACAGTAGAGTTGTAGGGCTTTTGTGATAGTACAGACAGGTTGCTGCCGATATTTGGGCTTTTGTGATAGTACAGACATGTTGCTGCCGATATTTGGGCTTTTGTGATAGTACAGACATGTTGCTGCCGATATTTGGGCTTTTGTGATAGTACAGACATGTTGCTGCAGATATTTGGGCTTTTGTGATAGTACGGACATGTTGTTGCCGATATTTGGGCTTTTGTGATAGTACGGACATGTTGCTGCAGATATTTGGGCTTTTGTGATAGTACAGACATGTAGCTGCCGATATTTGGGCTTTTGTGATAGCATAGACATGTTGCTGCAGATATTTGGGCTTTTGTGATAGTACAAATCTGTTGTTGCAGAGCTTTGGGCATTTATGACAGTACAGATCTGTTCTTGCAGTGCTAGGGCATTTGCAGGGATAATTCTAGGGTGGGGCCTTGTGCTTTTTTAGCCCCTAAACTTGAAAAAAGGCCCACGTTTTTAAATACTGTGGGTCATTTTAACATTGTGATGTATGGGCGTACCTCGGGAACATTTTTATTTAAAGGGCACATGTCAGAAAATTCCTAGAGTGAACCCTGCATTTGTGATACTATATATCTATTGTTGCAAAGTTTCGAGCATTCGTGACAGTACAGATCAGTAATTGAAGAGCGATAAATTGATTTGAAACAAAGTTGTTGAGTGCAGTTGTTCTATGCCCCAGTCAGCACTATTCCAGCTATATGACGGCGGCCTGTTAATGACGAAGTCTAGGTCATGCAAGCCAGTGGTTGATAGCGTAAGCAAGGAGCCAGACTATCTGGGGAAGATGACATCAACTTGGTGATCATAGCAAGGGATACCAGGAGTGGGCTTCATGTAAAATGCTTGCTCATAATGCAACATTCAACACTATTGCTGCTTTATCACTGTGGCCACTGCACCAAATGAGAAATAAAAAAGACACAAGAAAACACATATCTGAATCCAAGAGACATTATTTTACCCAACTGTAATGTATCATAACACAGTAATTATTATATGCATCATAACATCACCAACATAATATATTCATTTTCACTTTTCACTACATTAAGATATTGAGTGAGTGAGTGAGTGAGTGAGTATATTTCACACTGTTTTAAGCATTATGTCAGCAATAATACAGTGGAGGATAATACAATGCTATAACCACAAGGTTTTTCCAACGCCTAAACTACTACTCTCTATATGGACACGCTGCGAGAGAGATCCGGACTACGTTACCTCTAACAAGGAGTAGGTGGAGTTCTTCTTGAGGAAGGTTCTGGCTGTCCTCTCCCTCCACGACTTAGCTGCAGCCACCTGGGACTCCACTTGAGGCAGAGAGTCCAGTCTCACGGGGATCGGGCGACCTTTGTTCACAAAGTTCTCCAAGATGTCCAGGTAGGGATAGGAATCACCGTTCTGGGAAGGAAGATCAAGTTTGGTTTTCACCAATGCTACTTTACCAAGAGTCACAGATTCTTTGTTTCTTTTCTGTGTCAGAGTGTCTCATTCTGAGACAAGCATACAGCTGACATTGTCAAGGGAATTCATCTTGCAGCTATTTTAATTTGGGACGGGATTTTTAAGTTAATAATTTCCGAAGAAAGACTATGAAATACAGTCCATAAAAATTATGGAGAAACTGACCAAAAACAATTTTAGATTTATAATCAACTGTAGGTATATGTTGTATGAGTTGATATTTTCAACCTTTTCATTTTCATGAATTTTGACGATTTATCAAATTTGGTAAATTATTCATGATATACTTTATCTGGAAACATATTGCAAATGGACCATCTGTTTCCTCATAATATTAACAGATATTGTTCACCATAAAACTTGATCTGTGTTTATCATGTTTATACATAACAAGCCTCAAATCAGAATTTTATTTATAGTCATCAATATCAAATCGTTTCAATAACACTGCACTCAGGATGTAAAAACCCCAAAAGTATCACGTGCAGAAACATCATCTTGTCAACTACCTCCCACTCCTGCTGTACACTAACCTGGATGGCCTCAACCTTGACTGTCCACTCTTTGGCCTTCCTCACAGCTTCCTTGAGAGCGCACACATTGGGCAGGTAGGCTGGTATCGACTTGGCTTCACTGATGATAGCCTCTAGCGTGGTCATCACGTGTCTTGGTCTACAATACAGTGGTACTCATTTAGCCATCATGACCGAGACATCCAGGGATGCAAATTGGCACTGGCCTGTTAGCATGGGTCAAGTTTGTCTCAAAAAGCATCCCAAGGGATAGTTGAATTTCTGCATTTTTAGGGGTGTTATCACTATTCAGACTTGTTAACTGCTCAGGTTATGTTACATTCCTAGCCTGTTAGCATAGGTCAAGTTTGTCTCATAGCAACCCAAGGGATAATTGAATTTCTGGATTTTTAGGGGTGTTATCACTATTCAGACTTGTTAACTGCTCAGGTTATGTTACATTCCTAGCCTGTTAGCATAGGTCAAGTTTGTCTCATAGCAACCCAAGGGATAATTGAATTTCTGGATATTTAGGGGTGTTATCACTATTCAGACTTGTTAACTGCTCAGGTTACGTTACATTCCTGAATAGTGAGTCGTCATATATATATATATATATATATATGTCATGTTAAACATACAGTTAAATCGTCATTTGTCCCAAAGACCTGTCTTTGGTGAGGTGAGGTGAGGTGAGGTGAGGTGAGGTGAGGTGAAATGGGGTTTAACGTCGCGTCCAAGAATATTTTACTTATATAGCGACGTGCATGCATGTGTACCTGTCTTTGGCAGATTACTGTTGAGAATGTATAAATGAGGTACACAACACCATCATATGTTTATTTGGAAATTTCTAATCTTCAACATGGAACATACCATCTGGACTATTAGATCCAACTGTATTACAACACAGTATGGTTAGGGTTTATAAGTTGTATAATGCTGCACTCAGCTGTATTCCAGCTATATGACAGTAGCCTGACAATACCTAGCGGGGTACAATGACATGCAACCAATCAAATCATAGCCATGTAAATCATTTAATTCTATATATGAAAGTTACTCTGCTGTGGAGTTACAACTGAATCACTGATAGTGATGTGGGTGAGTGAGTGAGTGAGTTGGGTTTAACACCACTTTTAACAGTATTCCAGTTATATCGCGGCGTGTCAGCTTAATGTGGGAGGAAAGCCCAAGTGATGCAGGTCTCACACGTTTACCACTTCGGTGAAATCCACGAGTACGGGTATGGTGCTGACAAACCTAGAAACATAATCGGGGAGAACCGGGATTCGAACCCACAATCATAGGTTTCTGGCATGCCCAAGGGATGCAACTCTGCACAGCGAATCGCGGCGCCTTAGATGACTGGGCCACCCATGCCCCCCGATAGTGATGTGTATATACAACATTTTATATTGTATAAGGGTCTATATTACTAGCGGGTGACATAATAACGATAAATCGTTTTCATGTTCAATTTATTTCTTTTCCAGTTGCTTTTCAGTAGGAGCGGCGGACCCTTGAAACAGAAATTAAAACAGTGTGGCCTTATAAAAAATAGCGTGTACTGTATACAGTGTATAAAGTGTAGCGTGGTAACGTCCAAGGCTGTAATATGCTCCAACAGTGAGGGGTACCTGGCCTGCAGACAGATCCTGGCCTTCTCCTCCCATCTCTCACTGACAGTCAGCAGTTCCTGCAGGTCAGCCATGGCCCGTTCTACAGCCGAGTGGGGGGCCAGGCTCACCCCCGACTCCATCAACTTCCTCATCACCTCCAGTGTAACGTTGGGCGGGTCCTTCAGCGTGTTCCTCACCTCGTCCAGCCATTTGGCTTGCTGTAATACCTGCACACAGCATGTCAAAACACTGTAGCCAGCAGAGCAAGTGGCAATATTGCAGCAATATCATTAAATACTGAAGGTAACGTTTATTGAAACAAGCAAAAAAAGAACAAATCCACAATGCATTAAACTATAATTTCGCTAAGCTGGATATGAATGTGTCATTATTACTGATAAACAGAGATGTGTTGTTGTCACTTTTGTGAAAATTGGGTGCCACACAGGCTAGTGATGATTCAACTATTTTGGAGGTGAGGTGAAATTAGGTTTAGCGTAGCGTCGTGTGTGTCTGCTTGTACTAGTCCGGACCGATGCCGATTTATAGTGCTAGCTCACTGAGATACCATGCCGCAGTTTAACATGAATACCCAACTCAGACACAGTACACTGACTCCGAGCCGACCAGTCCTTGTTTTAGCCCCTTAATGCCGAGTGCCAGACAGGGTAACAACAAGTACCATCTTTTAACGGCTTTTGGTATGATGCAGCCGGGGATCAATCCCCAGACCTTCCACTCTCCGGGCGGACGTTTGGACAGGTAATGTGCCTTTGTATGCAGTTGTGTAATTTACACAGCAAATGGCAGCATCACCATCACCACTGCAAAAACTGATTCATTCATTGGGTCACAATACGATAACTGAGCACAATTGGTGACTGAGCAATTCAAAAGATTAAAATTCAAAAGTTATCATGCCTAACCATAGCTACTTACCTGTTTGAGTTTTGGTATTTCTGGGAGATCAACATCAAGCACAATTCCAACTTCGATAAGTTTTTCTAATTTCTCCGAATCTGGAGTTTCAGCATCTAAAGCATCTTTGGCTTCAGTCTGAAATTTGACCACCTTGTCAAGCAGTTCCTGTAAGATAAATGTCTGATGTTAACCTGATGAAACACACAAGCATGGGTATGGTGTTATCAAACCAATAATCAGTCAGGTCAAATCATTGGTGCTTCTGACAACGCCACACTCAGGACTATTGCAGCTATATGGTGGCGGTCCGTAAATAATCGAGTCTTGACCAGACAATCCAGTGATTGAGATCATGAGCATCGATCCACGCAATTGGGATAGGATGACATGCATCAACCAAGTCAGCAAGCCTGACCACCCAATCCCGTTTGACGCCTCTTACGTCAAGCATAGTCGCCTTTTAAAGCGAGAATGGGTTACTGAAGACCTTTTCTAACCCAGATCTTCACAGGTGTAAACCTAAGAGACGCAACTCGGCACAGATGCTCGCAGCCCACTGTGGCAGAACCAGACTCTTCATACATATTGATGTGTATCAAACTCATTTGATTAAAATATATTTTGCAACATTACAAATCAAAGTCAATCAGAATGGAGGTGCTGCTATGACCACTCAACTTGATGTGGATGTCCCTGAATTTGGTAGGACTAAAACCTCAAAGGTATTCATACTCTTAGAGCTAAATAATACACACCCTGTCAAATCAACAACTTTATTGACTTTTGAAAATTGAAACTGTCTGAACCATTTGCTCGACACACAGAGAGTGAGTGAGTGAGTTTGGTTTAACGCCACTTTTAACAGTATTCCAGTCATTTCACGGCGTGTCAGCTTAATGTGGGAGGAAAGCCTGAAGTGATGCAGGTCTCAAACGTTTACCACTTCGGTGAAACCTACGAGCACGGGTATGGTGCTGACAAACCTAGAAACATAATCGGGGCGAACCAGGAACCCACAATCATAGGTTCCTGGCGTGAGTAAGGGACGTAAATCTGCACAGCGAATCACGGCGCCTTTGACGACTGGGCCACCCGTGCCCTTGACACACAGAGAGAAATGAGCAAGTGTAACAGTACTGACCTTGACAAGCTTGGCCTCCAAGATCACACATGGTAGACTGATGACCTGTTCATGAAAGATGTTGAGTTCCTCAAGGTTTAACTTGGCTATGTATTTTCCCTCGAGGCTTTGGCGATTCCTGAAATACATAACAAATTGGTGTATTTGTCACAAAGTCAAGTCAACAAAACGAATTCGCTTTCTATACATATTACATTATGAATTCCTAAGACTGACCTGCTGACTATCATTACAGACGACCCAGAACTAGGGGAGATAATGCTTGTGACCTTGGTTGTGTTACCTTGTTCTCACTTTCTTGCTGACCAACTGGTTGGCAACATTGGCACACTTTTCTGCTTCATTCACAGCACTGGTGAGCTGTTGAAACAACTCGTTGTCGGGAAACTTTTTCTCTTCTGCCTCGGTAACTAAATCCTTCAGTTCTTGTAAATCTGTAAGAAGAGAAATTAATTCTTTTTGGCAATGAAGTAACTTTTTCCCCCTTTCTTAGATGCCACTGCCACAGCAAAGTGAAAACACAACTCATCTTCCAAATACTTTCCCATCACAAGAAACTCAACTACATCATCACCTGGAGCTAGAATGTGTTTCCACTTCGCTTATTTTCATAATTTACTTTTCAACTGAATAACTAATAATTGTTGGCAAAAAGTGGTGAAAGGAAGTATTACACTGTGACCTGAATAGCAAATGAATTTGACTTATGCAGCAATATTCCAGTCTGAGCTAGGTAAACCAGTGGCTGAATGCATGTTTATCTGTTTCTTGTTTAACGCCGCACTCAGCACATGTGACGTTAAATATTAACTAACTCACTCACTCCAGCTATATGACAGCGGTCTGTAAATATTCGAGTCTGGTCCAGACAATCCAGTGATTGACATCATGAGCATCAATCTACCCAATTGGGACACGATGACGTACATCAACCAAGTCAGACCGCCTGACCGCCTGACCACCTGATCCCGCTAGTCACCTCTTACGACAAGCATAGTTGCCTCTTACGGCAAGCATGGGTTCCTGAAGACCTATTCTCTACACGGATCGTCACGGGTCGACTGAATGCATGAGCAACAGCTCACACTGTTGAGATGTAGACACAATCAGCCCAGTCATATACTGTAACCACTGATCCTGTCTCATGACAAGCACTGGCAACTAGGGATGCGTTCTAAACGGAATCCCAAAAGGAGTACGGTTTTGAAAAGCCTGAAAAATTTAATAGCTGTTGACTGTTGACAGCAATTGGCTTTGCTCCTCAAGCTACTCCCAGAGAGAGAATGGCTGTTGGTTTGTCTCTCCAATGTCACCTACCTAATTTATCCTCCTGTGGTGCATCCAGTGCAGCCTTGACCTTCACATTCCAGTTATCGAAGGACTCGGCCCTCATCTTGAGCTTGTGTAGCATGGACGGCAGTTCGTCAAGCGTGTAGCGGTAGCGGAGGCATAGCTGAGTTGTGTCACAAGTGCATATGTGTTCTGTGTGGTACAGGCAGACCACCTTGTCTGAAAGCACAAGAGTTCACGCATATCATTGGAAGAAAAACATCTACCCCACTCAAGACACATAATACTGACCAGTGATCGAAACTAACAGTTTTAGCCCACTAGTCCTTATAACGATAACACATAGCAAAGCCCTTAATAAGGGCAAATTTCTACTAGCCCTTATGACACATTAACTATTGGGCAGATTGGCAAGGACCATAGGACTACATCGTTTGGCACTAGTCCTATAGTCCTTGCCAAACTGCCCAATGGTAAAGGTATCATAAGGACTAGTAGAAATTTGCCCTTTTTAAGGGTTTTGCTGTATGTTATCATTATAAGGACTAGTGGATGAAAACTGTTAGTTTCTAACCCTGGACTAGTGCCAACTTCTAATGCTGCTGACTCCCACACAACCAGTCCTTGTTTTATCCCCTTAATGCTGAGTGATAATGCCTTAATCATCCTTATACAGCGTTCGAAATTGGCACTAGTCCTATGGTCCTTGCCAAATTGCCCAATAGTTAAGGTATCATAAGGGCTAGTAGAAATTTTGACTTTTTTAAGGGTTTTGCTATATGTTATCATTATAAGGACTAGTGGACGAAAACTGTTAGTTTCTAACCCTGGACTAGTGCCAACTTCTAATGCTGCTGACTCCCACCCAACCAGTCCTTGTTTTATCCCCTTAATGCTGAGTGCCAGACAGGGGAACAACAAGTACCATCTGTTTACATGTTATGAATGACGAGTCTGGGGATCAAACCACTGACTTTCCACTCTCAGGGCAGACGCTCTACCCACTACACCACAGAGAAGGTCTTATGGAGTCATCAGTAATTACTTTGCTGCTTATACAATCAATAGACTAATCTGTGGACATTGTGTTTCATTACATCAAATTGGGCAGAAAATGTGATAACTGATTTAAGAAGATAAAACCATTCAGTAGAGGGGAAATATTTTTCGAACATTGGGACTTGAATTGATGAGATAATGCCTTAAACATCACCAAACTGCCCAATAGTTAAGGTATCCTAAGGGCTAGTAGAAATGCCATTTTTAAGGGTTTTGCTATATGTTATCATCATAAGGACTAGTGGACTAAAACTGTTAGCTTCTATCGCTGTAATAATAATAAGAAGAAGAAGAATGCTTGTACTTATATTACTCTAGCCTCCAATACACTTGGTGAATGCTCAAAGTACTAACATTATCAACCCGGTCAATAGATCAGTGTTCATCAAATGTTTTTCATTCTCACTTCCCTGGGGAGTATACAACCCACACTATTTTGTCAGTCACATTACCATCTCATCCTACTGGTAGCCCATTCACAGCTGGGTGAACAGAGGAATATTTCGAAACAAATCACTTGCCTAAGGAGACACCACATGTGCTTCAGTGCAGGGCAGGACCAAAGCACTAGCAACCCTCAGGAGTAAAGCTCCAGAACGTGGCCACCCATCCAACTACTCTCCGCAACTAATATGTCACTTAACTTCACCTGATTTGTGACCTGTGCACCGTGTGAACTGAGTACAGGTCAACATGCCACCAATGTAATCACTAGCCTCGTCACATATCCCAATATTATCAGGAATCAAGAGCTCCCAGAGTACCAGGATTAGATTGAGTGTAGGTTCTTACTTGGACTACAGGGGCAGGTGATCCCGGACAGGAAACATGTTGTCTTGCAGTGGTAACACTGGCGCTCGTCATCCGGGAGCAGCTCAAACGCTTCTCTCTCAGCTTCAACAACACCCTGCAACACACAGAAACACACTCAATACATGGTATGTTGAACAGGAAAAACTACTTAATTTGATGAGACTTGGTAATTTATGCCATTTTTAACAATGGAACCAGAAAATGGGTGTATCATTTTTGCAAGCCCTATTTGATATATTACAAACAACACAAGATGCAAAATTATCACTGTATAAAAGGGAAAACTGAAATGTAGTCATCTCTGAACTTCTGTGTCAATCAATTTGCTGCATCTAGAACCAACTACCTGGCACAGGATCACAGTGATAAACCAACTACCTGGTACAGGATCACAGTGATAAACCAACTACCTGGCACAGGATCACAGTGATAAACCAACTACCTGGCACAGGATCACAGTGATAAACCAACTACTTGGCACAGGATCACAGTGATAAACCAACTACCTGGCACAGGATCACAGTGATAAACCAACTACCTGGTACAGGATCACAGTGATAAACCAACTACCTGGCACAGGATCACAGTGATAAACCAACTACCTGGCACAGGATCACAGTGATAAACCAAAAACCTGGCACAGGATCACAGTGATAAACCAACTACCTGGCACAGGATCACTGTGATAAACCAACTAACCGGCACAGGATCACAGTGATAAACCAACTACCTGGCACAGGATCACAGTGATAAACCAACTACCTGGCACAGGATCACAGTGATAAACCAACTACTTGGCACAGGATCACAGTGATAAACCAACTACCTGGCACAGGATCACAGTGATAAACCAACTACCTGGCACAGGATCGCAGTGATAAACCAACTACTTGGCACAGGATCACAGTGATAAACCAACTACTTGGCACAGGATCACAGTGATAAACCAACTAACCGGCACAGGATCACAGTGATAAACCAACTACTTGGCACAGGATCACAGTGATAAACCAACTAACCGGCACAGGATCACAGTGATAAACCAACTACCTGGCACAGGATCACAGTGATAAACCAACTACTTGGCACAGGATCACAGTGATAAACCAACTACCTGGCACAGGATCACAGTGATAAACCAACTACCTGGCACAGGATCACAGTGATAAACCAACTACTTGGCACAGGATCACAGTGATAAACCAACTAACCGGCACAGGATCACAGTGATAAACCAACTACTTGGCACAGGATCACAGTGATAAACCAACTAACCGGCACAGGATCACAGTGTTAACCAACTACCTGGCACAGGATCACAGTGATAAACCAACTACCTGGCACAGGATCACAGTGATAAACCAACTAACTGGCACAGGATCACTGTGATAAACCAACTAACTGGCACAGCCAAGCAGTGATAAACCAAATAACTGACACAGCCCAGCAGTGATAAACCAAATAACTGACACAGCCCAGCAGTGATAAACCAACTAACTGGCAGAGCCCAGCAGTGATAAACCCACCAACTGGCACAGCCATGCAGTGATAAACCCACTAACTGGCACAGCCATGCAGTGACAAACCAACTAACTGGCACAGCCCAGCAGTGATAAACCAACTAACTGGCACAGCCACTCAGTGATAAACCAACTAACTGGCACAGCCCAGCAGTGATAAACCAACTAACTGGCACAGCCACTCAGTGATAAACCCACTAACTGGCACAGCCCAGCAGTGATAAACCAACTAACTGGCACAGCCACTCAGTGATAAACCAACTAACTGGCACAGCCCAGCAGTGATAAACCAACTAACTGGCACAGCCACTCAGTGATAAACCAACTAACTGGCACAGCCCAGCAGTGATAAACCAACTAGCTGCTACATGCTAGCAGTGATAAACCCACCAACTGGCACAGCCCAGCAGTGATAAACCAACTAACTGGCACAGCCCAGCAGTGATAAACCCACCAACTGGCATAGCCCAGCAGTGATAAACCCACAAACTGGCCCAGCCCTGCAGTGATAAACCCACTAACTGGCACAGCCCAGCAGTGACAAAACCAACTAACTGGCACAGCCCAGCAGTGATAAACCAACTAACTGGCACAGCCATGCAGTGATAAACCAACTAACTGGCACAGCCAAGCAGTGATAAACCAAATAACTGACACAGCCTAGCAGTGATAAACCCACCAACTGGCCCAGCCCAGCAGTGATAAACCAACTAACTGACACAGCCATGCAGTGATAAACCAACTAACTGGCACAGCCAAGCAGTGATAAACCAACTAACTGACACAGCCATGCAGTGATAAACCAACTAACTGGCACAGCCAAGCAGTGATAAACCAACTAGCTGCTACATGCTAGCAGTGATAAACCCACCAACTGGCACAGCCCAGCAGTGATAAACCAACTAGCTACTACATGCTAGCAGTGATAAACCCACCAACTGGCACAGCCCAGCAGTGATAAAGCAACTAACTGGCACAGCCCAGCAGTGATAAACCAAATAACTGACACAGCCTAGCAGTGATAAACCCACCAACTGGCCCAGCCCAGCAGTGATAAACCCACCAACTGGCACAGCCCTGCAGTGATAAACCCACAAACTGGCCCAGCCCAGCCCAGCCCAGCAGTGATAAACCCACTAACTGGCACAGCCCAGCAGTGATAAACCAACTAACTGGCACAGCCATGCAGTTATAAACCCACTAACTGGCACAGCCAAGCAGTGATAAACCCACTAACTGGAACAGCCATGCAGGGATAAACCCACCAACTGGCATAGCCATGCAGTGATAAACCAACTAACAGGCACAGCCCAGCAGTGATAAACCAACTAACAGGCGCAGCCCAGCAGTGATAAACCCACTAACCATGCTAACTGTCACAGCCCAGCAGTGACAAACCCACTAACTGGCACAGCCAAGCAGTGATAAACCAACTAACTGGCATAGCCCAGCAGTGATAAACCCACAAACTGGCCCAGCCAAGCAGTGATAAACCAACTAACTGGCACAGCCCAGCAGTGATAAACCAACTAACTGGCACAGCCAAGCAGTGATAAACCAAATAACTGACACAGCCATGCAGTGATAAACCAACTAACTGGCACAGCCAAGCAGTGATAAACCAACTAGCTGCTACATGCTAGCAGTGATAAACCCACCAACTGGCATAGCCCAGCAGTGATAAACCAACTAGCTACTACATGCTAGCAGTGATAAACCCACCAACTGGCACAGCCCAGCAGTGATAAACCAACTAACTGGCACAGCCCAGCAGTGATAAACCAAATAACTGACACAGCCTAGCAGTGATAAACCCACCAACTGGCCCAGCCCAGCAGTGATAAACCCACCAACTGGCACAGCCCTGCAGTGATAAACCCACAAACTGGCCCAGCCCAGCCCAGCCCAGCAGTGATAAACCCACTAACTGGCACAGCCCAGCAGTGATAAACCAACTAACTGGCACAGCCCAGCAGTAACAAACCAACTAACTGGCACAGCCCAGCAGTGATAAACCAACTAACTGGCACAGCCATGCAGTGATAAACCCACTAACTGGCACAGCCCAGCAGTGATAAACCAACTAACTGGCACAGCCATGCAGTTATAAACCCACTAACTGGCACAGCCAAGCAGTGATAAACCCACTAACTGGAACAGCCATGCAGGGATAAACCCACCAACTGGCATAGCCCAGCAGTGATAAACCAACTAACAGGCACAGCCCAGCAGTGATAAACCAACTAACAGGCGCAGCCCAGCAGTGATAAACCCACTAACTGGCACAGCCCAGCAGTGATAAACCAACTAACTGGCACAGCCCAGCAGTGATAAACCCACTAACTGGCACAGCCCAGCAGTGATAAACCCACTAACTGGCACAGCCCAGCAGTGATAAACCAACTAACTGGCACGGCCCAGCAGTGACAAACCAACTAACTGGCACGGCCCAGCAGTGACAAACCAACTAACTGGCACGGCCCAGCAGTGACAAACCAACTAACTGGCACAGCCTAGCAGTGATAAACCCACTAACTGGCACAGCCCAGCAGTGACAAACCAACTAACCAAACAGTGGTGGGTACAACCAAGATAACACTTACCATATCCAACAACTTCTTCCTCAGCTGTTTCTCCTCCTCCACAATGGCCAGCATGTCCTGATGTGTGCAGGCTGCCAGGTTGAGATCCAGACTGTCAGGATCTGCAGCCATCTTACAGATCAACTCCTCATGTGAGAACACACACTGACGGTGAAGGCTACGGTAGTTGTCAATGCATAGACGGCCCATGCCCAGCTGAAGAAAAGATCATACAATTTAAATAAGTAGTGCGTGAGTGAGTGAGTGAGTGAGTGAGTGAGTGAGTGAGTGAGTGAGTGAGTGAGTTTGGTTTTACTCTTTGAACACATGTAAGTAATGTCAGATTCAAATCCACAATGTTCACATGGCAAAGGGAAGCATCTCTGCTTAGTGAATTGTGGCACCTTCAATGATTGGGCTACCAGTGCCCATGAGTAGTTTGTTCGTTAGTTTGTTGTTTAACGCTGCACTCAGCAATATTCCAGCTATATGACTACGGTCTGTAAATGATCGACTCTGGACCAGACAATCCAGTGATTGACATCACGAGCATCGGTCCACACCATTGGGATACGATGACATGCATCAACCAAGTCAGAGAGCATGACCACTCAATCCTGTAAGTCGCCATTTACGGCAAACATGGGTAGTAGGTCAATGGTACAATGTCAATGGAGTGGTGACACAACTATATTTTGGAATCTGAATCTACTTAGTAATGAGCTACAATACCTTAACATGGTAAGAACAGCCTGTACATTTTCTAGTCTGGAGCAGACAAACCACAGAAAAATCGAGCACAATGAGTTGCAATCAACCAAGTCATCGCGCCTGACCGTTTCATAAACTTTTGAAACAGAAAGTCCATGCCTCTAGCTGGCTTCAATGAAGTGATATACATGGACCTGCTTAATAAGAGGTGAGGTGAAGTGAAAAGGGGTTTAACGTCACGTCCAAGATTATTGCACGTGTGTGTGTGTGTGGCTGTGTGTGTGTGGCTGTGTGTGTGGCTGCTTGTACTAGTCCAGACTGATCCCTATTTATAGTGCTAGCTCACTGAGATACCATGCCGCAGTTTAACATGAACACAAAAGGGAAAACTGAAATGTAGTCATCAGTGTAGTGTTTCAAGTCTTAGCCCCTTAAGCAGCGTTAGAAATCGGCACTAGTCCTGTAGTCCTTACCAAACTGCCCAATAGTAAAGGTATCCTAAGGACTAGTAGAAATTGGCCCATTTTAAGGGTTTTGCAATATGTTATCATTACAAGGACTAGTGGGCAAAAACTGTTAGTTTCTAACCCTGTTAAGCCCCTTTATGCCGAGCGCCAGACAGGGTAACAGCGACCATCTTTTAACGTCTTTTTGTATGACGCAGCTCGGGATCAAACTCCGTACCTTCCGCTCTCCGGGCGGACGCTCTACCACTAGACCACGGAGGTGGTCTTGCTTAATAAGAACTTACCCAGTCAGCAGGACAGAAGTTGACAGCCTCAGCGAAGTTGTATCCCTGGTTGAAGCCTGCATGGTAGGCTCTCGGGAAGGTCACCACAAACTCACCCGCATGCTGGTTTGTACGGACAATCTACATAGGACAAATAGAAGTATCAGGCAATGTATCCACATGATAATGCTTCACTGACTAGTGCAGATCAGCATATACATGGACAAATCAACATGATTAGGTCACTCTTCAAAGAAATTGAGAATGGGATATCATCAGTAACATTACAGGAGGAACACACTGTTTAAAATGGAACATCAATAAAAGCAAGGCCATCTGAACAAGTTGTTGGCAGTGGGTTTGGTATGAGCGAGTGAGTGAGTGAGTTGGGTTTAACGCCGCTTTTAAACAGTATTCCAGTTATATCGCGGCGTGTCAGCTTAATGTGGGAGGAAAGCCCGAAGTGATGCAGGTCACAGACGTTTACCACTTTGGTGAAACCCACGAGCACGGGTATGGTGCTGACAAACCTAGAAACATAATCAGGGCGAACCGGGATTCGAACCCACGATCATAGGTTTCTGGCGTGCCCAAGGGACGCAACTCTGCACAGCGAATCGCGGCGCCTTAGACGACTGGGCCACCCGTGCCCCCGGGTTTGGTTTGACTTCCCTTGAACAGTATTCCAGTTGTATCAGGGTGTATTACAGTGGTCCCTCGCTACAACGCTACCAATGGGGTCCAAATAATTGGTGGGCGTTATAGACGATGAGCCGTTCAACCGAGGCCGAGGCGGGGGAGCGCGCTCGGCCAATCTCACGATCTTCGCCTTGTCTCGCACATTGCAATGATACAAGTTGTTTACCTTTCATAGTGTAAAAATATATATCCATTATGTTTTCACCGTTTGTTATTATTTACAAGCCTTAACTGTCACATTCAATGTGAATGTAGTCTACTTACATGAAAATATCGATTGATAATGGTAGTAACAGACGCTATGAGTGAAGAGCCAATCACAATTCATTACACAAGTACAGAGTGTTTCAGTGGCATTGATTGGTCATGAGTTTTAACCAGCACTATGCGCATTCATACACATTCCTACAAATATAGATACACATTCAAGCCAGATTAATTGGTTTGATACGGTTACTTGATCCGAATCAAAAGGAATGACCGCCGTGTTGTGACAGCAACATGTGAGTTGACAGTGTCGCCTCAAATTGGATTGCCCACTAATTAAGAATATAAACTTTGCTTGTGGTTCTCTTTTATTGCATTCATGCGCTTCTAAGATCAAAGGATGTATAGTGTGAAAAGTTAACTAGTAGAACAATCGTATTTCCGGGACTTGCCGCGGATGTTTTCAAACAGATTATTAGAACTCCATTCAGCGATAAACGGTTGATTATGCAATGAGAAGCGTTATGTGCAAATGAACAACGAACAACAATACAATCATGGCTGTGTAAAACTCTCAGTATTAAAAGTGTACATAAATTTTGGGAGCCATGCGATACCGCGCGTAGTAACCAAGGTAGCGCTTTATCAAAGAGCCCAATAGCGAGGGATCACTGTAGTTGATATGGAGGCTGTTCTAGTACTTTGACGATCTGACCTGCTGCCAACACATTATTATTTGTACGATTTTTACATAGATCTGAGCAAAATGAAAACATACTGGCACGCCCTTTGCCATCAGCAGATTCGGGTTCATGATGGTCGTCAGCTGATGAAGCAGGTCTGGAGCCTGCTCAAACAGCTCTGGAGCCATCTGCCTCATGGCTCTCTCGAAGATGTCAGCCGATTCCCCAGGGACCCCATACCATGTCTTGGGTTCTCCCCTAAATAAGACAGATTTATTTAGAAAACTCGTCACATCAAGTCACACAACAGCTGATGACAACAGTCTATCATTGTTGACATCATATGTAATAAGTCACACAACAGATTCTTTATTTGTTTGTTGTTTTACGCCGAAATCGACAATATTCCAGCTTTAACATGCGGTCTGTAAATAATCAAGTCAGGACCAGACAATCCAGTGATTGATATCATGAGCATCAATCCATGTCATTGGGAAAGGATGACATGCATCAACCAAGTCAGCGAGCCTGACCACCCGATCCCATTAGTCGCCTTTTACGACAAGCATAGTGGCCTTTTACGGCAAGCATGGGTTGCTCAGGGTGCGATTTCATTCTATTTTTACCACCTGCTCCAGGTGCACGTCTCACGGTCAGACATGCACAAATCACTGCCAGATATAACCAATGAAATTGTTCCGAAAGAATTTGTTAAATTCTGCATTGTGGTGATAGATGTCACATAGCTAGGCAGCCAATTGCTGCCTAATTCTGTGAAATGTGATGTTTATAGAACGGGATTTACAAGAATTTTTGCTAGTAATTTCCAATGCCTGCTCTGTGAAAATGGACTTTTCTACACCATATAAATTCAGAAATGTGGCATTAATAGTGTTTGGGCGTATAAAGTGGCGAGTGAATATATATGTTTGAGCCAATGGTGTCAAAAATGTGCTACTTATGCAAATACAAACACTAGATGCAACTGTGGGCCTGTAAATTAAATGCGTGTGGTCCAGACAATCAAGTGTCTGTCCGAGGTACAACCCACAGTTGTTCACTGTTGATCGCGTGTGGGCAAAGTTCGACACAGCTTTTTCCATAATAGACACTGCTTCATCACAACAGTTGAGTAATAAATGTGTAATAAACTACTGTATTCAACGTAATAAGCGCCCACGGCAATATTTGCAAATGTATTGGCTAGTGAACAATCCCAATTAGCACCCCTTCCAATTGATCAATGTACACAAGACTTATTTATTCGCGTATAATTCGCACTCGTGTGTTATCTGTACCCTTAATTATGGGCAATTAAATACTGGAAAACATATCTGTCCAGCATACACACAGACTTTTCTTTTGTATCATTTCAGGCTGTCAGCATAAACCACGAAATTTACGATCTTTCAACTGTTTTTTTTTCGCCAATTTTTTTTATTCTAATAAGAGCCCCCTATTTCTAATTTTGTGAGTGCCCTGGGCGCTTATTGCAGCATTTACGGTAAATACTACACTGGTATATAAACCTGTGAACCCAAACAGGACATGGCTGTTTCCTGTACACAAATGTGACTCACCAATGCAGGTAGTTGATGGAGTAGCTCCAGTGGTCCTCATTGTGCCAGCAGAAGCTGGAGAAACACATGCCAACATAACACCAAGGGATCTGAAAAAACAAATGGAAGCATGAAACTACTCTAAATGCGATGAAACAAGTTTTAGTGAAGTTCAAATGCCGATAAACAGTATTTCAATGAAGGGAAGGAAGTTCAAAGAGAGACATGTTGTTTGTTTCTTGTATAACACTGCACTCAGCAATATTCCAGGCACATTTAATATGCAACTCTGACCCAGACAATCCAGTGATTGATATTATGAGCAATGATCCAAGCCTCTTGTGACCAGCATAGGTTGCTTAGGACCTATTATAACCTGGAATCCCCACATGGAGACAAGCAATAGGTTGCTGGGGACTTATCCTAACCCAGCATCCCCATGGGGAGACAAGCAATAGGTTGCTGGGGACCTATATTTACCCAGCATCCCCACAGGGAGACAAGCAATAGGTTGCTCGAGACCTATTCTAACCTCGAATCCCCACATGGAGACAAGCAATAGGTTGCTGGGGACTTATCCTAACCCAGCATCCCTATGGGGATACAAGCAATAGGTTGCTGGGGACCTATTCTAACCCAGCATCCCCATGGGGAGACAAGCAATAGGTTGCTGGGGACCTATTCTAACCCAGCATCCCCATGGGGAGACAAGCAATAGGTTGCTGGGGACCTATTCTAACCCAGCTTCCCCATGGGGAATAAAGGAATAGGTTGCTGGGGACTTATCCTAACCCAGCATCCCCATGGGGAGACAAGAAATAGGTTGCTGGGGACCTATTCTAACCCAGCTTCCCCATGGGGATACAAGCAATAGGTTGCTGGGGACCTATTTTAACCTGGAATCCCCATGGGGAGACAAGCAATAGGTTGCTGGGGACCTATAATTACCCAGCATCCCCATGGGGATACAAGCAATAGGTTGCTGGGGACCTATAATTACCCAGCATCCCCATGGGGAGACAAGCAATAGGTTGCTGGGGACCTATAATTACCCAGCATCCCCACAGGGAGACAAGCAATAGGTTGCTCGAGACCTATTCTAACCTGGAATCCCCACATGGAGACAAGCAACAGGTTGCTGGGTAATGAACAAAATATGTTCCAAAGAAGTGACACATGCTTCATCAACATATTGCTATGCTGGCTGGCTGTTTGTACATCTTACCTTCATCCCTGAGATGTCAGCATTGATATGGCAAAGCACGGACTGTTCTAGAACCGGCAAGTTGTTGAGATTCCAGCCTGAGTTTACATACTCCTGTAACAAAGTTCACATGACCAGAACTTTCATCACACAATACAACCTGAAGCACATACACCAGTTACCACCATTTCTTTAATTTATTTCATTTACATAATATTTTCCCTTGACCATGTCTATTATTTCAGAACAGTGAATTACAAATACCTAACTGAGGCTAAAAAATATATAATAGTCCCAGTTCTCAGGCACCTCCCCCATCATCATAAAGTTTGACGCATGTTTCGGTTTTATTTCCATTTTAAAAAACAAATAAGAAATCCTTTAATATTCCAAGCCCAACAGTATTCAAATACAAGTCCAGCATTTTACACATCAAGGAATACATTAATGTTAGGAGGCCCTTTCCCAGGTTGATTGAACACAATTGTTTATTTGGTTACACAACTGTTTATTTGGTTACATACTAGTTTGAACAAAAAGAAAAAGAAAGAAAAGACACCACCCACCCGCACTATAGTTTACAAAAATATTGCCTGAGAACCAATTGTTGTTTTTTTTAAAGCATAAGTATGGATATCTTACCTCATCCTCGGGACACATGACATCGGACTTCTGTGTAGGGAAGCCACTGCCCATCTCAGAGGCATGGATGTCCGCTCCATACTGTACTGACACATCTTCCTCGATACAGCTGACAAGTCGCCAGAACTCCTTCTCCACAACAGCACAGGGAACCATCTGTCACAGAAACAGGAGCCATGAAATCACAGGATCTTGGAAGTAGAGGGTCTTGCTTCTTAAAGACCGACCATTAAAAATTGGGGGCTTGCTTCAAGACATACAAATGTTTTCTCTGACCCAAACAATTTTCATTTTTTTCTGTAACACATTTTCTCAGGACATCCAGCCTTGCAAAGAATTATTTGAAAAATCTGAACACGTCATTTTTTTCAAGTATTTTCGGGAATCAGATTTTTTGTTTTCCCCAAACAGTCCTAGTCCCTATCAGGGTACAATGATACATAATCAACCATGTCACTGATCATGGCCACCAGGTCCATTAAGTCACCCCTTATGACAAGCAATAGAAAATTGCCAAGACTGTAAAAGTCAGTGTCAGGATTACTGGGGGCTGAAGCAGTGGGTGTGTTCTGTGTTGGCCTTGATAGGCTGAGGGGTAACTGTCACACTCGTCAAACTGGGCAAATGTCTGGCCTGCTGGAACTTGCTTTGCTATTTTCACAATATCCTGAGGTGTGAGATGCTTGGACTATCCTACCTACAGCCTTGTCTAATGTTGCTCAAACAATTTCCCTTCCAGTTATATCATATGGGAGGAAAGCCAAAAGTGAAGCAGGTCTTAGACGTTTACCACTTTGGTTAAAAAAAGCCACGAGCACAGGTGTTGTGCTGACAAACCTAGGAACAAAATAGGGGCGAACCGGGTTTCGAACCCATGATCATTGGTTTCTGGCGTGCCAAAAGGATGCAACTCTGCATAGCCAATTGCGGCACCTTAGACAACCCAACTACTAACTACACATAAGACAAATTTCAAAACATTTTGAAAAAAATAATGAGTTTCCAAATATGTCTTCTGTGGCAGCAGTGTTTCAACCAAATTGAAATTCTATGAGCAAGTGTTGGAGACACCCTGAAAAGATTCAGCTTTATAAATCTTGTAGTTTCAGGGATAACGAAAATGCTAACGTCAATGGACAACAATAAAGACAGAAAAACAATGCTCAAAGACATGAGCTCCCTTGCCTTTACAGTGTACAAAAATGTAAACTATATATATGCACATAAATGATGGCTTGTAAATACTTACATGCACAGGCATGTTGAAGTAGTTAGACTTGAAGTTGTCAGCCATCTCCCCAAATGACTGAAGAGAGTACTCAGTCCTGGACTGCTCAAACCCATAGGGATCCTGAGGCCTTGAACATGCCTGATGAAGAGAAAGATTAATCAAATAATCCAGCGTGAGTGTTGCTTTACAATGCTATAGGAGTGAGTGAGTGAGTATGGTTTTACATCGCTTTTAGCAGTATTCCAGCAGTATTCCAGCAGGGAATACCAGCTATGGGCTTCATACATTGTATCCATGTGGAGAATCGAACCCGGTCCTTTGGCATAATGAGCGAACACCCTAACCACAAGGCTATCCCAATGTCAGACAATGCTATTTGAACATGCATTAATGTTAGTATTAGATTAAAATCACTGTCTAAAAATTAAAAAATTAAAAATTAAAATGGTACTGGAGTCCACTTACTTGTTTGACACACTTAGGACATCTCCAGTCTCCCTTAGGTACATCTACAAGTGGTGGGATGAGGCAGTAGGTGTGGAAGGCATCGTCACAGCCGTCACACAGTAGCATGTACTCCTCCCCATCTCCCCCTTCACACATGTGACACAGATACTTGTCAACCTGGAACACAACACACACAATACAGGTGCTTGTCAACCTGGAACACACAACGCACATAATACAGGTGCTTGTCAACCTGGAACACACAACGCACACAATACAGGTGCTTGTCAACCTGGAACACAACACACACAATACAGGTGCTTGTCAACCTGGAACACACAACGCACACAATACAGGTGCTTGTCAACCTGGAACACACAACGCACACAATACAGGTGCTTGTCAACCTGGAACACACAACGCACACAATACAGGTGCTTGTCAACCTGGAACACACAACACACACAATACAGGTGCTTGTCAACCTGGAACACAATACAGGTGCTTGTCAACCTGGAACACACAACGCACATAATACAGGTGCTTGTCAACCTGGAACACAATACAGGTGCTTGTCAACTTGGAACGCACAATACATGTGCTTGTCAGCCGGGAACACACAACGAACACACAATACAGGTGCTTGTCAACTTGGAACGCACAATACATGTGCTTGTCAACCTGGAACACACAACAAACACACAATACAGGTGCTTGTCAACCACTAACACACAAATCAAAGTACAGGTGCTTGTCAATCTTTAACACACATGACACAGGGTCCATCTCATACACCTCAACACATACAGGGTCCATCTCAAACACCCCCACACATGAGATCCATACAGGGTCCATCTCATACACCCCCACACATAAGATCCATATAGGGTCCATCTCATACACCCCCACACATAAGATCCATACAGGGTCCATCTCATACACCCCCACACATAAGATCCATACAGGGTCCATCTCATACACCTCAACACATACAGGGTCCATCTCATACACCCCCACACATAAGATCCATACAGGGTCCATCTCATACACCTCAACACGCGAGACTCATATAGGGTCCATCTCATACACCCCCACACATAACACACATATAGGGTCCATCTCATTCACCTCCACACGACACACATACAGGGTCCATCTAATACACCCCCACACACAAGATTCATATAGGGTCCATCTCATACACCTCCACACACGAGATTCATATAGGGTCCATCTCATACACCCCCACACATAACACACATATAGGGTCCATCTCATACACCCCCACACATAACACACATATAGGGTCCATCTCATACACCCCCACACACGAGATTCATATAGGGTCTATCTCATACACCCCCACACATAACACACATATAGGGTCCATCTCATACACCCCCACACACGAGATTCATATAGGGTCCATCTCATACACCCCCACACACGAGATTCATATAGGGTCTATCTCATACACCCCCACACAAGAGATTCATATAGGGTCCATCTCATACACCTCCACACACGAGATTCATATAGGGTCCATCTCATACACCCCAAAAACACGAGATTCATATAGGGTCCATCTCATACACCCCCACACACGAGATTCATATAGGGTCCATCTCATACACCTCCACACACGAGATTCATATAGGGTCCATCTCATACACCTCCACACATAACACACATATAGGGTCCATCTCATACACCTCCACACACGAGATTCATATTGGGTCCATCTCATACACCCCCACACATAACACACATATAGGGACCATCTCATACACCTCCACACACGAGATTCATATAGGGTCCATCTCATACACCCCCACACATAACACCTAATAGGGTCCATCTCATACACCCCCACACATAACACCTAATAGGGTCCATCTCATACAACCACCCCCACATGACGCACATATAGGGTCCATCTCATACACCTCCACACATAAGGGATCCATCTCATACACCTCCACACGACACACATATAAGAGTCCATCTCATACACCTCCACACGACACACATATAAGAGTCCACCTACATCTCACACACCTCCAACATGACACACAAATAGCATCCATCGCATCTTATACATCTCAACAGACAGAGAAATAAATCACAATACTGAATCAACAAATTGAGATTTCTGATTGTTTCAGATGTATTAACACTTTATTTTCTTGTTGGGCAAAACTATTTCAACTTAAACATTATACAACATGATGAAGAAGCAGGAAGGTAGCTGGGATAGCAATGGCATTAAAGACAGGAAGATACACCAACACTGTGCAGCAAATCATAACCCTGAGTGTTTAACCAGCCTTATCTCACCTTGCATTAAGATACTCGATTCTGATTGACTACTGAATGGGCAATTTTACTGACAGTAAGGTACAAATTTAAAATACCCAGCTGGGAAATGCAGAATGTCATACCAACGCAAATATGTTCATTACCTCAAAACTAAACACGCATCAACTTCAGCTTAGAGAACATAAAGGAACACAGCTGACTGTAATGCAAGGGGCGATAACTCTGGATGTACTGACATCGTCTACTCAAGCCTGATGAAGACACATGTCAGTAAAATCAATTTGTTTACAACTGGTCCCTCGGGGCATAGAGTGTGATGTAGTCTGTGTGCGAGCCTATGTAGCCCTTTCCTGGCGGCTCGGAGTATATAGGCTCACACACAGGCTACATAACACCATATACCCCTCGAGATTAGTCAATAAGGCTAAAAAAAATAAAAGAATTGGTTCTCAGGCAATGCTTTTTGAAAATTTAGTGTTGGCGGGCGGTGTCTTTTTTCGGGGGGGGGGGGGGGGGAAATGTTGAAACTAGTATGTAACCAATAAACAGTTGTGTAATCAATAAACAATTGTGTACAATCAACCTGGGGAAGGGCCTCCCTACATAAATGTATTCCTTAATGAGTAAAATACTGGAATACAGTATTTGATTACCGTTGGACTTGGAATATTTAAGGATTTTTTTTGTTTAAAAAAAAAAAAGGAAATAAAAACGAAACGAACGGCGAAGTGCCTGAGAACCAAGTCCATCATTTTTTTTGCCTAACTGATAATATTACAATTATTATATCACTGGTTAAGATATATGCCCCAGCTTGCTATGATGTGCAAATATTGTAGTGTTGAGGTGCCACTAATTTGAATTAAGGAGTTACATGGACAGTGGCAAACAAAGTGGTGTGTATCAGTGACACAAATGCACTTGTCTTCAAGTGTGCCTCAGGGCATTCCATGAATACCGTATTCAACGTAATAAGCGCCTAGGGCGCTCTCAAAATTAGAAATAGGGGGCTCTTATTAGAATATATATTTTTGAGTTCAAAGAGCGTAAATTTCGTGGTTTATGCTGAAATGTTTATAAACGACAGATATATTTTTCCAGAATTTAATTGACCATAATTAAGGGTGCATATAACAAACGTATTATGCACGAATAAATAGCCTTGTGTACATTTATCAATCGGAAGGGGTGCTAATTAGGATTGTTCACTAGCCAGTATATTAACAAATATCGCCGTGGGCGCTTATTAGAGCGGGGCGCTTATTACGTCGAATATGGTATGTTTAGATGTGCCCTCCGGAATTTGAATGTGTCAACAAGAGGAATTTTGTTTCATTAAACTCTGTGAATGACATTTCACCAAGGCTATATACATAATAAGCAGTTGTACCGTATATTGCCTTCTATAAAGCGACCCCACGTATAAAGCGAACCCCCCGTACAATTTATATACCCTGTCTATTAAGCGAATCAGAATGAAGCATGTCACCAGCACAGACACAATCCCCACATTTGTAATAAAAACGTGTTTGTCTTCTACAGATAGAAATGACATTTTATCCCTTCAGCGAATTCAGGGAAACGAACAGATCATAACAATTAAACTTGGTCAATACAAATTTAAAATTTGAGATAAAAAACCCACTAGACATGATGATTTACCGATTAAATTGTATTTCCTGTTCTGATAGGCATTGTTTTATATGTACAGATTAAGATTACTGTGTGTATTTTCACGTAAACTAAGCCGAAAGTAGCAATCAGCTGTACACACGTTTCTCGGAATCTAGCGGTGATTCGGTAAAAAATTACCCAATAATATAATTATAAAGAATTTTGATACAATGATCGAAAGAATTATGTCTGAAACTATATTTTATCACGAATAATTTATTCCAATATCATGTTATTTTAGTAGTACTTTACTATATTTATTTTAAATAAATTAATAACCATAAGCGTAGCACTTTGGTACTGCTGATCATTATTGCCGGACATTTTTTCATATGGAACAATTTGACCAATCACCGTCGATGCTCCTGCACTTGCGATAGTGAAAACTATGTTGACATGTAACCAAACTACAACAAATATGACTTTCAGCAAGTCAAAGTATCCATTCTCTATCCACTAAAGTTCGTTCAAGGTGTCAATAGCGGCAATATAAACTGTGGTTGCTGTATTTGTTTGTTTGTTGTTTAACGCCACACTCAGCAATATTCCAGCTAAATGACGGCGGTCTGTAAATAATCGAGTCTGGACAAGACAATCCAATGACTGACGTCATAAGCATCGATCCATGCAACTGGGATACAATGACATGCATCAACCAAGTCAGCGAGCCTGACCCCCCGATCCCATTAGTCGCCTCTTACGACAAGCATTGTCGCCTTTTACGGCAAGCATGGGTTGCTGACAGTGTCAGCAGTATCACAGCTGGGTACATCAGCAATTATACCCATGTATTCATACCCAGGTGGGGAATCATACCCTGGCTTTCAGCGTGACGAGCAAATGCCTTAACTACTAGCCTACCCAATCACATTAAAATCAGATCCTAGTTCTCACTACCGCTAAACAAAGATCTGAGGACATCCCATTACGGGTCACGTCAGACTGACCTTGCGCAAACTTTGACCGACAAATGGTATGACCAATCAGAAGGCAGCTTTCTCATGCTTAACGGCACTAATTTCAAATTGGCAACTACGCTGCAAAACATATTTTGACAAATTCTCGATTACAGATTTGAAACCTGAACAAAAGAACATTCTGGAATGGCTTATAGATGGTCTAGATTGTATGGATTCAGTCGTTAAACCCGTAACTATCGTTCGGGGTTAAAGTTTTCAAGGTTGCATGATTAGAAATCACATTCCGACTGTCACTTTCATCATCTGGTAAGCGATGCTCTGGTCGGATGATAGGTCGTTCTGACGTGACCCCCTAATCGGATGTCCTCAGAACTTTGTTTAGCGGTAGCGAGAACTGAGGTCTGATTTTAATGAGATTGCTAGCCTACCCCTCTGATCTGATAGAAGTTATGTGCCACCAAGCCATGAAGAAATTGCGTTACAATTCAGATTGCAAACTTTTAAATGAACATCTTATACCATATCAAATTCACACAGTTTACATAGGAGATATAAAAAACAGTAAGAATGTAAAGAAACACATAAATATGTAGACATAACAATGATTATAGATTCTGACAAAACAAAATAAGAACAAGATACCTCCAGTTTACAACAGACATATGCTATAACATTAACTCGTTTCTAAAGAAACAAAGGACACAAACTTTTTTTTCTTAAACACCAATATCATGACAGTGTTCTGGTTTTCTGTCTGTAAGCAAAAATTCCAGTTATTTTTAAGGACAGTTAAAGTTATACATTTGACATTATTTTATTGTGTAAGAATACACATCTTTTCTGATAATTTCCTCTACAATATCATATTGAGAAAGACTTTGAATTAATTGGGATACTGTTAAGTCTGGTTAAAAAAGAAAATTTGTAATTATTTCCTTACAATTCTGGTGAGAGTAACTTACTACAATGATCACCATACCTTTCAAAATGCACCAAAAAATTAAAATGCACCAAAAAATGCAGATTCATATTTACAAATGTTCATAAACAATGCAATTAATTTGTGTAACTGTACTGTAATTATATTTCTTGAGTATGCACAAAGGCCTAGAAAACAACAAAACACTTTCATGTTAAGTCTGATGTTAATTCTGATTACCATAACTTAAGTCCTTGAAAATAGTCCTCGATATTTTGAAGAGGTGTGTTCTAAAGTTTGTCATATAATAGGAAGCTATTTCACAGGGGTTAGTCTGTTTGAAGAGTTAGGATACTGCCTACGACTGTTTGGAGAGATGTTAAAACTACACCACACATAGAGTAAAGACAATCTATACAGATAAAGTCTGATAATCAGCAGGCAGACAAATTGTATCTGCCTCAGACATCGTGTACATACCTGTCCATAGCCACCTTCTAACCATTTCATCTGTAGATTCACGCCGGAACATAAAACGATAAATGTGATATGTGCAATATGTTATATCGACCCTAAGTCGTCACGCAGGCATTATCATAAAGGAAAATCTAGGTCTGCTTACAAATGTAGCACGTTCAGGATGAATGCGATTCGATAACATACACATTATAATATTTATGCTGCTTTTGGGGGTATTGCGTGCATTGTTTAACATGGTGTGGGTCATCTTCCCGAGGCAAGTGCGTCCACTAGCCTTTTTATCAAAGTCTTGTTTCAATGAACCCTTGCCACATCAAGCCCACTTTCCTGTGCTAAATATGATTGGACTATCACACATATCGATAGTCCAATCAGAGAATGTTTCACAAAATAAACATACACGACTGGAACTTCTTCGTACGAAAGTGAATTCCTGCTGCCTGTCTGTGTTGGCACGAATTTGTCTTTTCCTCTTTTAACACCCAACGATTGCCTATGTTTTTGTGTCAGGGATGAAATTGGGAATGTTTTTGTTATCTGCTCGACTAGGTCATCGCCTATGGTAGTCACCGTCTTTGTGAAGCTATACGAGATAAGAGCAGCGACCTGATTGGACATTGTGTTTTCATTACAAGGGGCACAACTCATGAACTACACGCGGTGGCAGCAGGGTCGAGCCAAGAAAAGTGGCCTTGATGTGGCAAGGGTAGAAAGTAGGGTTTGATACAGGGTAGTGGACACGCTTGCCTTGGGAAGATGGGTGTGGGTTGGTATATACATTTGTTCACACTGTCTTTTGTAAATACATTTTGTCATATACAAGATGGGGCATAACAATTTCGTTGCTGTCAAATTTTGTAATACACCATACCAATATGACACACAAATAAAAATAATGTAAAAAACATACAAAGATAAATTGCATGTTTTAATTGTTTTGTGGCAAAATAGACCCGAAGTAAAATAGATTCGATTTTTGTCAAATCATTTCAGCAATATGTATCATATTGGGACTCCTGTGTTACAAAATGTATCATATCGCGCTCCCAGTGTATGCTACACCCCGTTTAATCCCAACTCTCCGCCACGTAAAGTTACACCCGTGGCCACACTGTTACAGATATGGACCCGAGTAACGAAGGTAAAGCAGCAGGCAAGTTGTTGCAGGATAAAATGATATGCAAAATGGGTACACACAAAACACAAGCGAAGATATCAAAGATATCAAAGACATTGCAAACTCATACACTCTCATTCTTTTACTTATATTATCAGAATACTCCAGTTACTTTGAATCATCACAAAACTAGAATACACTGACACCATTCACTATCTGCAACTTGAATGCTGGAGATTTTTCTTTCAACACAAGAAAATTATCCATGAGTTTATGAGAGATATTTAGTCTTTTTTGTATCATTTATAGATTCAGAATCCTAACTGAGATTACTCACATCTGCATATGTGCCAGGAATAATCTGCCTCTCCCGAGTCTTGATTTTCTCATCTTTAATTTTCTCAATCTGTTTTTCTTCTGTAGAGAAAAAGAATGCATTCCAAATCCGTGACATGGGTTTTGACTGATTTGACATGTCAATACATACTACTCAAAGGAAGAAAACAAATAATAACATATTCCTTCTTTGATAGGCATTTAGAAGTTGGAGTACTAAGCAAAGATAAGAATTTATGGATGATCAACTTCTTTATTAAAATTAAGAGCGACGTTCCGGTGTCTAACACCGTTATCACTTGCTCCAAGACCTAATTCATTAAGATTTTTAGTGCAATAACGATAATCTGTTAACTATAAAAGTTATGCAGCCTGATAAATGTAAAACATTAATGTCAAATTACATCATTTATTGAAATCAATTCAGAAAGAACAATATAAACATGGTAGTCAAATTAAGGGGCCATTCTCCAGGTAATATCCAGGTATTAGTAAGAATACACACAGATAATGTTACACCACGTCTACAGGCTTCAGTGGTTACAGGTGTTACAGGTGTTACAGGTAAATCGACAGTGGACGTGTACATGGACAAACAAACAAGTCAAAGTCATTTACTCATTTCACAAACAACTGTTCAAGATGTCTCCTTTTCTGCCAACAATGCTCCCCCAGTAAAGCCAATCAAAACCACACTGTTACCATGGTTACCACATGCGCATAATCTTTCCAGTGCTGTATTTCCACAAGAATCCTTTTTTTTTTTCAAATTCACCAGCATACTGACAAAATTGTGTCACAAATACTAGTAGGTTTATTTCTATTCACAAGACAAGGTTGTGAAAGAAGGAAACGGGGATTTACCTGTGTCTATATGTTAGCAATTCCTCATAATCATCAATACATTTTTGGGGTCCCAGGCATTAGAACTGGGTGTCAGAGACAAGTTGTGGGTGCCAGGTAGTATGTGTGATGCTGTATGGTTATCATAGACAAGGATTTTCTTGTTGGGCTCGCAACTTACTGAGTGAAGTTATGTACTGTTCGAACACTGACTGGATTTGTAAACAGGACAGGAATATCAGATAAATCTTTAATACATGCTTCAATATAATTCATTTTAATCATTCCAACATCAAAGCCCTTTCGCATTTAGTGGGACTGGTAGTAGATATTATTTGTCCATTCCCTATCTGTATTATCTTCCAAGTCCAACTGGTAACAGCCACTGGTGGGGCTACGATCGAGCCAGTTATTTCAGCCTAGTTTGGCAAGGGTGGAAACTGGACTTTTATAGTCAGTTAACTCTCTTGCCTCGGGAAGATGAATTTGTATGTGTATGTGACATAATTTTGCATCTGGTAAAACCCTGGGAAAGCATCTAAGATATGCCTCATACACTCGGTTTGTTCTAAAAGCAACTTTTTGTAAACATCTACATCAGATGATCATGACGTTTCCGAATGTGCATCGCTGCAACGTTGTTGACTGACTTGTACTTGTAAAGCCCGATCCTACCCTCTGATGAAAGGGAGCACTGTTATAGCAGTATCTGGATACCTTTAACATTGGAGTTACCAGAAGGCACGGCAGCTTTCGGACCAGCTCCGTAGAACTGTAGCTTCTTCAGTTCTGAGTTGGCAGAGTAGTCGATCACTGGCTCCTTGAAAACAACCATTCATAATCATAATAATGAAATAATCCACATCAAATCAGATCATGCAGATGTTTCTGTATCCTATATATTAGGCATAAAGAGAAAAATATATCAATAACCTTGGTCGAGGATCTGACAAATAATTCGCAAGTAAAAAATCAAAAGTACCATTCTATGGGCAACATAAAAATTGACAAGAAAAATTATTTGTTGCTAAATACACTATTGACGATGTTAACTTGACACCATAAAGCAGTTCAACGTATTTAAGACCGATCTTACAAATGGAAGTGCTCAACATAACAGTGCTTTAGCTTGTAGTGTTTGTTTGTTGTTTAATGCCGCACTCAGCAATATTCCAGCTATATGACGGTGGTCATAAATAATCGAGTCTGGACCAGACAATCCAGTGATTGACATCATGAGCATCGATCCATGCAATTGGGATACGATGACATGTATCAACCAAGTCAGCGAGCCTGACCACCCGATCCCATCAGTCGCCTCTTACAAGCAGAGTCGCCTTTTACTAGTGGCCATAGCAGCTGACTGACATCCCCAAATAAAGGTCTGGGGTAGAGCTTGGACAGGAAGAGCACTTCATTACCCCTGTGCGGTATTGTCATATGTTTCTGCTTTTCTAAAGTGTTGTATTTGAATGGCGATTTTTTTACCTCCTTCATAGCTCGCTTGGACTTCCTGATATGGCCAGCTTGAGATTCCTTCCCTGGCCCTTTATGGGGCTTGTACTCAATGTCTTCCATATCCTCCTTGTCCTTCTCTACCTTCTTGAGCTTCTGAAGGGAGGAGATGCATTGGTTTGTCCTAGTACTATCATGACTGTATGCACACACGCAGGCACGCACGCACGCCATACACACGCACAGGAATGTCACTCTTGTTCTTAATGACATCAGTCTACAACTTTTTTGAAAGCATGTGTAAGAAAACTTCCAGATCGAAACTAAAAAAATAAACTTGTCATAAGAACATATGACATGTGATTGTTACTTTGCAGAGTTGCTTTTTTAAGGCCTGTCTGTATTTACAAGGTGTTCATAAATTGGTGTCCTAAGTCCATTTGGTCTACCAAATGACACCACTATCATTCTCATTAATACCGAGACCACGTACACTGACAATTTATACTTTTGCCCATATACTGCTAAATTCATTCAAATGAAAATTGTTCATTTACTTTCTTGTTGCACACTTAACGGAGCCAACATTTCACCTCAAATCTTGGGTAAAAAATCCTGAAACATCTGTTTGGACTAAGGGTAAGAATATAGGCCCTCAGCAATGTATGCTTGTTGTAAGAGACGACGAAATGGATCGGGTGGTCCGGCTTGATGACTTGGTTGATTGCATGTCATCGTTTCCAAATTGCATGGATCGATGCTCATGATGTCAATCACTGTATTGTCTGGTCCAGACTAGAGTATATACAGAATACCATCATACGACTGGAACATTGCTCAGTGCAGCGTTAAACAACAAACAAAAACTATTATCAGTCTGCTCAAAAAACATTTCAGTCTACTTGACCATCTTGAGCAAACGTTGATAAAAGCATCATTATCTGTAGATCTCAATGTTATTAGACTAATGCCACCTGAGTTTCCTAGACTGAACAGATTTTACTGGATACAAGCTTTGGACTAGTTGCTAAAGTTGCAGTCTGTTATTTTTCAAAATAATTTGCTCACTGCAGCATGCAGAAAGTAATATATCTTACATCAAATTCGTAAGCATCTCCTTTCCGGAACACAAAGAAAGGATAGAGGATTCTTTCATAGTGTCCTCGGACAATGGTTCCACATCCCTTCCCCGTTGGCATTCCCAGCTTTGTGGAGATCTTCGACCACTTCCTTTCTGCCGAAACCTGCTCCATCCCTCCCTCCTCTTCCACAAACTGAAACGACAAGCTCCATGAAATTTGACCTGGACAATGTGCAAGTTGGGAATACAGCATACATACACTATCACAACCCCAGTAGGTGGAATAATGGGGTTGAAAAGTATGTCCACTACTCTAAAACAAGTAAGATTCAGGAAGACAAGTGACATTTCCTTGTGGACTACGACTTTTTTTCTAAGGTCGATGGCAACATCTGGGATTATTTTTATGGAATGGGGAAAATAAAAACTAATTTCTAACACTGTATTGTCAGTCAAAGAGCTTCATCTGTTGACACAGCAACTGACATTGATTTATGCGTTTTAACATGATTTTCACCATCTCTACAGCATATCAAGAATTTGCATAATTTGGGAATGCTTGACTGTGTTTATTAGCCATGTTTACAATAACAATGCAGTGCAAACAAATCATAAATAACAATACACCTTTTCTTTTATTTCATTGATAGTTTACCATGTTTATTACCTAATTTTGTAATGTTATCAATAATGGTATAGTTGACAGAATAAGAAAACGTCTTACACCAAAGACTAACATTGAAACAATAACAGTGAAAAGTGATAGACACAAACATTACTTGGTTATCTCAGGACTTAAAATCTGAAAGGGCTATATGTTTTTCTCTAACAATCTAGTTATGTTACATAAACCAGTTCAATATTGCTGAGTCAGCGTTAAACAACAAACAAACAAACAAACAAACAATATGATCTGTGGACTACAATGGAATTAGATTTTACTCATGGTGTATCCTGCATAATTTACATCACCGATAACTGTAAAATGGTAGTCTACGTAACTCTTGCAAACAAAGATCAAAATCACATGACATTTTTTTTCCAATGCCTAGGTTCAATGACATTATCAAAGCGTGGCAATGAATCAAGCAACTGTATCCTTGGCAGAGCAAAGGCACCTGTCTCATGGTGGCTAAATCTGTAATGGATCAATACTCAGTTTCATAGCACATCAACCTCAAAAGATGTAGCTAGTCCTTCCCTTGCTTCATAGATAAGACTGGCAACATGCTGGGGACGCTTATCTCTGCTCATAGTATCACACAAACAACTTGTCTCAAGGAAACTAATACTTAGTAAAAGCACTTCCATATGAAGAAAACATTTCAAGGATATAAACGTGATGCATATTCTTATTTTTTGCTATCATGATCTATAAGATAAAGAGTTGAAAACACAGTTGCTGAGTATGAAGGTGATTATGCTAGTTCCTTTCACAAATCCATGTCAATCTTCACCAGAAAATGAACACTGCCTTGATGGGTGAATCCAACATGGCTGCCATTATTTACAATGCACATCACAGTTGATCAACATAAACCAGATATACCGATTCTACAGTCTCCATTTTGAGTTTGTACAGGTAATTAGAAAGTGCTGTCAATATTTCCCTTTTCATGCCAACGAAAAACTATTTCTTTCTTTTTAAAGTTCAGATACCTTGATCACTTTATCAAGCATAGAGATGTTTATCATGTTTTTTGTCAATGTTTATATGATCTTATACCATATCCACATCAACAAAATACATTCAACATCTGGTAGAAGCAAATGGATAATTATAAACTATCACTGCAGGAATTCCTTATGCAATCTCTTTTTGAGCCAGTGTCATCTTTGACCACAAAATAGAATAAACAACTAAACCTTCCTTCTTGAAATAATTCCACAACAAGTAGGGACATTGAAATATATAATTCTTATTTTTTAAATATTAACAAATTTAATACTGTATGAGCAATTAGAACATGCTTATTTGTAAAAGTGGATAAAATACTGTGTGGCATAACATCTGAGAAAGATGCAAACAATAATTTGGTGTGAAGCCTGCCTATAATCTTGTCTGGCTCATACTATAATTCAGACTTGTGTCAAAATGTCTGCAATTTTTGTAACGATAATTCATTTACAAAGCTTAGCTCATTGTTATGCATCTTTTATTGAGAGCCATAAACGACTGACTATGGTATTATTATTGGTATGGGAAAGAATTGATGACTCACTGACCATAACATCATTTAAGTATTGGTGTGTTTGTAAACAGAGCCAAGCAAGTGTAATCAAATATCTTTATATAGTTTTAATCAGGTAACATGACAACATCTGACAGTCTTTAAATATTTTAAGGACTTTTGGTCCCTAGCCCAGTTTGCATAGTTTGTTTCATGAACTGTCTCCTCCGTAGAAAAGCCTTTCTCAAACTTGACGTTTTTCACTCTTTCGCATTAGTAATGCAATGGATTTTACATCCAGTCTGAATACTACAGTTGTGGAAATGGTAAGTCAGATTCAAACAAAGATATGATTTTGTTTTTATCATGTTTATTAGTCTTTGAAAGCAGATTATCTACATAGAAAGCAGATCTACTTATGTAAGGGTATTGATCTAATGTTAGGTAGTCATACTGGTAGTATGAACGATGTATCTCACACAGAAACTACTCATCCCTATATATCTTGACCTAAATACAACACACTTGACTGCATAACTGACATGTAGATACTTCTGACTCAGATTCTCTCTCCCTGCCTCTATCTCATCATACAAACTGCAACTCCTGCTATTTCCATTAATGTCATCCTTGAACCAATCATACTTTTCATATAAATGTAACTATCATGATCAGATGATATTCTAAAACTATTGCTGCCTAAAAATGTTGATCAGATAAGACCAATAGTCATAATAATGGCTTTCAACAGGTCATTAACGTAATGAAATATACAGTTACACGGACCCATAGCGTTTTTTCGATCAACCATTCTTATGTTTTGGAAAAACAATCTTGCACACATTTGAATACCCAACCATATTGGCCATGTCAACAATGGCCAATGAAGCATAAATATTACAGAAGTCTGCACTGGCAGCCATCTTGTTCACTTGTGATTTTGTGAAAGGCTTTTGGAGGACAGAGTCCTAAATTTCTCCACACCTCAACTTTTCAACACTATTTATGAACAGTATGTCTATGAATAAACAAGTTAAGAAGGCATATGGACCAATTTTTTCTAAGTATGCCAAAGAAAAGGGCTACTATTACCTAATGCTGGGGAAAAAACCAAGATTCAACTTGAGTACCTATTATTAAAATCTTCCTACCAATAAAAAGCATGGTCAGATGAATCAGCTTTGGTCTTCATTAAAGTAATCATGGCAACTTGTATCTTGACAAAAACAGATGTTCTAAAAACGTCCAGTCGTCAAAAACTATTTTTTTAGTACCGACTATTATCAATCATCCTTTGAGGGTTGCTTAAAAATATACCATGTTCATAGCTCCACTAAAAGATAGGTTTTGCTTCTAAAATGGTATTTTATGTATATCTGTAATAGATAAACATACCTATCACATAAATATCATATGAAATTATGAATGTGTACTTACCTTGTACAAACCAAACAAATCCACCAATTTTTTCTCCACATGAGGAATCCTGAGTGCACATCCCTTAAAACACACAAACAGTGGGTCCAGTATGTTGCAATGTTTGCTCAGATAGGTTCAGACACAATCCATTTATCACTGATATAATTGTGGGTGCCACAAGTCACGTAAATTTAATATTGCCTTGCTGACAGCTATGGCGACAAAGATATTTAGAAGTGGCCATGCCATGGGGGCTCCCAGATACATTTTGAATTTTTTTTTAAAGTTTTCTTGCTTATGAAAACATTTTATACAATTTTGTCTCTTAGGATTGGCTGGTGGTGCCATAATTCTTCAAACATGACATTAGATGATTCGATCTAGTGAATGTGCAATGCCATGTCTACCATGTTTACTCCTGAGGTAAAAGATGAATATTGCAATGACAGAAACAAATGATGGCATTGTCAAAATTATGACTATCAGGCAATAAACATTATAAACACAGTATTAGTGTATACAGTGGCATCTGGTTTTCATGCAAAAATAATGGTATGTATTGTCTCCAGAAAAAGTCTCATACCTGCAACTCCCAAAATTTGGCCAGTCGATCAAGGAAATTGAGTTTTATTCTGGATTTAGCCTGTTGAGAAAATGGGTAGAAGAGTCACATGACTAGAAAGGTTAATATGCCCTTGTCAATGCAACAACATTAAGAATATAATCAACCAAGAACTTTATTTTCCAACTGTCATACAAAGTTGAGTCAGTTAATATGCAATTCCATGATTTATATGTTGTATGTGTACATTATGACACACTTCAGACTATTGTTCTTCAACCTGATGGTAGATTGAGCTTGATGGGGCGAGTCTGTGCTGTCAATAGCAAAGCAATATGGAGAAAGGTATGGGCAGAAATCCAAAATGGCTGCCTGGGGAAATGCCCAAACTACCTTTGCTCATACTTTAAACAACCAAAAACATCTAAATGATGTTTGAAATATGTGTAAAATACATTATGAGACATTAAAGCAACATATGAAGAAGATTTTTTATGAAAAAAATATGGTTTATAGGGAGAACTTACCTCCAACTCATTAAGTCTTTGTACTCTGGGTACAAATTTAAATTTTTCGACATCTACTGCAAATGGTGGTTGCCAATCCTATAGAAATGGAAATTAAAGATATGTTTCACTTGAATGTGTTGATAATTGGGTTTTCATGTTATAAAACACCTTGTAATTGTCATTTTTTATAATTTCCATATTTTCTTAGTCAGATAATTAGTAGATTATTCATCTGTATGTACATATTTTGGTTAGGAAATAAAAGCTCATTATTGATATGAAAAGAATTTAAAAATAAATGGACAAATAATGACAACTGATCACAAAAGAACTTTGGATCAAACCACACCCTCTTTTTACAAAATACAATTTCAGGGCCAACAACACTCCTGCGTCCCCTTTTGACAATTATTTCTCATCAGAAACTGAAAGAACATGTTCTTTTGGAGATTTTCAATGATTAATGTAAAAGGGGGTGATGATGTCAAGTTTATGCTTATGTATTCTGTGTTGCTAGTCCCTACAAGTTTGATCAACAATTCTTTCAACTTCCTTCATACTTTTCAAATTATTCGTCCAAGTACATTCTGAACTAATAAAACTATACTTAGAATTCGATTCTAAACGATTTGGGTATTTTTTGTTACGATAATAGTATCTCTTTAGTGTTCTGAGACACGCTGACGCGTCAACTATGGCAAAGATCGGAAGGCCCAGCAAATAACATCTGCAGCTAGAGCAAGGGGTCCTGTTTCCCATTGGCTTGTCTAAAACGTCATTTGCTGGTATTACATCCTGTATCTTTGACGTTGGGCATCGAAAATATACTACCAAATGCCATAAAATCCACCTATTTACCAAAAAGAATCAACTTTTAAAACTGTTATCCAAGAAATTAATGACAGTTCTTAGGTGATAGTCCAAATCTAAACAAAAGCGTCGCCATGTTCTCTGTTCAAGATTGCACGTATGGATAACCTGGGCACAGGACTTAAAGACTGGTCAACAACATGTTTGCACTGTAATAACTCAAATAACACAAACAATTTGAAACACATAACGCACCGGTGGTGGTTTTATTTTGCATATCCCTCCTTTGACGGCAATGGGTCTTATCTTAGCAATATAACCCAATGGATCTGCAAACTCCTCCTCTGTAGGAGTGAAAACCGGTGCCTCAGGTGGAGCCACGAAGTTAATATAGGGGTCATCCATTCCAAACGAATGAGAATAACACTGTATCCTCCAGGAATTACAGGTGACACATGTATTCACTCCAAGGAACTAGTATTTTCACATAAAATCCATTGAAAACACCTTCAGTACAACACACCGTAAACGATGCCTAACAACATCCCAAACTGTATCAATCAGCATACCATATAGTTCCTTAACTGTCAACATTTGCAATGAAAATTCATGATTTACTTTATTTTCTTCTAGTAACACAAAATATTATTCCAAACTACACGTAAGAAGTTTTCTTTATTTACAAATTATTATTTTTTTAAATTTGCACAAAAGTACGTGATTTTGCGTATGAATACAACGTATACTGAGGTCATGCAAATGTCATAGGCAAAACGGCAATACGTTTCACTCTGCATGCCTACATAAAAAATAGACGTAAACAAATTGATTAACAATAATTAAGATAGAATCTATTTAATTTAAACTAAAAATGTTGGTAACCAATCATGGTTTATTATTGATAATGGATCGGAATTTTACCGCGGACCTTCTGTACGCGGAACTTTCAAAATGGCGTCTGCAGGTGCGAGGTAAGATGTGCAAGGTTAAAATTTGTTGATATATACAGTTATGAGCAAGGGTTGAGAAGTACTTGATCCCACGTTGGACGCACAAACAATATGGACATCTAAAGATGCACAGAAAGAAAAAACTACAGTGTCATAAATGTAAAGTGTTGACATTAATTGTGTTTGAGACATGCACGAACTTGCAAACGTCTGCTCTGCCGCTAATGACAGACCTACTAACAGCTAAATTGTAATGATGTCCTTTTCGAGAAATTCAAATTGGAACATCATCACACTTGTCAGCACACAGACCAACCCTGTGGGTGTTGTCAAAATCAGTTTATATGTAATGCTCCTTATAAACGTTTTTGATTTTGACTTGAGGCAACAGACCTACGTACTCCCCCACTGCGTTTCCTAATAGATCCCCGATCTGCATCACACTGTATGTGCTCCAGCAAAGTGCATGCATGGGTTGTAGTGCACTTTACCGTGTGCACTTTTCCCGATTTCAATTAACGCTGCATGGAAGATCAAACTTATGTCAGCTTGAAGCATAGCTAGGCTAATGACTAGTAATGAGTTAGTCTAATAAACCGACACTTCGATCAGTGCCGAAAACTTAGACCGAAAACGGGTGTTGGATCATAAAGACGTGTAAGTTTCCCTAAGATCGAGAACGGGTGTTGGATTGTAAAGATGTGTAAGTTTCCCTAAGACCGAAAACGGGCGTTGGATCGTGAAGCGAGAGTCACCAGAGCGTGAGGCACGGTAACGGTATACCGAGACAGCGGTGGCACTATTGCCCGGTAATTGAGCGGATGGTAGAGCTCGGCTGTGCCCGGTAAACTGCATTGTTGCCGACATTTCCTTTGCAAAACTCAAAGCTTTATAAAAAAAATGTTTGGTGTTTTCTCAAATTACATTAGGAATAATTCGTTGTGAAATAATAGCTAACCCATACCCTACCTCACAACTAACCCTAAGGATTGTAAAAGGGTGCCTTACTGTAGGTATCTTGGAGGGATGCTTGATTGGAAAGGGGATCCGAGGGCTATGGATAGAGTTGGAGGTAACCTATCCTAACAAACCTAACCCTCAGGATTGAAGAGGCGCAAGAACCACAGCTGGCAATCTAAGCCAATTAGCGCTATAGATAATTTAACAATATATTTACTTATCTAGCCATTATGTTGCAGTGGAGTTTTATACACCCTGTCCCCAAAGGGGGTACCATCAACAATGTCGTTAAAATCAGATCTTTTACTCGATACAATACCTCTATCCGATTTTTAATGAGCATGATGAGATTGTATCTTCAAAGGAATATTTATGTTCAGTATGGGTTTTCTTTTGGTATAATAATAATTCAGCGGTAGAAACATTTTTGATCCACTAGTCCTTATAATGATAATATATAGCAAAACCCCTAAAAATGACAAATATCTACTAGCCCTTAGGATACCTTAACTATTGGGCAGATTTGCAAGGACTATACGACTAGTGCCAATTTCTAACCCTGATAATAACAGATTAAAGGTGGAAAAGAAATTAAACATAATTTTTGTAGAAAGCTGACACCTGATTTGCTCAACATGCTCAACATGCTCAAGTAACCACACATCCTTCATTTAGATTGGGAGGGCACGGGTGGCCCAGTCGTCTAAGGCGCCGCGATTCGCTGTGCAGAGTTGCGTCCCTTGGGCACGCCAGAAATCTATGATTGTGGGTTCGAATCCCGGTTTGCCCCGATTATGTTTCTAGGTTTGTCAGCACCATACCCGTGCCCGTGGGTTTCACCGAAGTGGTAAACGTCTGAGACCTGCATCACTTCGGGCTTTCCTCCCACATTAAGCTGACACGCCGCGATATAACTGGAATACTGTTAAAAGCGGCGTTAAACCAAACTCACTCACTCACTCATTTAGATTGGGCAGTCAAAGTTCACTCGGGGGTTTACCTGATGCATTGTCCCATGGAGAGGTATCGTATTGTTGTAAAAGATCTGATTATAAGAAGACTGGTAAAGATTCCATTTCATTGAATCTCTATGCAATAGTGTCTTGTAGAAGAGACACAGTAATGGAACATAAACTGATTTTGATTTGAATTTTTCAGTCCTGGCAGATCGAAAAAGTCAGTACGCTCCCCGCGGACCCCACAGTCCCATAATAATGCTGGCGACAGGAGTCATTTGAATAACAGCTTTGAAGAAAACATGAATAACAACAGCTTCAGCAAGAGAAATGCAAAATCACCAGATCTCCCAAGCATCAATGAAAGACTGGGTGAGTTTTCTGATTGTATATCCTTTTGACTCTTCTGGTCCAAAGGGGTCACAGGTGGCCCAGTCATCTAAATCGCAGCAATTCGCTTTGCAGAGTTGCGTCCGTTGGGCACACCAGAAACCTACAGTCGTGGGTTCGAATCCTGGTTCTTCCTAATTATGTTTCTCGGCACCATACCCGTGCTCATGGGTTTCTCCGAAGTGGTAAACTTGTGAGACCTTCATCACCTTGTGCTTTTCCCCGACATTAAGCTGACAAGCTGTGGTATAAGTGGAATACTTTTCAAAGCTGTGTTAGACCAAACTCACTCACTGGATTAAGCACATTGTCATTATTGGTGGATGCATGGCCACTAAGGCTGAAATATTGTCATTATTGGTGAATGCATGGCCACTAAGGCTGAAATATTGTCATTATTGGTGGATGCATGGCCATTAAGGCTGAAATATTGTCATTATTGGTGAATGCATGGCCACTACGGCTGAAATATTATCATTATTGGTCGATGCATGGCCACTAAGGCTGAAATATTGTCATTATTGGTGGATGCATGGCCATTAAGGCTGAAATATTGTCATTATTGGTGAATGCATGGCCACTAAGGCTGAAATATTATCATTATTGGTCGATGCATGGCCACTAAGGCTGAAATATTGTCATTATTGGTGGATGCATGGCCATTAAGGCTGAAATATTGTCATTATTGGTGAATGCATGGCCACTAAGGCTGAAATATTGTCATTATTGGTGGATGCATGGCCATTAAGGCTGAAATATTGTCATTATTGGTGAATGCATGGCCACTAAGGCTGAAATATTATCATTATTGGTCGATGCATGGCCACTAAGGCTGAAATATTGTCATTATTGGTGGATGCATGGCCACTAAGGCTGAAATATTGTCATTATTGGTGGATGCATGGCCACTAAGGCTGAAATATTGTCATTATTGGTGGATGCATTGCCACTAAGGCTGAAATATTGTCATTATTGGTGGATGCATGGCCACTACGGCTGAAATATTGTCATTATTGGTGGATGCATGGCCACTACGGCTGAAATATTGTCATTATTGGTGGATGCATGGCCACTAAGGCTGAAATATTGTCATTATTGGTGGATGCATGGCCATTAAGGCTGAAATATTGTCATTATTGGTGAATGCATGGCCACTACGGCTGAAATATTATCATTATTGGTCGATGCATGGCCACTAAGGCTGAAATATTGTCATTATTGGTGGATGCATGGCCACTAAGGCTGAAATATTGTCATTATTGGTGGATGCATGGCCACTAAGGCTGAAATATTGTCATTATTGGTGGATGCATGGCCACTACGGCTGAAATATTGTCATTATTGGTGGATGCATGGCCACTAAGGCTGAAATATTGTCATTATTGGTGGATGCATGGCCACTAAGGCTGAAATATTGTCATTATTGGTGGATGCATGGCCACTTAGGCTGAAATATTGTCATTATTGGTGGATGCATGGCCACTAAGGCTGAAATATTGTCATTATTGGTGGATGCATGGCCACTAAGGCTGAAATACTGTCATTATTGGTGGATGCATGGCCACTAAGGCTGAAATATTGTCATTATTGGTGGATGCATGGCCACTAAGGCTGAAATATTGTCATTATTGGTGGATGCATGGCCACTAAGGCTGAAATATTGTCATTATTGGTGGATGCATGGCCACTAAGGCTCAAATATGTCTGTAGTTGCAATATACCAGCAATATGATGGAGGTCTGTAAATAATCAATCACGCAACAATCCAGTGATTGACATAGTCAGTTAGGATATGATGATATACAACTTGATCCATTTATTTGCCTCTTACTACAGAAGCATAAGTTGCTGGGGAGCTTTGGTCTTACCCAGGGTCCACACAGGTTTATAATTTTACAAGTAATACAAGTGGTATATATTAGGGCTGCAACGAATACACTTTGAGGCGAATGCGATTCGTATCATCAATATAGAGTAACGAATAAGAATATTAATTCAAATATACAATAAAAAGTCAGCTGTTGAGGTATTATTTGTTATATTCAGTGAAACAATAACACAAATTATTCGACATGGTTTGTTAAATATTAACATATTATACATTTATATACTTCACTCATCCAGGTGCTATTATCTGCTCAAATGCAATAATGACCAGTGACATTACTGTCATATTAAATGTTATAAGAGTGTTGTCTTTCAAGAAATCTATGCATATAATATGCTTTTATGGATATTTTTAGATACAGGGTATTTAAATGAAAATGACTGCATATTCATGAATATTCGATTGTATTGGTCACGAATAACGAATTCAATTCATGAAAGGATACGGTCCAATTCACTGAATACGCGAGTGATTCGTAACAGCCCTAGTTTATACAGTCAAGTCTCGTTAATCCGACATCGTTGGTTGCACATGATTGTGTCGGATTAACGAGTATGTCGGATTAACGAAATTAAGTGATTTGTGATCGAAAATCGGACATCTTCACGATAGATAATAACTGTGTGTTTCCTCGTGTAAATGCAAGTGCTACTGTCTTAACAACTTGCTTCATCTACTTAAAATAGTCTGTCAGTGTTTTCTGTTTCTCACATTTTGAAGGCACATTTCTCAAAGTCCCCTGTTCGCTTGACGTCTAGGGCTGATGACCACGGAGTACGCTGACCACTGTGTCAGATTAACGAGACTGATTAATGAGTGATTTCGGTAATTCGTTGCACATTAGGTGTGTTGGAGTCGGAGTGCGAGAATGTCGGATTAACGGGACTAAATAGCGCTGAATCAATCGGTTCCCATCATTTGTGTCAGATAAAGCCGAGTGTCGGATTAACGAGTGTTGGATTAACGAGACTTGACTGTATGTATTCTAGAGCTACCGGTTATCTTGAAGCTTTTTTTTTCTCTTAAAAACAGCTTGCACAAGTTTAATATCACTTTAGCACAGCTATAAATATAGATTCATGACCGCAATGACTGAAGGAGATACGATTCACTACTTCACCAAAGCATTCATGATTTATTAATAATAAGTCTGTTTATACTGCTCATGGTGCTACATTATTGTTACCCCGGTCACTAGATCAGTGTGCACTCGATTATCATTCTCTGCTCCCTGGGGAGTATACAGTGATAATTATCATTGATGTCCTGAACTCCTGAATGCTCTGTAAAATAGTAAATCTTGGAATCTATGGTATTGCACAAGCGTAAGTGCATCTGGCTGTCCGCTGTATGAAGACACTAGTTTGTGTGATGTTTCAGGCCATCTACGTCCCTCCCGAGAGCTACTGGAGTACTACAGGAAGAAGATAGCTGAGTATGATGATGAACATGATCAAGTTGTGTGTAAGCTGGAGGAATATAAAGTCACATATGAGGACCAGGTACATACACCAGACAACATTTATAAGTGAATATTTTATCAATCTCATTAAAATCAGACCTTCGTTCTCGCTAAACAAAGATCTGAAGACATCCTATTAGGGGTCACGTCAGAACAACCTTTCATCCGACCAATCAGAGCATCGCTTACCAGATTATGAAAGTGACAGTCGGAATGTGATTTCTAATCATGCAATTTCGAAAACTTTAACACAGGGTATTCCGAACGATAGTTACGGGTTTAACGACTGAATCCATACAATCTAGACCATCTATTAGCCATTCCAGAATGTTTTGTTTAGGTTTCAAATTTGTAATCGAGAATTTGGTCATTGGTCATTCCATTGGTCGGTCAAAGTTCGCGCAAGGTCGGTCTGACGTGACCCATAATGGGATGTCCTCAAATCTTTGTTTAGCGGTAGTGAGAACTAAGATCTGATTTTAATGAGATTGATATTTTATTGAATCCCCAGTGAACAGAATGTGAAGTATTGCCAATGTTGAATGCCATACCTAAGGACATCTTGCCCCCCATTGTTTACCCCTGAATGGCATTGCATTCTGGGTTAGATGTAGAGTATATTATGTGTGTATGGCTGAAAGTTGAACCAGCATAGAGAGCGATGATCAAAGTTGATAATGCTTATATAAAATTAGAACACTGGGTGTCATATTTTTGTTATTTGCGTATTCCTGAAAATTGATCGTTTATTATATCGTGTTTACAGGCTGCTGTAATACAGCTGGAAATATCGCCCACTGCGGCTTAAAACAACATGCACTCACCCACTGCAGTGTATATCTGTTTTACATGTGATGCATCTGAAAATATTGCCCGCTGTGGCATAAAACAACATGCACTCACCCACTGTAGCGTATATCTGTTTTACATGTGATGCATCTGAAAAAATCGCCTACTGTGGCATAAAACAACATGCACTCACTCACTGCAGCGTATATCTGTTTTACATGTGATGCATCTGAAAATATCGCCTACTGTGGCATAAAACAACGTGCACTCACCCACTGCAGTGTATATCCGTTTTACATGTGATGCATCTGAAAATATTGCCTACTGTGGCATAAAACAACATGATCTCACTCACTGCAGCGTATATCTGTTTTACATGTGATGCATCTGAAAATATCGCCTACTGTGGCATAAAACAACATGCACTCACCCACTGTAGCGTATATCCGTTTTACATGTGATGCATCTGAAAATATTGCCTGCTGCGACATAAAACAACATGCACTCACCCACTGCAGCGTATACCTGTTTTACATGTGATGCATCTGAAAATATCGCCTACTGTGGCATAAAACAACATGCACTCACCCACTGCAGCTTATACCTGTTTTACATGTGATGCATCTGAAAATATCGCCTACTGTGGCATAACACAACATGCACTCACCCACTGCAGCGTATATCTGTTTTACAGCTGCAGTAGAACCAGTGTTGACATTAATAGGGTCCAGGAGTCCTTAGGGCTTCTATTGTGTTTTAAATCTAGCTCCCTCTAAATCTTTAAACCTTTAACATCTTGGTTATGGAAAGGACCCCTCAAGTGTGGTAAGATTTATGTGAAATTCAAACACTGGTGACGATGTTGTTGTTGCAGCACAAGATGCAGTGGGAGTTGCGGCAGCGGGAGGAGGAGATTGTGGAGTTGCAGAAGGCCCTCAGTGACATGCAGATCTACCTGTTCCAGGAGAGGGAGCATGTACTCCGACTCTACTCTGAAAATGACAGGCTCAAGGTACAGCATTAAGACTGTCGATGTAAACCTAATTAAACTCTAAAACATGTACAAAGTATTCAGTGCGTAGGATTCATCTGCAATGCGAAGATCTGTTGTTTGTCCCAATACAAAATGGGAATGATACTTTAATGTTTGTGTTGAATAAGGTTGTCATTGATAATCATTAATCATGAATTAAACAAATAGATTTTGATCTTGTTAATAAAGAATAGTTACCTATTGTTTGACAGATCTGTGTGATAGATCCATGTGATTGTGTGATAGATCCATGTGATTGTGTGATAGATCCATGTGATTGTGTGATAGATCTGTGTGATTGTGTGACAGATCTGTATGATAGATCCATGTGATTGTGTGATGGATCCGTGTGATTGTGTGACAGATCCATGTGATTGTGTGACAGATCCATGTGATTGTGTGATAGATCCATGTAATTGTGTAACAGATCCATGTGATTGTGTGACAGATCCATGTGATTGTGTGACAGATCCATGTGATTGTGTGATAGATCCATGTGATTGTGTGATAGATCTGTGTGATTATGTGACAGATCCATGTGATTGTGTGACAGATCCGTGTGATTGTGTGACAGATCCATGTGATTGTGTGATAGATCCATGTGATTGTGTGACAAATCCATGTGATTGTGTGACAGATCCATGTGATTGTGTGACAGATCCATGTGATTGTGTAACAGATCCATGTGATTGTGTGACAGATCCATGTGATTGTGTGATAGACCCATGCAATTGTGTGATAGACCCATGCGATTGTGTGATAGATCCATGTGATTGTGTGTAAGATCCATGTGATTGTGTGACAGATCCATGTGATTGTGTGATAGATCCATGTGATTGTGTGATAGATCCATGTGATTGTGTGACCGATCCATGTGATTGTGTGACAGATCCATGTGATTGTGTGACAGAACCATGTGATTGTATGATAGATCCATGTGATTGTGTTACAGATCTGTGTAATAGATCCATGTGATTGTGTGATAGATCTGTGTGATTGTGTGACAGATCCATGTGATTGTGTGACAGATCCATGTGATTGTGTAACAGATCCATGTGATTGTGTGACAGATCCATGTGATTGTGTGATAGACCCATGCAATTGTGTGATAGACCCATGCGATTGTGTGATACATCCATGTGATTGTGTGACAGATCCATGTGATTGTGTGATAGATCCATGTGATTGTGTGATAGATCCATGTGATTGTGTGACCGATCCATGTGATTGTGTGACCGATCCATGTGATTGTGTGACAGATCCATGTGATTGTGTGACAGAACCATGTGATTGTATGATAGATCCATGTGATTGTGTTACAGATCTGTGTAATAGATCCATGTGATTGTGTGATAGATCTGTGTGATTGTGTGACAGATCCATGTGATTGTGTGACGGATCCATGTGATTGTGTGATAGATCCATGTGATTGTGTGATAGATCTGTGTAATTGTGTGATAGATCCGTGTGATTGTGTGACAGATCCGTGAGCTGGAGGACAAGAAGAAGATCCAGCAGCTGTTGGCGCTGGGGACAACGCCCGACAGTGAGATCACATACTTCATGAAGGAACCTCCAGCTAAAGCCATCGTAGAACAGAAGCTGCCCAGGAAGGCTGGTAACCAAGACAACCGGACGCACCATCAGCAGCACAAATGTAAGCTGGGCAATCAGTGTTTTTTTCTATCAATGAACCACTCAAATAAAGTAGGCATGTCATGGTTTAAAAACCTTTGAACTAATTACTCATCTTACTGAAATCCTTTCATGTCCGATTAACTGTTTTCCGATTGGCAAAATATTAAAAGTGCAAGGTACAAGTGTCCCAAAAGAACAGTAACTGACTGACAATCAGGGCGGTCAGGTAGCCTAGTGGTTAAAGCGTTCGCTCGTCACAACGAAGACGCTGGTTCGATTCCCGACATGGGTACAATGTGTGAAGCCCATTTCTGGTGTCCCCCGCCGTGATATTGCTGGACACACACTCAATCACTCTAGCAAAAGGTGAGGTGAGGTGAAATGGGGTTTAACGTCGCGTCCAAGATTATTGCACTCACTCACTCACTCACTCACTCACTCACTCACTCACTCACTCACTCACTCACTCACTCACATTCATTCCATTGTTTCGTGTTTCCCATGGACATGTCTTGTATCATTGACAGAGTGCTGTAAACTGTGAATTCAGTGTCGTTTTTATGACATTTTTATAGTGAATACATTATATTGTGTCCATATTATTATTGATAGTTTCTTAAAGGTAATTACAAATGACTATTAATGATATTAAACTAGTACATAGTGAATACGGTTTGGCAAATTATAGAACCAGTTAGTTATTCTAATCAAACCCTAACCGGTTATCCAAGAAACCATGACGGGACTTGTCAAAACAATTAATTAATTCATCATCTTCAAAAAAAATGTTGACACAATCACAGTTAATCTGGAGGCACAATGTGGTCCAGTTGTCTGAGGCATTGCAAGGTCCTTTCATCTAACCAGCCCAGTGATTACTTTGTGGAATAGGGCATAGGACTGCAATAAACAGTCATAATAATACGGGGCGGTCGGTTAGCCTAGTGGTTAAAGCGTTTGCTCGTCACGCCGAAGACCCGGGTTCGATTCCCGACATGGGTACAATGTGTGAAGCCCATTTCTGGTGTCCCCTGCCGTGATATTGCTGGAATATTGCTAAAAGCGGTGTAAAACCATGCTCACTCACTCACTCACTCACTCACTCACTCACTCATCTAACCAGGATCCGCTGATCATAGGTTCAAACCCCAGACTCTCCTTCATTATAATATTTGTAGTACAGTAGAACACGGATAAAACGAACAAGGATAGAGCGAACAAACGGATACAACGAACTGTTAAAAAATCCCGGATTTATCTCCTATATATTATCATATAACAATTACCAACATAACGAACTCTCTACAGCGAACTAACGGATATAGCGAACCGATATCTGATCCCTGACAAGGCCCATCTACCACTAATTAGTGACGTGTATAGCGAACTGAGAAACCTCACTCAGTGTCAAGGTGTCACTGACAATTGGCTGTATGCAATCAGCGGAAAATCAACACAATTGCGGCGAATCAACACAATCACTAGTGACAATTTAACTTTGTTAAACTTGCATCATGTTAATCTTACCTGTCCATGTAATTTGGACACATCTTGTCTGTTAAACAAACATTGATCCTACAACTGGATCAAAATATTTGAAGTTGTATCATTGGGTACTTTTTAACTGAATCACCGGTAATGCAGGAAGAAATGTGTATAAACGTGTATGTGTGTTGTGTTTTGCTTTAGCAAAGATGGCGGACGCGCTGAACGAAAACATATATAACAAACAACGTATATAACAAACTGATTTCTCTGGTCCCTTGTAGTTCGTTATATCCATGTTCTACTGTGCTAACTAGTGGAATTGTTATTTGGTGCGTGTTTAGGTTAATCCTCTTGTTCATTTAGTAATAAGACATGTACAATATTGTCGTCTGAAATTGCTTTTAAGGCTTCAAATTCTTGGGCTGCAGTAACCAGATAAGATTTGCTCACAGTCTCACAATACAAACTTTGTTTCCAGTAAAGAAGAAGCAGGTTGCACTGAGCGACCGAAGGACGTCGTTGTCGCCGGACCCAGAGGCGAAGTACCAGCACGACAACCAGGCCTTGTGTCTACAGGTCGAGGCTCTGCAGGCCCAGATGGAGGAGCAGGCCAAACTAGCGAAGGAGCAGGCCGAGGCTATGTTGGAGGACCGGCGCGTCAAGGAAGAGGAGTTTGAGACACGCAGGCAGCGGGACGAGGACAAGATCAGAACACTCACTGAAAAGTAAATATGGTGTATCAGTGTCCAAACTGTGGAATGTTTAAATGTTCATTGTCAAAATTAGATTTGGAGTGTTGAAGTCGGCGATGAAGTAAATAGATCCATTATTAAAGGAGTCTGATCAGTTTGTTTAAACACCACTTTGTATAAGTAAACAAAAACTTTATTGAAATTAATATCAGAACACTTGGCAAAAAAGTAAATACATAGGTTAATTTGTAACCCTAATATTGCAATATTTTGTATGTTTCAAATATATTTGTAGTGTTGCACTTCATTTTGGGTGGAGGTAAACAGATATGTCAAGTTGTCAACAGTATTTATTATGTTTATCTGTTCTAAATGTCTGTTGATGATTACCCTTATTATGTTATAGAGTCAATGTCATTTTCACACATGGAACTGGGACCTCTGTGAAGCATACTTTCCTTAGAATTGACCCGTGATGATCCGGGGTAGAATAGGTACTCAGCAACCCATGCTTGCCGTAAAAGGCGACTTTGCTTGTGGTAAAAGGCGACTAACGGGATCAGGTGGTCAGACTCGCTGACTTCGTTGATGCATGTCATCGATCCCAATTGCGTGGATCGATCCTCATGATATCAATCACTGGATTGTCTGGTCCAGACTCGATTATTTACAGACTGCCGTCATATAGATGGAATATTGCTGAGTGCGGCGTTAAACAACAAACTAACCAACCAACCTTGGGGATTCCCCAGTAGAATTGGTCCCCAGTAATGTACATGGTACTCTTGGCTACATGGACAAAGGGGAGATAATTTGACATTTTGTTATCTTAGATTATTCCCCTTGAAATATTATGTAGGCCATCCTTCCACATTTAGTACTCAGCACTATCCTTTGTGTCAGTGAGGACTTATATTTCAAGGTGTTTTTGTGTGTTTCCATTCTGATCACCAGCTATTGTCTGGAGGGCATAGGTTGTGCAGAGTTGCATCCCTTGGTCAAGCCAGGAACCTATTATTGTGGGTTTGAATCCCGGATTGCCCCAATTATGTTTCTATATTTGTCCGCACTATATCTGTGCTTGGGGGTTTCACCGAAGTGGTAAACGTCTGAGACCTGCATCCCTTCGGGCTTTACTCCCACATTAAGCTGACATGCCGAGATATAACTGGAATACTGTTCAAACAGGCGTTAAACCCAACTCACTCACTCATTAAGCTATGGACAGAGATCAGTGATGGTAGACTTATTTGCAATCTTTTGTGCTTGTATTCTTTACTTGTACCATGTTGATTTTTTGGAAAAACATTAAGAATTTTAAATTTCTTTATTGCAGATTACATAAAACACAAGACTTGCTGTATGACAGTACAAAAGATTTCCTGGAACTCCGCTACCAGGGTCGAGCCAATGAGCGGGGATGGATGGCTGAGAAAGATGGCTTGCTCCGTGAGATGGACGAGTGTAAACAGAGGCTGAGCTCTGGTGGGAAGGACACCGTCATCAATGTCACCGATGCAGGCTACGACAGAGGCCACTATGCTGAAGAACTCCAGGTATCTCACACAGCTCCATGTAGAAATGGCTGCTCTATACTATTGTTGGACTGCCTCTGTGGTCTAGTGGTAGAGCGTCCGCCCGGAGAGCGGAAGGTCCGGGGTTCGATCCCCGGCCGCGTCATACCAAAAGATGTTAAAAGATGGTACTTGTTGTTACCCAGTCTGGTGCTCGGCATCAAGGGGCTAAAACAAGGACTGGTCGGCTCGGAGTCAGTATACTGTGTCTGAGTGGGGTATTCATGTTAAACTGCGGCATGGTATCTCAGTGAGCTAGCACTGTAAATCTGTATCATTCCGGACTTGTACAAGAGCCACACAAACACACACACGTCCATGCACGTGGCCATATAAGTGCAATAATCTTGGACGCGACGTTAAACCCCATTTCACCTCACCTCACCTATAGTATTGTTTGAATCTTAAGGTGCAGAGACATCTCAGGGATATTATGTTAAAAGTTTGTCCTTTGTTCCATTGTGTTTTGTAAACACAGTCATTATTTGTGTCTTAGTAATCCACTGTAGTTAAGTAAAACATGGTATGTACCCTGGGGATGGGCCATAAACTGAATTTTTTAGCAATGTCTGTATGCAGACACCTTAAGACTAATAGGGTTTGTAAGTAGGTCTGTCGTAATTTTCTTGGATGTCGTCTTTTTATTTGATCTTCACTTTTGTAGTACTTAGTTTGTATTCTACATTCTTGCTAAGATCATACACAGTTCCACATGGGTGCAGGGCTTTTTTGAAAGATACTAATCATGTCAACATATTAAAAACATACAACTGCATGTTTTGGGGACATGTATTTAAAAATATCAGTGATTAATTCACCATGTTTTGGCATGCAAATGCAAATTGTTCCTGGAGGAATTATTGGTATTCATTCTGTATTTTCTTGTTTTGTGTACACCCCCTTTTTAAAAAAGGTGCATGATGTGTTTTACTATAAATATATTTCAAATGGTTCCAAGGCATTTGATTGGCTAAGCAAGCAAAATGTTTTGCATTTATGTTTCCATAAACAAAACAAATTAGTCCTAGGCCTCGTCCACTAACAGACTACTGTTTCCTTATTAGCTGATAAAAGTATGGTTACTGATTTTCTATTGTTACAGTTTTTTTGTTAATGATTAAATAATCAGTATTAAGGTATTTTTGTTTATGTATTTATGTATTTACAGTAGAACACGGATATAACGAACACGGATATAGCGAAAAAACGGATACAATGAACTGTTAAAAAATCCCGATTTATCTCCTATATAATATCATATAAAATTCACGTATATAACAAACTCTCTACAGCGAACTAACGGATACAGCGAACTGATATCTGATCACCGACAAGCCCGTCTATCACTTATTAGTGACGTGTATAGTGAACTGAGAAATCTCACTCAGTGTCAAGTGTCACTGACAATTGGCTGTACGCAATCAGTGGCGAATCAACACAATCGCGGTGAATCAATACAATCAGAGGTGACGGATCAACCTTGTTAAATTTGCATCATGTTAATCTTACCTGTAATGTAATCTTGTCTGTAAAACAAACATTAAACATATACATTTTACGAGATTGTGTCCAAGTGTCAGTACACTTGCATATGCTCTCATGGCGGGCAATAAGAGGAAAGCTATCAGTTTAGACACAAAATTGAGAATTATTAATGCTGTTGATGCTGGCATAAAAACCAAGAAAGACCAAAGCTGACGAACTTGCAGTGAAATTAGGCCATGAAGATTTCTCGTGTAACACTGCAATTACGTGTATTGTGTTTTGTCTTATCAAGGACGTTTCCGAGCTCAAAACGTGTATAACGAACAACGGATATAACGAACTGATTTCTCTGGTCCCTTGTAGTTCGTCATATCCGTGTTCTACTGTATTTATATGGATTGATTATGCAGATTTTGACAGCGTGTGTTTTGTGTTCCCCGACAGTCCCTGGAGTACCAGCTGCAGCAGTCCCAGAAGGTGGGAGACATGTACCGGGAACAGGTGATACAGCTGGAGGACGAGCTGTCTCGGATCAGGGAGGAGGGGGACGTCACGCGCGAGATATTCAAGGTAACACTCCGACCTCAGACAGTTGTCTCAAGTCCAACTGTATAAGGGGCGGTCGGGTAGCCTAGTGGTTAAAGCGTTTGCTCTTCACGTCGAAGACCCGGGTTCGATTCCTGACATGGGTATACTGTGGGAAGCCCATTTCTGGTGTCCTCCGCCGTGATATTGCTGGAATATTGCTAAAAGCGGCGTAAAACCATACTCACTCACTCACTCACTCACTCACTCACTCACTCACTCACTCCAAGTGTATTAATAACAGCAGATTACTTCCATATTTAAAAAAAACATGGAGTTGTGCTCAATAGATTCATAGGTTCATTGCATCTGACATTTTAGTTGTTTAAGTTGTTCATTACTACAGACATGTTACCATGGTGACACTGGAGTATACTAAATAAGACAACTCAAAATTGAGTTTTAAGCCAACCCTTTTTTAATTCAGATATGCCAGTGCTTTATTCTATATATCACTCTTTGACACCTTAATAGAGAAAATGAAGAAAAAAGATGTGAAATGTCAGCCCTACGGAGAAACTTCAATTCAGATGGCATGATGTAATCAATTTGTGGACAATCATGATGTCATATCATTTTTCCTTTAACAATAAATATGGGAACTTTCAACATCTACTGAATGTCGTATTGAATCGTAGACCATTCATTGTGTGCTATGATGAATAGATAAACCACTAAACTCGTGAAGTACACGTAATAATTTTCAAACAATCCTGATAGTGCAAGACGTCAGTTTTAAATCACACACATTCAAGTACTCACACGTCTTCCCATGTATCCACATTCACCCGCTAACCACACAGGCCGCGGACACCTAAACGAGCCTCCTGGTGGTAATGAAGGCCGGGAATCAACCAAGCGCTAGCCGTGAAGTGACACCAATACACAGGATATTCAAAGTCCTTTTACACGTGCTTCAGTGACTTTGCCCACGCACGTGAAAAACCGGGTCCTGCAGTAGGAATTGAAAATCCACATCCCAAAGAGGACACCTTGACTGATAAAGCTTTGTGATTGTTAAATGGTTTCAACTGACCAATCATCATTGAGAATTGCTAAAATGCACATGTGCAATATCGGAAAGTTATTAGACACGGTCATTCTACCCTTATCAATGCCTATGGGTAATATTATAGGAATGTGTATGATGTAGATATCGAAAGGTGAAATGCTTCCACGGAATTCATTCTAATGTTGATTCACCCATTTGCACATTGGCGAACTTGGTGTCGTTCTTCAAAACACATGACTGGAGTGCATTGATTTATTAGCCAATAGACATAGGCACAGTCGAGGGCTTTATGGTTGAAAAAGTCCATTTTAAGAGATTACATGTGTCTCTTTTAGCAAGTGACTTTGTTCGAAATGCGGCTCTGATCACCCATCAGTGAATGATTACCCACTCGTATGCAACTTGAGGTGTATACTTCCCAGGGAGTTGAGTTGTATTCAGGTGGACACTGATTGATTGAGTGGGGTAATAATGAGGTGGCACCATGAGCACTCTCTGCTGGAATAATGCATTATGAATTGACTGGTTATTAAAAATGGTTGAGATTGATTAATTGCTCATGTGACTGTGTGGTGGTAGTGAGGAGAGAGGCATTTAACTATTATTGATGCTTAAAAAAAGAAAAGAATTTGATCTCAGGCAATGACTTGAGAAAATATAGAGCAGGCGGGTGGTGGTTCTTTGGGGTGTGTACCATCAACCTTGGAAAGGGTCTTCCTACATAAACTAGCATACAAATGCACGAGACACATAGTAAAGCAGTATGCGTGTAAAGGGAAGTAACTGTGTGGTATATTGGATCACATTGTTTTTAAGTAGTAGGATTTTTTTATTTGTTTGAAATTGGAAATAAAAACGAACCGTGCGGCAGACTTTATGATGATGCGGGCGGCGCCTGAGAACCAAGACTATTATTTTGTTTAGCCTGATAGAGCTGTCACAATGCAAGTATGGTCTCTAGCTGCTTGTTTGTGATGTGTAGGACCGCAGTGACAAGATGACGAAGCGCCTGCAGCTGATGAACCAGCGCTACACAGACTTGGAGAGGCGGCGCAACCTGGAAGTCGAGGGCTTCAAGAATGACATAAAAAATCTTCGAAGCCGACTGAAGGATGTGGAGAAGCAGCTGTACAAGGTGAGGGCAGCAGTGAGTGAGTGAGTGAGTATGGTTTTACGCCGATTTCAGCAATATTCCAGCAATATCACGGCGGGGGACGCCAGAAATGGGCTTCACACATTGTACCCATGTCGGGAATCGAACCCGGGTCTTCGGCGTGACGAGGGAACGCTTTTAACCACTAGGCTACCCGACCGCCCCCGTTTGTAGCAGCAAATGAAGCGAGTGGGATATTTGGGTATTCTTAAGATGTAGCATGTAGTGCCTTGTTTAAGTGGCATTTAGAAGTTGGTGTGATGAAATAAGACAAGTTCTATGGATGAACAACTTCTTTATTACAATTAGTGCGAAGTTTCGGTGTAGATCCTAACACCTTCATCAAGCAAGTGATGGATAGTGCTTACTTACTTACTTACTTTGGAGATTTAACGTGCGCTTTCCGACTGATGAGTATTTCGCACACGGATTGATGGACACAGAGAGCTGATTAAGATATTGGAAGCCAGTGAACGACTAATGGGACAGGGTAAACAACCACAGAAGCTGACTGGGATGATTGGAAGCCAGTGACTAGGGATTTAGCAATTAGGTGATGGTAAGCAGGCGGGATGTAGTAGCCATTATTTTAGCATGTAGTGAGTGGAACTGGTCAAAATTCACTAATTACCGGTAGTATTATCAGTATTATCATTCACCACACAATTATTAAGATAATGATATATTTCAAAAATAATTATGAGCATAGATGATCAACTCCATGGTTGGAAGCTGATAAATTTGAACAAAGCAAGAACTGACAAGATATTTAGATTAGGGATAATCTTTACTTGACAGTGTAAAATTATTTTCAAAGTACAAACTATATTCTCCAGACCCATTACTACTTAACATGCTATTGTTACTTCTTTCTTTTGTAAGTCTGTGAAAAACGAATACTGTCACAATAATATATTGGTTTGGTAAGGTGAATAGGGGCCATGCATTGAAATTGAAGAAGCAATGGTCTAGGGGAGATAATTTGTACAAAACGTTTCCTTTTAATCCCCTCTTGAGTAAAGTTTTCCATGTGATATTTATCACATTTGGTAACCTCCGTTTCCTCTTGATGTCTTTTGTTCTACCTTCTAAAAACTATTTGGTTTAGAAATTACTTTGAAAACAATTCAAATTTGTACTGACCAAGTTTCTCATCACTTGTTCGTTTACCGGAATTTGCTGAAGGGGTACGGTGTAATTTATTTCTGCGCATAATAATCGATTTTTTTTGAATTTTTTTTTTTTGGATTTTTTCAAAAAATCTGAATCCACTAGAGGGAGATGCGCATTATACTTGGGTGTGCACTATATTGAAGAAAATATGGTATCTTTATGATCCTGTGATATATTTAAATGCTTTTATGCAACTTTTAGAAAAATTTCTTTGGCAGGAATTTTTGTCACTTTCCATACCGTAATAAATCAAATAAATAATGATAAACTGGTTAGTGATGACCATTCTATTAAATAATGAAAGAGAATTGTACTGTTAATTTATAAATGATACATCAATATCATTTATCTATCTATCAATAGATTTACAGCAACATTTAATTTGAAGACTGACAATTTTCTAACTGAGAAGGAAACTTTTGTGATTTGCCGGCCCTGCTGTCTGGACAGATTGTTTGTGACTGTTCACCACTGATATGATTGTGTCTGCAGGTCACCCTGGGCTTCACCGAGGACATGGACATCCAGCGGCCGGACGATCTGGACATGCAAGTTCTCCGGAATGTCCGCTTCACGGCCGGCAAGTCCAAGAAGATGATGGGAGAGCTGAAGAACCTCAAGGCTAAAGTTTACGGACTTGAAAGCGATCTCAAGCACTTGTGACAGCATTGATAGACTTTCAACAAGGTCATTCCATAAACTATTGCTCTCCAACCACTGTGATATGTCAGCCCAACTGATGATGAATCAAAACCAACACCATATATTTGTTGGTTGTGCTTTTTTAAGTGTCATGCTATCATACCTTTCTCAATAAGGCTCATTCAGCTCCCTCAAGCAATAGCCAAACCATATGCAGCTCAACTGGTTACTTTCAAGTCTTTCTGACCTCAAAATGAATAATAGTTGTTCGTGGTAAAATAAATGTAACCTAGTATTATGCATACAGAATGTATATTTTATGATCAGTAGGATTTGTTTCTATTGAACCTAGTACCCTTACAATGTGGATATGTTCATTTTTAAAGCCCAATTTTAAAGTTAATTTGCAGATGTGTCTTTGCCCAACTTTCTAGTGTACATATCTTACATACCAAGTTTGGTAATGTTTTGTCTAAATAGGAACTCTGTTATGGTTCTTGTTACTATTTCTAAGATGGATGCCTTCAGCCACATTTGGTTGCCATAGAGATGAGTTGAACAAAGAAGAAACTATTATGATTCTTGTATTCATTTTAGCATGCTCTTTTGTTTGATATCTGGTATGACTTTTACCCCTAAAGTCAAGAAAAACCATTGCTCAACAATGGGCACATGTTCCTGAGGCAAGGGAGGTAACTGACTGTTAAAGTCCAGTTTTCACCCTTGATAAACTAGGCTGGAATTATGGAGTTATATTTTGGCTGGACTAACGAGTCTGTGCATAGTTCACTCATAATTGCGTAACGAAAGCGACATCCTGTTGATTGCAGGATTTGCAAAGCCTGTGTACTGACAACTTATTGTCAACAGATATTTTCCAAATCTTTTCATGTTTTTAATCAGGGTGTTTGCGTGATTTGATCCACTTCGCGAAGTGAGATCCGTTATATTACAACATAGATTTTGATTATTGATCAGATCCTCGCAGCCATTTTATTTGAAGCAAATTCAAGTGATATGATATATGAAATCTGATTGGTCAGTAGGGGGACATAGAATGGACATAACTCATAATTGCCATTGGTGGCGCTACGATCGTGCCCAGAAATTCCAGCCAGTTAACTCCCTTGCCTCGGGAAGATGCATTAGTCACTCAGCAAGAAATAAAATAAAAAGTCCAATTTGCAAAGAGCTAACAGGGTGACCAGTGCCATCCACTCAAGTTCATTCAGCCAGATTAGGTAAAAACATTTTCCTAAGCAGTGATTGAAGTCAACTGTACATGACATGATCTCAAAGTGTCAGTGTGGCATTATTTCTTAAATCTACATGATAACATATGATTAACATGATGTCTTCTTGTCAGGACGTTGTCACATGTCTCCATTATCAGGAATATGTCAGGATATTTCCAGCGATAGAAACTAACATTTTTTTGTCCTCTGGTTCTTATAATAACGTATAGCAAAACCCCCAAAAATGGCAAATTTCATCTAGTTCTTATGATACCTTAACTATTGGGCAGTTTGGCAAGGAGTACAGGACTAGAGCCAATGTCGAACGCTGACATTTCACCAGATGATAATGTGTCCTCCAAAATAATGGGAAGAAAACAGTTTTGAATTTAAGTAGACAACAGTTTTGAAACTACAGGGAAATAGAACCATATTATCTGTAGATTTGGAACTTGTTACATCCCAGATTGTTGTCTTTAATATTGCTAACTAACATTCCTGTAGAGGGTTGATGGAATTGAGGAGATGACGCTCTATGCCATCAGCTGAAATGGAACAGATCTTTTCAGAGGTTTTGTTTCTTATTAGTATGGAATATTTGTACATAGTATTAGGGTTCAGGCTGAAATAATGAACACAATTTTATGTTTAGCCTATGCAGTATGTTTGCATTTGTATTGAATAAATATTGTATGACATATTCTTGTAATTGCTTCCTTTCTTTTAAATACCAGCTTCATTACTCATTTCCCTGATGCCTGGATTTCAAATAATTTGGTCAGAGTTGAACTCCTTTGTATTACGACCGCCTCCGTGGTCTAGTGGTAGAGCGTCCGCCCGGAGAGCGGAAGGTCCAGGGTTCGATCACCGGCCGCGTCATACCAAAAGATGATAAAAGATGGTACTTGTTGTTACCCTGTCTGGCGCTCGGCATTAAGGGGCTAAAACAAGGACTGGTCGGCTCAGAGTCAGTACACTGTGTCTGAGTGGGTTATCCATGTTAAACTGCGGCATGGTATCTCAGTGAGCTAGCACTTTAAATCGGCATCAGTCCAGACTAGTACCAGCAGCCACACACACACACACGTACATGCACGTTGCATTAAAGTGCAATAATCTTGGACCTATTCTTCCAAGGGGATCTGCGGATAACTGTTTAGAATCCATGATTTAACCTGACTCTGGTCTGTTGTCATTCAGTATAAATGATGTCACTTTAGGCTTTCCAAACCTATTTGGTTGGCATACCATCATATACATGACACACTGTTCAAACTAATGTGGGGGCACGGGTGGCCCAGTCGTCTAAGGTGCGGCGATTCGCTGTGGAGTGTTGCGTCCCTTTTGCACGTCAGAAACCTATGATTGTGGGTTCGAATCCCGGTTCACCGAGATAATATTTCTAGGTTTGTCAGGACCATACCAGGCTCCTGGGTTTCACCGAAGTGGTAAACATCTGATACCTGCATCACTTCGGGCTTTCCTGCCACATTAAGCTGCCACGCCGCGATATAACTGTAATACTGTTAAAAGGGGCGTTAAACCCAACTCACTCACTCACTCAAACTAATGTTAAACCATTCGCACTAATGTTTGTCACAATAGTGTACCTTTACATTTAGTTTCTGGAAGAGTTGTCTCCCCTAGACCAGAGCGATTTCACTTCTCATGGGGGAAAGAACTGTCTTAGGCTGCATAGCTGCTTGTGTTCTGTGTTTTGGATTCAGTTATTGAAAATTTTACATTAAGTTATATATTTATATACTTATCCCATCTCACACTATGCATTTCTTTTCTTCTTTCGATCCTTGTGTGGAAACTTTGTAAAACAAAGTTTGCAGGCTTGCAGATTCCACCGCAGTAGCAATGGATGTGGATCGCAAGGTGTAAATAGTGTCGACGCTTTTACAGGACGGGGTCTTTTGATCAGTCCCCATGGCGTAGATGTTGATAATAGTTAAATTGATGAAGTTTGAAGTCGGATTGTAATTAGGCCTAGATATGGAGAACCTACGTCGTGTGTTTTTAACAAATAAAACAAACCAGGTGTTCATTGGTGTTTGGACATTTATTTTATTAGTTTATCTCTGTACTCTCACTGAATATGTGGAATCAGATGGGAAACAGCATGAAGTTTATGGAAGCCAGTGATTACCCCGCGGTCAACTGAATCCGTGGTATCGCGAATGGCGTTATCGCGGGGATGACTGTATAAGAGGAAGCTAATCAAAATGAACAAAAAAAAAAGAAAGTTGTATTCTCTACTTGATAACATGTCTCCACACGGAGGCAAAGAGAAAGAGAATGATGTGACATAGGGAGTCAGATGATCAAACCGCTTATGTCACGGTGCACAGGATTGTAGTGCGTGACCCGATTGTGTGGGTGGTGACTATGGTGATGCGACGGGTGTTCGGGCTAAATGGTTTTAGAAGCTGGAAACTGTTAAAGATGTTTCCACACAAGGATCAAAAGAAGAAGGAAGAAATGCATAGTGTGAGATAGGATAAGTTTAGAAATTCTACATGTATTATAATGAATGAGTAAGTGAATGTTGTATGACACTGCAGAAGGTAGTCATACCCTCACGGTAATGTCTTTCCATAGGGGAAAAAAACATCCAAACTCATAATTCGTGTATAATGCGCACCCCCTTCCACACAGCTGTGTTTTTTGGAAAAAAAGTGCGCACTATACTCAAGAAAATACGGTAGTATTCAAGGTAGATGTAAGGCATGGTGGCCTGTAGAGAACGTCACCATCGGAAGTGTATAGGCCATGAGAAAAAACTTCATCATACTCAATCAGCCAGGACAAACTGTGAAACCATCCTTTCCTCTTTAGTCAGGGGGGCACGGGTGGCCCAGTCGTCTAAGGCGCCGCGATTTGCTGTGCAGAGTTGTGTCCCTTGTGGGTTCGAATCCTGGTTCGCCCCGATTATGTTTCTAGGTTTGTCAGCACCATACCCGTGCTCGTGGGTTTCACCGAAGTGGTAAACGTCTGAGACTTCGGGCTTTCCTCCCACATTAAGCTGACACGCTGCGATATAACTGGAATACTGTTAAAAGCGGCGTAAACCCAACTCACTCACTCACTGTGACCTTTGGAAAATGTACAAACGTGCAGTGATCGTGCACTTGCAGAAAAAAGGGCTTAACGCACCAACCTCCCAATAAAAAAGAAGATAAGATAAACACTGGGTAATGCTGCCCCTTCCTATGCCACCATAAAGAGGAGGGCAGCAAGGTCAGTTGAGCAAATTGTTTCACTGTGACAAGTCAGTAAAATAAACATGGATCTGCGACCTTTGGAAAATGGAACACAGTTGGATGGTTTCACAGTTTGTCCTGGCTGATTGAGTATGATGAAGTTTTTTCTCATGGCCTATCCACTTCCGATGGTGACGTTCTCTACAGGCCACCATGCCTTACATCTACCTTGAATACTACCTTCTGCAGTGTCATACAACATTCACTTACTCATTCATTGCAATACATGTAGAATTTCTAAACTTATCCTATCTCACACTATGCATTTCTTCCTTCTTCTTTTGATCCTTGTGTGGAAACGTCTTTAACAGTTTCCAGCTTCTAAAACCATTTAGCCCGAACACCCGTCGCATCACCATAGTCACCACCCACACAATCGGGTCACGCACTACAATCCTGTGCACCGTGACATAAGCGGTTTGATCATCTGACTCCCTATGTCACATCATTCTCTTTCTCTTTGCCTCCGTGTGGAGACATGTTATCAAGTAGAGAATACAACTTTCTTTTTTTTTGTTCATTTTGATTAGCTTCCTCTTATACAGTCATCCCCGCGATAACGCCATTCGCGATAGACGACTAACGACGTGTGAGTGAGTGAGTGAGTGAGTGAGTGAGTTATATCGCAGCATGTCAGCCTAATGTGGGAGGAAAGCCTGAAGCGATGCAGGTTTCAGATGTTTACCACTTCGGTGAAACCCACGAGCACAGGTATGGTGCTGACAAACCTAGAAACATAATCGGGCAAACCGGGATTCTAACCCACAATCATAGGTTTCTGGCGTGCCCAAGGGACGCGACTCTGCATAGCGAATCGCGGCGCCTTAGACGACTGAGCCACCCGTGCCCCCCAAAGGTCACAGACCCCTGCATATTTTGCTGACTTGTTACAGCAAAACATTTTGCTCAGGTGACTCAAGTTGTTGTGGATATACCTCTATGAAATCATATAATGTCCTCAAAAAAGGGTTCTGAGAGGCTCAGAACTTCAGGTTAACCTTTGTAGATAAATGTATTTGACATATCTCTTGCTTGGCTGTGGCTGTATGTGAATGTATTGGACATATCTCTTGCTTGGCTGTGGCTGTATGTGAATGTATTTGACATATCTCTTGCTTGGCTGTGGCTGTATGTGAATGTATTGGACATATGTCTTGCTTTACTGTGGATGTATGTGAATGTATTGCACATATCTCTTGCTTGGCTGTGGCTGTATGTGAATGTATTGGACATATCTCTTGCTTGGCTGAGGCTGTATGTGAATGTATTGGACATATCTCTTGCTTGACTGTGGCTGTATGTGAAAGTATTGGACATATCTTTTGCTTGGCTGTGGCTGTATGTGAAAGTATTGGACATATCTCTTGCTTGACTGTGGATGTATGTGAATGTATTTGACATATCTCTTGCTTGACTGTGGCTGTATGTGAATGTATTTGACATATCTCTTGCTTGACTGTGGATGTATGTGAATGTATTTGACATATCTCTTGCTTGGCTGTGGCTGTATGTGAATGTATTGGACATATCTCTTGCTTGGCTGTGGCTGTATGTGAAAGTATTTGACATATCTCTTGCTTGACTGTGGATGTATGTGAATGTATTGCACATATCTCTTGCTTGGCTGTGGCTGTATGTGAATGTATTGGACATATCTCTTGCTTGACTGTGGATGTATGTGAATGTATTTGACATATCTCTTGCTTGGCTGTGGATGTATGTGAATGTATTGCACATATCTCTTAATTGGCTGTGGCTGTATGTGAATGTATTTGACATATCTCTTGCTTGACTGTGGCTGTATGTGAATGTATTTGACATATCTCTTGCTTGACTGTGGCTGTATGTGAATGTATTTGACATATCTCTTGCTTGACTGTGGCTGTATGTGAATGTATTTGACATATCTCTTGCTTGGCTGTGGCTGTATGTGAATGTATTGGACATATCTCTTGCTTGACTGTGGATGTATGTGAATGTATTGCACATATCTCTTGCTTGGCTGTGGATGTATGTGAATGTATTGCACATATCTCTTAATTGGCTGTGGCTGTATGTGAATGTATTGCACATATCTCTTGCTTGGCTGTGGCTGTATGTGAATGTATTGGACATATCTCTTGCTTGACTGTGGATGTATGTGAATGTATTGCACATATCTCTTGATTGGCTGTAGCTGTATGTGAATGTATTTGACATATCTCTTGCTTGACTGTGGATGTATGTGAATGTATTGGACATATCTCTTGCTTGGCTGTGGCTGTATGTGAATGTATTGGACATATCTCTTGCATGACTGTGGCTGTATGTGAACGTATTGGACATATCTCTTGCTTGACTGGATGTATGTGAACGTATTTGACATATCTCTTGCTTGACTGTGGATGTATGTGAATGTATTGCACATATCTCTTGCTTGGCTCTGGCTGTATGTGAATGTATTGGACATATATCTTGCTTGGCTGTGGCTGTATGTGAATGTATTGGACATATCTCTTGCTTGGCTGTGGCTGTATGTGAATGTATTGGACATATCTCTTGCTTGGCTGTGGCTGTATGTGAAAGTATTTGACATATCTCTTGCATGACTGTGGCTGTATGTGAACGTATTGGACATATCTCTTGCTTGACTGGATGTATGTGAACGTATTTGACATATCTCTTGCTTGACTGTGGATGTATGTGAATGTATTGCACATATCTCTTGCTTGGCTCTGGCTGTATGTGAATGTATTGGACATATATCTTGCTTGGCTGTGGCTGTATGTGAATGTATTGGACATATCTCTTGCTTGACTGTGGATGTATGTGAATGTATTGCACATATATCTTGCTTGTCTGGATGAATGTGAATGTATTGGACATATCTCTTGCTTGACTGTGGTTGTATGTGAATGTATTGCACAGGTCTCTTGCTTGACTGGATGAATGTGAATGTATTGGACATATCTCTTGCTTGGCTGTGGCTGTATATGAATGTATTTGACAGACATCTTGTTGACTGTGGTTGTATGTGAATGTATTTGACAGACATCTTGTTGACTGTGGCTGTATGAGAATGTATTGGACATATCTCTTGCTTGACTGTGGATGTATGTGAATGTATAGGACAGACATCTTGTTGACTGTGGATGTATGTGAATGTATAGGACAGACATCTTGTTGACTGTGGATGTAGGTGAATGTATTGGACAGACATCTTGCTTGACTGTGGCTGTATGTGAATGTATTGCACATATCTCTTGCTTGGCTGTGGATGTATGTGAATGTATTGGACATATCTCTTGCTTGACTGTGGATGTATGTGAATGTATTGCACATATCTCTTGCTTGACTGTGGCTGTATGTGAATGTATTGGACATATCTCTTGCTTGACTGTGGCTGTATGTGAATGTATTGGACATATCTCTTGCTTGACTGTGGATGTATGTGAATGTATTGCACATATCTCTTGCTTGACTGTAGCTGTATGTGAATGTATTTGACATATCTCTTGCTTGACTGTGGATGTATGTGAATGTTTTGCACATATCTCTTGCTTGGCTGTGGCTGTATGTGAATGTATTGGATATATCTCTTGCTTGACTGTGGATGTATGTGAATGTATTATGTTACGTATTGATGGCTTGAGAGTTACCTCCCTTACTGTACGCATACAGGCATGACGTGACTGTGAGCGTTGTCTGATGGCGTTCTGGAAGCTGAGAAGTAAATCCAATGACCAACCACTTCTATCTGTTATAACTTGGTAGTTATGAAGCCTGGTAGCATCAAACACTTAACATATTGCACATATCTCTTGCTTGGCTGTGGCTGTATGTGAATGTATTGGACATATCTCTTGCTTGACTGTGGATGTATGTGAATGTATTGCACATATATCTTGCTTGACTGGATGAATGTGAATGTATTGGACATATCTCTTGCTTGACTGTGGTTGTATGTGAATGTATTGCACAGGTCTCTTGCTTGACTGGATGAATGTGAATGTATTGGACATATCTCTTGCTTGGCTGTGGCTGTATGTGAATGTATTTGACAGACATCTTGTTGACTGTGGTTGTATGTGAATGTATTTGACAGACATCTTGTTGAATGTGGCTGTATGTGAATGTATTGGACATACCTCTTGCTTGACTGTGGATGTATGTGAATGTATAGGACAGACATTTTGTTGACTGTGGATGTAGGTGAATGTATTGGACAGACATCTTGCTTGACTGTGGCTGTATGTGAATGTATTGCACAGCTCTCTTGCTTGACTGTGGCTGTATGTGAATGGATTGCACAGCTCTCTTGCTTGACTGTGGCTGTATGTGAATGTATTGCACAGCTCTCTTGCTTGACTGTGGCTGTATGTGAATGTATTGCACAGCTCTCTTGCTTGACTGTGAATGTATTGGACAGACATCTTGCTTGACTGTGGCTGTATGTGAATGTATTGCACAGCTCTCTTGCTTGACTGTGGCTGTATGTGAATGTATTGGACATATCTCTTGCTTGACTGGATGTATGTGAATGTATTGGACAGACATCTTGCTTGACTGTGGCTGTATGTGAATGTATTGGACAGCTCTCTTGCTTGACTGTGGCTGTATGTGATTGCATTGCACAGCTCTCTTGCTTGACTGTGGCTGTATGTGAATGGATTGCACAGCTCTCTTGCTTGACTGTGGCTGTATGTGAATGTATTGCACAGCTCTCTTGCTTGACTGTGGCTGTATGTGAATGTATTGGACAGACATCTTGCTTGACTGTGGCTGTATGTGAATGTATTTGTCAGATCTCTGCATTGAACAGGCTTCAATTAATCTTTGATATCTGTAACATTGTATTTACGAGTTTTTTCTGCTCTTAGCATTATTCCAGCCATATCACAATCGGAACCAACAAATGTTTTCACACATTACATAGCCGAGGAGTCAAAAGTCATAGCTTAACCACTCCAAACTCATCCACCCCAGACACTGTGGAAGGGTGCATGTTGAAACTTGGGGGAAGTGTGCTAGGTGAAATTATTGCTTTCTCACCAAATACTTTTGTGTTGTGTGTTGTTTGTAGCAATATTTTAGCTGTATGAAAGCAGTCTGTAAATAACTGAATCTGGACCATCATCTTCACAACTGGGACACGATGACATGCAACATCCAAGTCAGTGAGCCTGACTTCTCATTCCTGTCTGTTGCCTCTTACAAGCACAGGTTGCAGAGGACCAATAAAAACCTAGATCTTTCCAGGGTTTCACCAAACAGATGTGACTTCTTGTCACATGTCAGGGTTAACAGGAAGCCTCTTCCTACAGCCATGACACATATGGATTCACAGCCACAGGATTTTATGAGGTGAGGTGAGGTGAAATGGGGTTTAACGTCACGTCCAAGATTATTGCACTTATATAGCGAAGTGCATGCACGTGTGTGTGTGTGTGGCTGCTTGTACTAGTCCGGACTGATGCCGATTTATAGTGCTAGCCCATTGAGATACCACGCTGCAGTTTAACATGAATACCCCACTCAGACACAGTATACTGACTCCGAGCCGACCATTCCTTGTTTTAGCCCCTTAATGCCGAGTGCCAGACAGGGTAACAACAAGTACCATCTTTTCACGTCTTTTGGTATGACGCGGCCGGGGATAGAACCCCGAACCTTCTGCTCTCCCGGTTTCACTAGACCATGGAAGGCAGTCTAGCCATCTAACGACGAAAGGATGGTTTCACAGTTTGTCCTGGCTGATTGAGTATGATGAAGTTTTTTCTCATGGACTCTCCACTTCCGATTGTTACATGCTCTACAGGCCACCATGAACCCTGGACCTTCCGCTCTCCGGGCGGATGCTCTACCTCTAAGCCACGGAGGCGGTTGAGGTGAATGGACTTGTACAACAAACAGCCAAGGTTGTGGGGTGTTGTTCTCCACGCTAGTGACATTCATCATTATGAGATCACGAGCTACAAATAGTAATTTGCGGGGAAATATTTCTGTGACAATTTGCTGCATATTGTGACCGCCATCAAAACTGAAAGTCGAACAGGGTCAATTTGACCCTCAGCAAGTGATGTGACAATAAACACTACGATGTAATGACATCTACAATTCCATGTGGGTGCAAAACGGCAACTAGCCAATCAAATATAGCAGAATTCTTTAACAAGTTTTTTTGCTTGTTGTTTAAAGCCACACTCAACAATATTCCAGCTATATGTCAGCAGTCTGTAAATAATTGGGTCTGGATCAAACAATCCAGCGATTGACATCATGAGCATCGATGTACACAATTGGGATATGATGACATGCATCAACCATGTCAGGAAGCCTGACCACCCGATCCCATTGGTTGCCTCTTACGGCAAGCATGGGTTCCTGAAGATCTTATCTAACTCGGATCTGTAACAAGTAATGACAAAACAGATTCCACATTGAAGCTTGTAAATACAACTCCAATCTCCAATGGATCACATCACATCAATGCATGCAGCAACAAAAACAACTACTTACTAAAACAAACAACAAAAAAGAAGCATTTGTTTCTGATTTATTTTTGGCATTGAGAAAACAACACCCGAGTAGTGGGTTAGGTTATCTCCCCTACCAGAGAGTTACCTCCCCTAGATGAGAGTTTCTTACACAAACTATGTACAGAACTAGCCAACGAGAGGCTGCAGTGACCGGTGTTAGGAGCTCCAGTACAGCTCTTGTATGTACAGGAGTTGTCTAGGATGCATAAATAAGCTACCACTAAAGATACAATCAGTGAGGGTTGGGGCACAGTGTGTCTACAGATCTTGTCACTCTGGTATTTACAACTGTACAAATTTCTAACCAATCTCTCCTTCATGCGTTCCTCACATGCACTCTAGCTAACACTTTGTTCTACAGTGACAATAAATATTCAATTTTTTAAAATTGACAACTTTGTTCTGAATATGTAAAACTGTCATCATGAGGGTTGCAGGAGAAACAGTGAGAAGACACTAGGAAAAATATACAAATGTAGAAAAAAAGTTGACCTGACAACAAAATCTGATTAACAAGTGTATAGAATACTTCATTTTATGTACAAATAATCAAATGAAATACTTAAATAATTCCAGAACATTTGAGTTAGACTTCCATGAACGAGTTCATAACATTAACAATAATACTGAACGTTTAACTATGGCTTAAAATCAGGTGGCATTATTGAATTGGAGAACTGTTTGAAAACAAGCTCAAAGCTGAATGGGAACTTGCAAAATTTTAACAATAATTCTGACAACAATTTACGTTGACATAATTAAGAGTTATTATGACACGCATAAATAGTCAGAGGTTGTAAAACTCATGCATTAAATAGTAACAAAGATAGTTTGGTATAGGAGTTTTGTAATAAATTAACCATTTTAACATAACATCCTGCCAAATATAACTTTGGCTTCTAAATAATTACTAACAATTTGGTATATACATTTTCATCACTGAAACAAAGAAAAAGAAGATGGCTGACGCTTCTGCAGATGCTTTCTCCAGAACTCATTCACAGCTTTCACACTTGGTGTCAATCTTACACTCTCGTCACTTCTGACCAATCTACACTAGTTATACAGAACTCGGAAGTAAGGTTCCCCTACGACAGAGAGACACACAGACAGACAGACTGATATGTCGGCCATGTTGGACTGACGTTAACGACACTCGTCTACACGCAGGAGTCTATATATCTAGGTGAAGACATCACTTAGTTGCATCGATTCACGGTCCTCTACAAGCACTCATCTGTCCTGACTGACAAAAGTTCCCAGATTAATCCATCAGCCTGTGTCTGTCCTATGGGCAGACAACTCTGTCAGGCTTAACGTAGGTGCATAGCTACATCGTATACAATCACAGCACTTAAGCGTGGATCTTACACCATCCATGTATAGTCTATCAATGTCAATAGCCATTGTCTCACAATTGATGAATCTAGACTGTGTTAACTGAACCTCCTGTTGTGCCTACTGTAAACTGAAAGACAAGGGCACTGTTCTAGATTCTAGTAGTGTGTGATGGGGAGAGTGAGTTCAGTCTCAACTGAGGTAACGATATGGTCCCAAAGTGTTGCAGCACAGATTTCCGACTCATCTAGTGCGTTGTACTACTAAGAGGGGAGTTTGGCCTCCATCGAGGTAACAATATGGTCCCAGACAGTCCTTGACCTCTCCACAGGTTCCTGACTGAGCTTTGACCTTTCCGCAGGTTCCTGACTGAGCTTTGACCTCTCCGCAGGTTCCTGACTGAGCTTTGACCTCTCCGCAGGTTCCTGACTGAGCTCTGACCTCTCCGCAGGTTCCTGACTGAGCTTTGACCTCTCCTCAGGTTCCTGACTGAGCTTTGACCTCTCCTCAGGTTCCTGACTGAGCTTTGATCTCTCCTCAGGTTCCTGACTGAGCTTTGACCTCTCCGCAGGTTCCTGACTGAGCTAGTGTGCAGTATAGGGGGGGCATACAACTGAGGTAACAATATGGTCATCGCCAGCCAGAACACCTGCCACAGTTTCCAGACTTTATTTCGGATCCATCAGAAAAACATTCAGTTTCTTCTTGAAAAGCAAGCAAAGTGCCCACAGTACGGTGGTGTCTTGTCTATTCACAGATGATGTAAACGAGGCCCTATAGTGTGGTCAATAGCCTCACCAACAAAATCCTAATCAAATTCTAGGATCTAAATATGTGAAGGTCAAATTTCTGGTCGGAATATAATCTGGCCAGAACAATGCTGTATAAGACCTGTAACATCTAAAGGCCAAAGTAGGAGCCTTTGGCCTGGGGTCTTAGAGACCAAAATGTGAAGTCTGAAGGTTCAGAAACCAGATTCTCTAGCCTGCAACCCACGTCGAGACATCCAAAGTTTCCTTAAGAAGTGCCCTAATATAGCGCTGCCTGATCACACCTCCGTCCCCTCTGGAAGTCCAGCCTTCAGTTGAACCTGCGAGAGCTTGTTCCGTCGCCCTGGGGCCTTGGTGATGCCCCCCTGTGACCCTGAGGACAGGTTGTGGAGGTGGGACGCTGCTGGGCTCAGGGGGGCATCCTCCCGGCTGCTGGCACTCCCCACACTACCAGAGACCTGCAATCACAAAACCAGGACGTCAAACTACACATTATTCCTACATCAACTACAGTTAATATAAAACAAACAATGCTGACACAGCATAATAATTTCACCGACTCCCCCACATCACTGTGGAAACTAAAGACGTCACAGGGAAGGAAGGAGTTGTGAAGGTTTTATGCTGCAGTCAGCAATATTACATTTATCACATCATCAGGTGTGAAACAGAACCCGGGCCAGGAAAACAAAAACCGTGATACCACGTCTAACAATCACCTTTGATGGGGGATACTGACACAATCAGCCAGGGCATGTAACCACCCGATCATCATATTCATCAGCTTTTACAACAAGGTATTGGGTATCTATTCGTCTCCACAAAATCCAAAAGATATACAAAAGGTTTTGACCTTGCAATGTTTTACTAATGGAAGCTACAGTCGAGTTGTGAGCCTACATACATGACTTCTTACAAGGCAGATATGAAACTCACAGGAAACTACATGTGTTTAGTTGCATCTTCCTTCACTGATGAGGACAACCCTTTCGATAGGAATCTGAACATTATATTACACAAAACAATACAGTAGACCACACTGCTTTGTAAATTACCACAAGAACCTTCTTGAGTTTTTCAAAATGACAGACATCCATCAATCAGAGATCCGGCCAAAATATATCTAGGCGCAAATGTTTTGATTGTCTGAACATGATCCATCTCCATCACAATCAAGCACATCAAGATCTGCCCAAGCCATCAGTGGAACTGCTAATCCATGGCCACCACAAACATGACATGATCTGGAGGGTGCTCTCAGACTGCTCTGATAATAAAACCTCCATTCTACAGAGAGCTCTGCCTGGAAAAACCATGGACTGGTTACAGTCTGAGAAGATTACATATGCAATATGAGTTACGTAATGTCTTGTTTACCTCCTTAACTCCTTATCTTTGTCAGAATGTGTTGTCTTAGGGTGCAACTGTGCCAAATCTCTACAACAGTGTTGAAAAGGGAACATTTACTAACAGTGTGTCAAACAGCTTATTCAGCAAAACTCTTCTTAACAAATATACCCATCGGTTTACGCTTAGTAAGTGTTTTTCATGGAGAAAGGACCATCCTAACAAGTGACTAGTGTTCTCTCCTCAGTGTTTGAAATCATGGAATCATGGGTCCCAGAGGTCTTCTATGGTATTTGAATCTAGGACCACTAAATCTTTAACTTTTAACATAAGGGTTATGAGCTTGACCTTTATGCTAAATCGTGTTCAAAGACAAGACTTAGGTCAGATATGATGCGTATTTCCATGTAGTCCTACCACTGGCTGTTACTGGAAGGTGTCAGAATGTCCACAAGAAATCTTCATGCAGAAATTGATAAGAATAGGCAAGGGCATGGAGAATAACATTTAAGCTATGTGTATTATTTCAGAACAAATTCCACACTTGACACTTGAAGCCAGATGTAATTATCATGAGGTGGAGAGATTATGTAACAGGCTAAAAATAAACGCTGCATGGTATTGCAGATAAGGATGTAAACAGCAGCATTTTCTGCACTGAAGTAGTTGCTGCTAGTTGTCCTGTCACTGCTGTTGTAAGTAAACGTAATGCACTCACCACCCCGCTATCCAGCGAAGCACCGCTACTACCTCTTTTCATCCCTGGAGCTAAAAACACAAAACATGAGACATTATCATAGGGTGAGTGAGTGAGTTCAGGGTTAGAAACTAACAATTTTTGTCCACCAGTCCTTATAATGATAACATATAGCAAAACCCTTAAAATGGGCCAATTTCTACTAGTCCTTAGGATACCTTTACTATTGGGCAGTTTGGTAAGGACTATAGGACTAGTGCCAATTTCTAACACTGGAGTTGGGTTTGACGCCCCTTTTAACAGTATTCCAGTTATATCGTGTCATCTCAGCTTAATGTGGGAGGAAAATCCGAAGGGATGCAGGTCTCGGACGTTTACCACTTCGATGAAACCCACGAGCACGGGTATGGTGCTGACAAACCTAGAAACATAATTGGGGCGAACCGGGATTCGAACCCACAATCATAGGTTTCTGGCGTGCACATACTGCCAGCTCTGCAATAACTTAAATGTAATACAGAATTAGATGTTTGTGACAGATAGCTGCAGCTCATACATCTCCGACGGACAAATGCCAGTGATTATGAGGCGCGAAAACAGTTGCATCTGGCCGATGTTCGGTTTATCAGATCTGGAAGAATTTTGTGTTATTTCTACTTCTGTTCCGAGGCAATTAAATTGAGATAAAAATTTGGCTATTCTGTTTTACGTATTTCATTATCCTTTTTATTATAGTTATATCCCTTGACTAAATAACAGGAAAATTGTTGTTACATTAAGTCTTAAATCACTAACTTGTAACAGTAACAGCTAGCTTACACGACAAAAATGTCTAATACTTTCTAACTGATAAAATCAATGTCAATTCTCTCTGATAGCTACATGAATGAATTTGAAAATGAATCTCACATGATGATGATAATGGTGATGATGATGATGATGAAGAATGGTATAACATAATTATAACAGGAATATAATTTCAACATCAAAATCAGACACGTAACACTATAACATAATCATGACATTTCACTTGAAAAACAAAATTTTGGTATCTTGTAAAACATGCTGAAATAACATCACAGCAATGGAAAGTTTTGATCTTGAATAAATTGTCCAAATTTCCATACAGATGACAATATCAGTGGAAAAAATAATTTAGAATTTAATCCCTGTTAAATGAACGAAAGATAATATCCTGTGAAACAGCACACCTTCAAATATTAACTGTCCATGACAAAAACCTTCAGTAATCGACGACAACAATGAACTTACCCAGAAGTAATGAATGTTTAACTGCAAATAACAAATACAATTGGATACAGATTACACTGTCCGACACCCATGAGCGAGGCTTGAACTTGACAGGGGGAACAACAGAGAACAACATTGATGTAAGGAGACCAACTACCAACTAGTGAAACAACACTATGGAGCCAGCTGAAGCTGTTCGACTGTGATATGCGACATGATATATCGGCAAATTAAAAATAAAATGAAAAACAATAACAACACAGAAGACAGAAATCCGATAGAACTCAAAATAAACTCAAAACAGATGACGACAATTGATCATGTATGACGTGAAATGAATGATGTGGCGTTAAAATGAACAGGTAAAATTTCAAGCTGTGGAACATAGTAACGTGATCACCAGCTCTGGTTAACATCAGCCATAACATCAAGCACGGGTTTCTCTCAAAGAACTCATACGCAAACGCCTGCACGGCCTCGCTGCTGTTGCGGACAACTGATGAAGAAGCTGTGGTGCTCCATGCGGGAACTGGTGTTTCTTAACAATGACAGCCGGCAGCAAGTAAAACTAAAGACTGCTGCTTGCAAACAACACCAGCAGTAAGCGTAAGACAGACAGTTGGTGGGGACACTGATGTCACTATCTACAAAACGAAAAGCTGTAACCTGTGCGTTAAAGGTCACGGTCACGGTCAAGGTCAAGGTCCTTTTTTTCCCAGACACCTTCTTCATCAACCTGTGTTAGTCCAAAGGTCAAGGTCACGGTCAAGGTCCTTTTTTTTCAGACACCTTCATCAACCTGTGTTAGTCCAAAGGTCAAGGTCAAGGTCCCCTTTTTTTTCAGACACCTTCTTCATCAACCTGTGTTAGTCCCTCCATCATGTATTTCCATTAAATTGTAACTTGGGAAGTGTGTATCCCTCTTTTTAAAAATCCTGATCTTTCCCTAAAGAGTATCTGTCGTATTACCACATTTCATTCACTTCCATCTAAGCGATATTAACTATACCAGTCTGCTGGTAATGTAATCTCAGGACATTTTATTGGTGATAGTGTCATGCAGGACACTGGTCCAGGTTTGAAATTGGGACTGATGTCTTTGAATTCTTGAAAACGATTTCATTAAATATTTGAAATAATATAAATAAAATGTTGGATATTGCACATCCTCAGAAAATGCATTTATTTGTTATTTTTGTAAACCTTTTTCCAAAATTGAAAAGTAAGGAATGGGAACAATATTAATTAGTCAAACAGGGTTCTCAGTGAAAAGGTGAAAGCTGCATTGGAAGAGTCCATCTTGCATGTCAGGTTACACAGACGTCAAACGTTATTTTCACTGGATCAAACTGTCACATCACCAAGAGACATGGGTAGAACTCGCTGTGTTATCTGGCAGCCAAGTCAACACTTTGCAAAAAGCACATGAGAATAAGCGCCTGGTTTCAGGGGGAGGGTACACAGTACCGGAACAGCCTACCTGACGACAACCTTAAAATCAGAGATGCACTGAAGCTGCTAAAAATAGCCATATTTATTCAGGAAAATGAGATGCCCATTACGAAGAAGATGAAATGATCTGTGGTCTGTACATTTATCAATGTTCACTTTTAATGAGGAAGCAAACTTCAATTATAGTTTCTCGTCTCACATCATCACAGCGGGATATGGCAGCGTTATCTCTGGTATAAGCAAATTTTTCTATCTTTGTCAAACATAATATTTACGCAGAGGAGAAAATGACGTAAACAGCTTGATTTAATATCACTTTCCATCTAGAGTTTCCTTGACTGGTGATTTACGATTATCTGGGTGTACCCAAATTTATACGACAAGAATTACCCAATTTAATGTGTGTTTTTTTTAATTCCATAATTGCTTAAAGCTCACAGACGAATAATTCTTTCTTCAATACCGTGCCAAAAATAGAGGAAATGATATGTTTTTATAGATTACACTGTTTGATAGATTATCAACAGATGTCATTTGATCAAAAACATTAATGATTGGATGAAATGATTCCGTAGCTTTACAAAGGCTCATCTTAGTGAGACGAGAATCTACATCATACATGTATACAACTGGTAAACTGTTGTCATGATAAAGGAACCGTTTGATGTGTGACATTAATTATCTGGTATGTCTTTACCAAAAGCTAAAGCTTTAGCTCCCAGCTGCGACAAAAACACAAAACATACTTTAAAAAATGGAAAAGAGATCAACACTTCCTTCATCATGACTTCAAAGGTTGGCTCATCCTTAAGTGATAAAAATTATTCCAATTCTTCCCAACCTACATAACATATCTAGTTATATTTGAAATATCACAGTGGTGTGATATGATTGGATGAGTCTGCCTTTGGGAACAAAAGAGGCGAAACTTGGCGAACTAAATACCCATTCATGCAGCATGCACATGCATACCTTCACACAAGTCAGTGAGGGAGTTGGAGAGTGTGTGTTTCTTCAAGCCTCCGCACTCAGGCGCGGACAGTCTATTTATGGCAGGGTCTGAGGGCTTCATGTGATCGTACATTAGTACCCGTGAGTCGTCATTTGCATAGTGCTTCTCTAACGTGTTGTGGTTGGTCCGATGTCGGTGTAGCTCCTCCTCTATGCGCATCTGCTCCATGCCATTGGTCTGTGAACAACGTAACTCTCAATGAATAATACACAAAAATTATACCATACAGTTTGTGACACAGACTTCTGAGTCAACTAGGCCGGAATTGTCTCTTGGCATTGTGTTCCGTAGATTGTGACTGTTTATGAAGTGAACACAACAAAGGATCTTGAATATTTTAGGGGATATTTTTGTGCAATGAAGACCGAGAACCCATTTTATTAATAAAAAATCCTGAAATAATATTCATGATCTGTTTCTTTTTTTTGTTCAACGTATGCTATTAGCTATTTAGCTATATATTATTAAATGAGCATACTCGACATGACATTATTTTACTAGACTTAGGCTTTGGACTTGTGGTGAAGTCACATACCGAAGACTCATTTTGTTTCAGTGATTTAATATCAAGCTGAAATATAATAGTTTTCAGGCAATAATGTGGTTGCTATTATTTCTGGGAACATTTGAGCTACCAGCGTTCTCTTTCTTTATCGAAGAACAGACACAGTCTGTCATGCAGGAATTCTTTTACTGATGCATGCGGGAACTGAGAACTGACACTCTTGAACGTAATCAATATTCAAATTTCATGTTTTCAAAATGGATTTTTTTTTAATGTTTAAAAGGCCTAATGGCTGTAAAAGAATCGATTCAAATGCATTTTCGGTAACCTGATTCGATAATAATGTAATTTCATGGAGATATCATCATGCAAAAGTAAAAAGATGTAAAAGAATATTGTTGACGAAATTGTAGTCCACTAACTTCCATAATGGCTTCCTTGAGATCTTCTACAAACTTCTGCCTGTCATGATCGTTCCTGGCATTGAAAGTTAGTATAACTTTGCCATCTAAAGTGTTATTCAGTTGAATACCAAACTGATAATCTGAAACAGAAATCAATAGTTCAAATTGACAAGTCTGTCTTCACACACTCGTAAGTCAACCCCCACATAATTACACATGCTAGTTTGTGACAAATGGAAACATGGATAAAATCAATACCGTTGGCATGGTATGTCAAACACGTACCAAGTTACAGAGTAAGTATTGATTCCCCTACTGTATTGAGATATACAAGTATATTGACAAAGTGCCAGAGAATATTATCAATCTGAAAGGTTACGGCTGAAGAGGAAAATCAATGACCTTCTTGAGGTAACACTTTATTACTTACGTGATGTTTCAAACAGGAAAACCTGCATTCCACAGAGAGACGCCGAGTTCTTTAAAGCATATGTAATTCCACTCTTCTTCTTACTAAAGATTTTGGTCACCTGAAGTAATAAGACCAAAATTTATAGAACTTATTTCTCTAAACTCCTAACCTGTTTAATGTAAATTACAAAACCCAAGAAAAACTAAAACATAAAAATATTTCACTGAAGTATTACAGTGATAGAAACTAACAGTTTTAGGTCACTAGTCCTTTATAATGACAGCATATAGCAAAACCATTAAAACGGGTAAATTCTACTATTCCTTATGATACCTTAACTATTGGGCTGTTTGGCAAGGACTACAGGACTAGTGCTAATGTCTAACACTGTGTAGTATCTCATTTCTGAAGCCAAGGCATAGATCGCACTCCACAAAGTGACCTTAGTCCTACGACTGTCGTAAGTCTATGTTGAAGTACAGGAGTCATGATTGTCTTAGCACTAAGATCGCTTTGTGGAACAGGGCTAAGGTAAGTAATAAGGTGCCTGACTTGCTACCCAACTCCCATTTTAGTTCCCATTAGCAATAAATCCATTTGGACTGCCAACCAATAACTAATATGTAAACTGGTGCAAATATAGTTATCAGCTATAATTATCCAGGAAATGTGTATCCCATTTCTAACCATCCTCTTTCAACCACAGGATCTAAAGCCTACTTCAATGACTGTTTATGTTTACACTTACAAGGATCATGTCGTTAAACAGAAACACTTCTCTCTGATGGAGACCGATTTTTTCTTTTTTGTTTGGATCGTGGACCTCGTAGAGTCGACAGTAGCACACCAGACGTCGCCAAGCCAGGGTCAGAGCCTACAAGAACAAAGCTAGGCTCAAATCTTCGGTTCCTTTTCACCAACAAAACAAACTTTTCACAAGCAACATATAAAATAGGAAAGATTTTGGCCTCACAAGCAACATATACAATAGGAAAGATTTTTGCCTTACAAGCAACATATACAATAGGAAAGATTTTTGCCTTACAAGCAACATATAGATTTTTGCCATCAAAATCCACCAGTGCTACATGAGACAGACACAAGGTAAAATACCTGATCACATATGTTGTTTTTTCATCAACCAGTTTCGGGGATTACAAAAACAAAGTAGTTTATTTTTTAGGTCTCTTTTTGGTATTTTATGATTAAGATGTGTACAAAGTAATGAAGCATTAAGATATTTATCAGCAAGTTTTACTCCTTCTAAACTTCAAGCACAATACTTTTTTAAAATACTTTTTTTTTTTTTTCAAATGCCATATAAGATTTAAGTGTTGGATGGCTTGATGACAGTTTAATGTTCTTTGTGCACCATCAGCAGCTCTGAGGCAGCAGACGCTGTCCTGGTGGACAAAAGACAGCAAGGGAGACAACTCTGGCATGTTGATAGACTTACATGATGCACACGTGGGGGGTAGGACACTAATGACATCTGAAGCTTTGATTTACAGTCGGTGTTATATTCTCGGAACTAAATAAGAATATTTCCCTCACAACTACTTACACAGTTAGGCTACCACCTCAGATGAACTGGTTCTTCAAATGCAAACCGTTCAATAAAAACAATACCAAGTACCCATTTAACGTCTCCTTTAAAGACCCCATTTTCAAATTCACTACTCTTTCCGAGAAATATTCACACTGCGGAATATGATCTTCTTTTCGCATACAAGTGCGCCATGAAAATATTTCAAATACACATGCAGAAATATCATACAAAACAATGTAAATTTTTTTTAAAGCAGTTGAACAATGATGTCGTTGAGCCGGTCCCATTTGTTTTGGCCATGTTCCAGTTATCAGCTGCACCCAAGACAACGACAAACCAGGAGCAACAACAACAGCCAGCTTGTCATCAGGACGTGGTTGTGGGTTAGGGGTCTCAAGTGGGATAGCAATTACCAGTGCCTGGGTTCTGTGATGGTCCTACAGCCTGTTAGCTACCCTCGGATTACACAACCAGCAGTCTTGTGGTAATACATCTTCGCAGTCATGAAAATTGTTCATTGTGATGCACATATGTTTCCGATTCATCAAATCGGGTCACTGTTTTTTTCAGTGTGCCAAGCTTACTTGAGCATGAGATCAACATGCAGTGGAAACAGCCAGTGTTTCTCAGCAGCTCTGCTGTGCAGTGGGAATGACACAATTTTCACACAGGTTTTTCAAAAAAAAGGCTGATTAACGAAATCAACAAACTAATGAGTTCATGTGTAGTCACCTCGTTAAATCAATTCAAAACACAAACATCAATCAAGGAGGTTGTCTATTCTTTTCCTCTGTTAAATAAATTCCATTTTCACTCAGATTAAATAACACGAACTATCCTATTTTCAATTTTTTTGTATAAATGAAAACTTTTATCATAAAGATTTCAAGCTCTCTACAGATGAAGCCTTGAGTGAGGCAGGTTGAGCATAAAATCTGGAATGAGCTTGCAACAGCTGGAAAAGGATCCATACAAAACTAAAATATCAGATTACCCATATTCTATAGATGGGACAGATATTGTTAATATATTTTTTTCTACAATACTCCTTTGTTAGGTACACATATTCTATATGATATTAATTGAGTCAAAAGTGTTATTTTACATTAAAAAATGACACATTCAGTTTCGTACCGGTTTCTTTCCAACTATTGTCTGTTCCACCTTGGCGACTTGTGACACATGATCCACGCCCGAGCGAAACTCTTGTTCCCTGACTCGAACATAGATACCAGCCAGTAGGTCTCGGTCCACGTCCCCACCATCATCAATACCTGCAATCAACATCAATCATTCATCAACCACCATTGTCACTCACACATGTTTAGGAGGTGTGTGAATATAGTCACAGATCCATGGGAACAAATGCTCCAGCAAAGGGTTGGTTACAACAAACATCTACAATACAAAGAGTTGAACAAAGTGAGTGAGTGAGTGAGGAAGTGAGTGTGAGAGTGAGAGTGAGTGAGAGTGAGTGAGGAAGTAAGAGTGAGTGAGTGAGTGTGAGAATGGGTGCATGAGTCACGTGAGTGAGAGTGTGAGTGAGTGAGTGAGTGAGTGTGAAACTCAGTGAGTGTGAGACTCAGTGAGTGAGTGAGTGTGAGAGTGGGTGCATGGGTCACATGAGTACGTGAGTGAGTGAGTGAGCGAGTGTGAGACTCAGTGAGTGTGAGAGTGGGTGCATGGGTCACATGAGTGAGTGAGTGTGAGTGAGTGAGTGAGTGAGTGAGTGAGTGAGTGAGTGAGTGAGTGAGTGAGTGTCTTGGCTGTGTGTGTTTCAGTAATTGAATCAGTCAAGATCAACTAGTTTGTCTTGTTCAGACTCAATTATTGATAGACCGCCATGATAGGTGTAATTTTACTGACTGGCTTGAAAACAACATTCACCCCCATATTATCAGCATGGGACACTAGCGATCTATTCTGATCTGAAATCCTGAACTGCTTGGATGTAAACAGAAATGCACTATTAATCCTGGAAATAATCACAATGATAATGACAATTAAAATAAATAATCTGCAAAACATGTTTAGATCCTAATGGCTGTATAGCAGACACACCTTTTCTAGTATGCAATAGATTTATATTTGGGATCACTGCCTGCTGTAAGACTTATATAAAGATCTGTCACCTTATTGAAACCATATTTCAAGTTCCCTCAAGCTCGATCAAAACATCCTTCCAATATACAGAAAACTAAGAAAACATGGAGTCCATGTTTACAAATTCTCAGTGCAGTTGACCCCATCCCCATTTCCACTCTCTTAAATGTTCATCCAAACCACTTGTACTCACTAACTTGTTCAAGTTTATTGCTAACACTCGGAGGACTTTGATGATGATGATCTTATAAACCACATCACTGCCATCTGAGGTTGTCGATCTTAATGAAATCATTGCCGTTAACGCTGACATAACACATGTCCACAGCAACCCGAAACCAGTAAAATATACTCAATGTGCACGGAGAATACACCTTGTGGTATATATGTACACTCCCAAAGGGCAAGTCAACACATGGAGTTGGGGATTAAACTGAGACATTTGTCGTTGTCAGCTACACCCAGCCCCAGGCACATTGTGGGACCCCAAGTCTGCCCCTTGGACCTATTTTAACCTTTGGGTGTCATGGGCCCCTAGCACACAGAGGGATCTGGGATGTCTCTGAGATGTCTGTAACAATCTTAGTCTGTGCCTTGGACATCATGGGAACCCTTGTCTGTCCTTGGACATCATGGGAACCCTAGTCTGTCCTTGGACATCATGGGAACCCTAGTCTGTCCTTGGACATCATGGGAGCCCTAGTCTGTCCTTGGACATCATGGAACCCTACTAAGTCTGTCCTTGGATATCATGGAACCCTCGTCTGTCCTTGGACATCATGGGAGCCCTAGTCTGTCCTTGGACATCATGGGAACCCTACTAAGTCTGTCCTTGGACATCATGGGACTCCTACTAAGTCTGTCCTTGGACATCATGGGAACCCTACTAAGTCTGTCCTTGGACATAATGGGAAATTTACTCTGCTAATGAAAATCCATATCTGGTAAACTTTAAACCACCAAAAAAGGGAAACTGATTATCAAATGACTGTCATGGAAGCTTACAATCACAAATAATAGATTAGATACCTTTGTATTAGATATCATTGTACTCAAGCCAATATTGTTATTTTCTTGTCACTGATGAAATCAACCAATAATTAACCACAAGCCCACCATTTTCAACGAACAGACCAAAATCAAGCTGTATCACATTTACATTCTTTAATCGGACTACAAGCCATGCACCAACATCTGTCAAACACTTCTACAACAAACAGGTTCATATCACTTTCGGGGGGAAAAAAAGAAAAGAAAACTGTTTAGTTGAAACAACTTGTATTTTTTTCCCATTACAGTTAATGTGAACCATCTGAATCTACCTGTTTAACCTCAAAACAGGAGTCCCCCCCCCCCCCCCCCCCCCCTCTGTGGACTATGTTCTCAATGTATTGCTCAAGACGACGACTAGGCAACAATCCCAGGGATGATCCTGACTCCAGGCTGCTTCTGTGGTAGGTTCAAGTCTATGCTAGGCTCTCCTGAGTAGGCAAGAAAGGTTATGTGGTTAACCAAACAAACACCAGGGGTGAAATAGCCAAATCTGATAATGATATTCTTACAAAGAAAATAGCATGGGTTTTTTTCAATGTGGAGGAAATCTAGAGAGATATTTGTAACCACTGCATTTGGAAAAAAGGGGAAGGTTTGCGTGGTAAAAAACCTGGCTTGTAGTCTACAGGAAGTTAGTGATACACTGAGATTGTTTTTAGTCTGGTTCTTGTTTTCGCTGTTCACCTGTAACGCGGTGGGAGATAAAACCCGAGTCGTTGGCTGCAGGTAGGCAGGAATCTCGAGAAAGCAAAAAGATGGGGAAATACAACTTCACTCTTCGTAATGTCTGCCATTGAAAGACAGGCCTTATCCTACAAGTGTGAAAAGATGATTTCTGCCTTTTTTTGCAACACTGGCAGATTACTTCACAAATTAGCCAGGAGATCAAACCAGAGTCTTTGTAGCATATTAACAAAGAATATTATGCACTAACCCATGTGAACTGACATGTACATTGATTTAGAGATCATAGAGTAAAATACCCTTACATATTCTTTTGAATGCAAAACATGGTTTATGGTAGACTTCAACTGCCCCTGCTTATCTCCTACAGTTACCTGTCAGACAACAGCTGTTTTTTCTGAGACGAGGGGGAAGATATAGGTATAACAATGTTTCGCATGCATGGAACGCCAACGGATATCCTGGCATGTTACGCTCTGTGATGAGTTTTTAACTATTGTTGAACGGATACCCACCACCTTTCAGCAGTATTTCACCTGAGCTACAGGTTGGAAGTGAGGAGGACTGACTGGTCCGTCAGCTATACATGATGTATTGTCAGACACAGAAAACACCTGTTCTCCTATTCCTTATCACCTGAGAGCTGGATAGTCTAGTCTGGCCAGTTGTGAGAGAGTGGGTCGGGTATTTAGATGCTTTCAGCAATATTCCATCAACATAACGGCTAGGGACACTACGAATGTGCTAACACTTGTATCCATTCAGGGAATTGAACCATGGTCTGCAGAGTTAGTGAGTGAGTGAGTGAGTTGGGTTTAACACCGCTTTTAACAGTATTCCAGTTATAACGCGGCATGTCAGCTTAATGTGGGAGGAAAGCCTGAGGTGATGCAGGTCTCAGACATTTACCACTTCGGTGAAACCCTCAAGCACGGGTATGGTGCTGACAAACCTAGAAACATAATCGGGGCGAACCGGGATTCAAACTCACAATCATAGGTTGCTGGCGTGTCCAAGGAACGCATCTCTGCACAGCGAATCGCGGCGCCTTAGACGGCTTGGCATTCCGTGCCCCCCGCAAAGTTAGTGAGTATGCAATATCACGTGACATCAGAAATAGACTTCACACATTCTAGCCCAGTTTGGGAATTGAACCTGGGTCTTCTGTGTGACAAACAAACGCTTCAACCACTAGACTACCCTACAGTCTCCAGAAAATATAGAAGAGTTTGCCTGACTTCTTTGGGAGGCGACCGCCTCCGTGGTCTTGTGGTAGAGCGTCCGCCCGGTGAGCGGAAGGTCCAGGGTTCGATCCCGGGCCGCGTCATACAAAAAGACGTTAAAAGATTGTACTTGTTGTTACCCTGTCTGGCGCTCGGCATTAAGGGGCTAAAACAAGGACTGGTCGGCTCGGAGTCAGTATACTGTGTCTGAGTGGGGTATTCATGTTAAAACTGCGGCATGGTATCTCAGTGAGCTAGCACTATAAATCGGCATCAGTCCGGACTAGTACAAGCAGCCACACACACACATACACGTGCATGCACGTCGCTATATAAGTGCAATAATCTTGGACGCGACGTTAAACCCAATTTCACCTCACCTCACCTTTGGGAGGCATTTCATCCATATATCTTATCCTTACTGAGTTTGTAGGAAATCATACTTACATTACACAGAAATATATGTTGGAAAATGGAAATACATATCTCATTACTGAAGATTGGGTATTTCCAAGAACAAATGACGATATACAAGAAAATCACTGTAACATTGCAAAAAAACACCTAAAAGCAGAGCATCAAAGAATTTCTTTGGAGAAGAAAAAAGGTGTTGGGCTCACAGGAAGAAATTCTAATCTATCAATGAGGTGTCTGCCTGGCTGCAACCGTATCTGGTCGTGAAGTTGCCACACCGGTCATATTGATCTCAAATATTTTGACTCGAGAGCAACCCAGTGACTGTTTCTCTGAGGGACAAAGTGAGCTTTGAGTTCATTCATCACAATAGAAAAACGTTTTACATTCCCACAGTGACTGCAATGCTTTAGATTCACAACTAGGATCAATATCTCATCCATTCGAAATCCCCATTTCATCATCTGCTCCCCCAAACATGCATAATCAGAAACTGATATCTATTTACTCAGGTGAATAGCACATATTTTGCAACTTCACATCTACACCGCTTCAGAAAAAGTCAAAGGTTGCTATTTGTTGTATTTCCCCTCCTCCTCCACATCAAGGAAAAACAACAAGAGCGATGGATACATCGTACCATCCCACACAAGGAGTGTAGGAAGAAGCAAGATGGCCATCACTGCACTGTGTGAAGAGGAAAGGACCCAGCCCTTGTCCAGGTGCTGTTATGATTAGGTCTGGCACAAACATAATCCCCCTTCTCTGGTTCACCTCACACCAGGTGAGACAATTGA